TCATTGTACATTGTATTGTACAGTACACATGTAGCTCTTTATAATAATTATAAGAAAACAAACGCAATTATTGTTATTATTTAATTAATAACACAATTACATGTATATAGTAATGTTACATGTACATGTAGGTCAGGTTTATTGTTATTATTATTATTATTATGTTATTTCATTTGTATAATTGCCACTGTAGTCATAATGTCAATTTACCTCATATTAAAAATGAGATGCTCCGACAAATAATTGCAGTACTAGCATTTTTGTTTAAGTTGTTTAATGGAGTATCAATCAACTGTTAGAGTAAACACATCCACTTAATCGCATTCTTACTTTAGGCCTCAGATCTAAAGAAGAGGATAGAGAGTCTAATAGAACGTGATTACATAAGAAGGAATGAAGAGAATACTGGTATATACGAGTATATTGCTTAATATAATGATTGTATGTATGTATGTATGTATTTGTGTTAGCATATATATCTCTCTATTTTCTCTCTCATTAACTTAATATCATCTGTGAACTTTATCTCCTCTCCAGTATTATTCTTCTTCTTATTATCATTATTGTGTATATCTTTCTCTCTTTCATTTGCTCATTAGTATTATCATAATGACAATAATAATAATAATAATAATAATAATAATAATAAATTAATAATAAAAGGCACATGTATTCTGTCTACGTACAAGCTTGTGCATGTATTTTGTATGCCTATGCCTCTATAGTACCTGTACATGCGTACACGTACACATACATGTAGGTGTGTTGGATTTTGTTTTGTTTTGCGAGAGTACCACACTGTCTCAAATGAAGCTGTTGTTTTCCTGTCTACATTTTTGATTGATTCTTTTAAGCCACAACTTCCAGTGACTGTTTTGATGAAGTCCAATCAAACTGGCTAAACATGTAATGTAACTATTATTATTATCAGAAGTATCTAATAGTATTATCATCATAACCCACATGTACAGTGTAAATATTTTAAAAAGCAGTCTGTTTCTACATATGTACATGTAACTATAAACTTGTTGGCTGACATCATAGTTACCTTTAATTCTGTCATTTTTTAAATGTGAATAGCTCATCAAAGTTAAATTTCCCATTTGATCCATATGCTGTTAAGTTGATTCTCAGTGCACATGTAGTGTGTCATTGCAGTCCCTTTACATTGGATACAGTAAAATGTACACTCTCAAGATACTAAAGCATTATATGCTGTAGCTGCTGAGCATGCTTGATGATGTTATATTCTGGTTAACCACTGCTCTGATGTAGTTCTCTCCTTCCTTCTGTGGTTCATTAACAAGCATTGGTTGGCCTGTAAATTCTGGATAATGATGTAATGTAGCTTAATATTCATTTTTGTACTGTATAGACTTCAGTCATAAGTACTGTATCAGGTGATAGTTCTGATTTGTTAGCACTCTATGACTGATAGTGATGCATCACTTCATTAATTAGTCTATCATTGAATTATTATAATAACAGTGGACTCCCTTAAGCAAAAGTAAATTATCTACTCTTGCCCTTAGGCAAAGCTTTACTTTTTAAAAATTTCAAATAAAGGTTTAAGCATGTTCCAATGATTCTATATTGGACTCAACTTAATTATGTTAGATAGTAAATGGCTAGTGTTTACTACACAGTGTGACTGGTTTCTGTGCTGTGTTCATTATGTACATGTAAGTAAGTCTATCCTATAAAATTTTGGTCTCTTAATGATTCCTAATATTGTCTATGCCCACTGGTCTTCACTCCCTCTCTTTTCCTTGTGATCATCAGTTATGGTCAGTTGTTTATACCTTCCAAGTAAAGGCCAATTAAAAAGTTTAATTTGTCTTTGTAGTGTGTGGGTGTGTGCTCATATGAGTAGGTGGTGGTATTGCTTCAGTATATAAGCTCAAGACTGTTCTTCAGTTGAGTCAGTTACAATTTGCAAGTAATACTTCTTTGCTATTATAATACAAGTAAGTTGTAGCAATATTAATTTTATGTTCTATAGCTATTCTATTCTTTTCTCTTTATATATACAGTAATTCCTATTATTATTATGAGATACAGTGTCTCTTTTATTTTCCTATGGATGCTCCACTCACTCAGCCTCACTGATGGTGCAGCATTGCTTCATGAAGGATCACCCTATTATCCAGTAGGAGAGCTCTCCTTTGCATGCAAGGATCCTGGTAAACCTAGCTATGGAGACAGGACCGGATATGATTTTAGTATTGGAGCTTCTGTCACTTTTGGATGCTATGAGGGATTTGTTTTGGTTGGCTCTGATACACTGACTTGTCAATTTGAAGAGAAGAGAACTAAGTCCTCAAGCTCCATTGCTGCCACATGGTCTGATCATATTCCAGTTTGTGTTCATAGTAAGTATAAAATACCAAGAGATGACTGCATGCATGCTCATTGCACTTTGAAGCACTTTAAACTTAACAAAATTTTTGTACACTTACATCATGTAAGATTGCAGGACCTTATTAGCTATGATCTCTGTACCTATCAGCACCCTCATACAGTATGTAACTCATTTCTTATTGTTCTTTAGAAAAGTATCAAAAAGATTTCAAATGCAGCACTAAAGGTCCCAAGGCTCCTAAACCCGGTCGCTATGCAGTTGAACTGAAGTCTGATCTTAAATCAGTTCAAGTGTTTGCATGTGATGACTACAAGTTCATGCCAGACTCTGGAGACAGTATACTGAAGTGCATTGATAAGAAGTGGAGTGGAACACCACTTGAGTGTAGAAGTAAGGAAATATCATTTCCTCCTATTCTTTCTTTAATGAGAATGTGCATGAATAAACAAACCCAAGCTTCACATTATATCATGCACTTGTGAGCTTCATTAATTGGGTGGTGATTTTTAAAGCATTATTTTGAGTAGCACTAATGAATTGTTGTGTCCTTGGCTTTCACTCTGTAAAGCTTTATCTCTAACCATGCATACAAACACACTCAAACAAGGACTAAATTAAACAGACTCCTCATCTCACCATATTACCCCAGGACAGTCTATACATGTGCATGCATATTATATCAATAATTCTGCATAATGTACATGCATTGATTATTGTCTAGGGAGGAAAAAGTGCAGTTTACAGACTCTAGCTCCCAACACTAATCTTGTATTGACGGGTACACTGGAGGGTGATACTGGAAGGTTTAGTTGTTCCAAAGGATACCGACTACCACCAGGGACTGATGAAGAAATAACTTGTACATCAACTGGAGAATGGTCGACTGGTTGGCCACAATGTCAGAGTAAGTCACCACCTAATGTGTGTACAAGATTATGTGTGTGTGTATACATGTACCCAATAGCTCAGGCCATAAATAGTGAATACTACTCAACCTACATGTACATATACAAGCATACTCAGGTTAATGCATTAAGTGTGTTCATTATGAGTGCTTCTTCAACACCAGCATCCCATTACCTTGCCCACTCAAGATCTCATTGAATATTTCCCTAATCACATTATTTGCTTGACGTGCCAAAATTTGGTTTGTATTTGCAAACAGTTTAACGAGTCAAAAATGGGGAGCACCACCTGCTCATGCGCTGCTATGATACTCAATACACTGTACATGTGTGTGGCCCACTCCTTTTAATAGTGCATGACGGCAAATGGTGCTCCTCCTTAAATAGAAACCAGTGATGTGTGGACAGTCACAGGAGATCAAGTTATCTACTGATAGTAAACATTGTCCTCTCATTGCCAACAGACTCATACGACTAGGATTGACAATGAATATTTGTATGCATTAAACACTTAATGTAATAATCCTACAACATGATGTATTCTTAATAGAGTATAATGTGATTAATCAGTGATAATGTTTTTGGTGATACAATGCTGTTGTTACTGACCAACACTTTAATTATCTCTCCCCCTCTCTCTTTCTCCCTTCAGTTGTTGATTGTGGTCCCCCTCCATCCATATATCATGGTGTCTTCCAGTTCACTACTACCGTGTATCAATCAGTTGTCAAGTATACCTGCCACACTGGCTACCATATGATTGGCAAGAACACCATTACCTGTAAATCCAGTGGCCAGTGGTATCCAGTGAGAGTAAGATGTGAAAGTAAGCAAAAAAATCAAGGGGCAGTATTTTAATATACATGTACATACACTTGTATGCAAAATAATGGAGATAAAAATTGCATTTATTGTTATTAATACTTTATTAATTAGTGTTGTATTATTTTAGTTGTTAAGTGTCCTCAGCCTATCAGACCCTTCAATGGTCGTGTCTATTACACTACTGCTCAATACAATGCAACAGCAAGGTATGCCTGCAATACTGGATACATGAGGAATGGACCTGAGTTTAGAAGATGTACAGAGAATGCACAATGGGTCCCACCAGCACCTTACTGTGAAGGTACAGACTATATAGTATTCTATATTAAATATACAATGTACATGAACATACATTGCACACATAAATTTTACATGTATATGTGTACATGCACTAAATTTAATATAATATAATTTGTATATACATGTACATGTACTAGTATTTAATAATAGTTTATACATGTACATGTATTCTATTGCATGATTCTGAGTCAGTCTGGGCTAGTGTTTTTGCTGTGACCTAAGTCAAACTTAAGTGATCAAACAATGTATTCTTTGTTGTTAAATGTACCGTCTTAGTGTTACTGGTTTGTTTGGTTTTGTGCTAGTTCCAGTCACACTGTCTAATGGAAGAAAGGAAGTACTCCTACTGCTCTGTAATCAATTGCTTTGTCTCTAATGAGAGAGACATTCTTATATACCTACAGGCTACATAGTCACACTATTGCACAGAATATGTACTGTAGCGATTATTGATTGAGCTTGTAGATATTGTTATTATTATCATTGAATATATTTTGTTGGATTTATTCTGATAATAATGCTATGCCTATACTAGTAGTGCTAACATTACATTTTTACATTTTTGTAGTTGTTAATTGTCTTTCTCCACCTGCACTGCCTAATGGAAATGTTTCTGTTACTGCAACAACCATTAACTCTGTTGCCACCTACTACTGTAATGACAGGTTCCAGTTAATGGGTGGAAACCCAAAGGTAAAGTGTCAAGCTGATGGGACCTGGACTGATACTCAAGTGACATGTGTTGGTAAGGAAAGAAAGAAAGAGAGAGAGGGGGAGATAAGTTAGACATGCACTCTAGGGGAGAGGAGATTAGAGAAAGTTGCGTTACATATTTTGTTAATAAGTTTATAGTGTATGATGTCTGTGTTGACTAAACGCTATAATAGCTGTGTCTATTTCTTAATATTTAATTGCATCTAGTCCCTTTCCTTTTTTTTTTTTCATTTTCACACGCACAATTATACATGTACACGTCATATACATGTACATGTACACATATGTACATGTGCTACAGTTTTTGCAACTTATACAGTTCATGGTGCAAAAATAAAATTGGCACTTGATCTCCATGTAATTATTCTTTATTATTTTGCTTCTTGTAGCTGATTGTGGTACACCCGAATCTGGTAACAACTCCAGGGTGATAGTTAGTAATACAACATTTGGTTCAGTGGCCAAGTATTACTGCATACCCGGATACTTTATGCTTGGGAATGGAACCAGGTACTGTAGGGAAGATGGAACATGGTCTCCACTCCAATATTTCTGCCAACGTAAGTGCATGTACATGTACATATGCACACATGTGCGAAGAGGAAGGAGGGAAAAAGAAGGAGAGTGAGAGCTTATTGACATGTACATGTACATGTAATATGTATACCTGTACATGTGCAGTATCGGAAAGCATAGTAAAAATGAGCTCATTTTAAAAATTGTACAGATTCTCCAAAATAAGTACTTATTTTACTACATTTACATTTTACATTCTTATTTCTGTAGCTGTCAATTGTGGTCCACCTCCTGAAGTAGAGAACGGTGTTGTTATTTACTCTGGTACTACACTAGCTCGTTCAGCAAGGTACAGGTGTGAAACTGGGTTTGAACTCAAAGGATTGGAAATAAGAGTTTGTACAGTGGAAGGAAAATGGAGCGGGAACACACCAACCTGTGAAAGTTAGCTTTATTCCTTTCCAAACACTTTTGCCTCTTTTATTTCTTTCATGCTTACATGCATTTATATTTTGTTTTTTTTTTAATTTTCTATTAGTTATTGATTGCGGAAGGCCACCAGCTATTCTCAATGGCAACGTCAATTTTACTGGTACCATATTCACATCAATAGCAACGTACACTTGTCAAGATGGCTATAAACTTCAAGGGCCTTCAATAAGATTCTGTATGGACACTGGAAACTGGACCAGATCAACCCCAACATGCAAAAGTATGAAATTTTATACATGTACTAGCTACATGTACACGTACCCAGAGTTTCTCACAGAGTAGACCAAGTGAACTAAAAAAAGTATGCATTTTTATTGTAATCAGCTCAAACTTGCTACACAACATAAGAGCATGTACATGTATTAGAAAAATTTGTAAAAAGTTAATTTTATAGCGATTTTTCCTGTATACGTGTACATGTAGTACGCTGACAAGAACCTGCATGAGTACTATGCCAAAGTCCTGTGGGAAGCCCTGCATGTACTGTACCTTCAATTAAATACTAGCTGCTAATTTTATCTTTGTACAGTACCAACTTACTATTTTATCATTGTAATGTGTAGGAATAACATCATGTCCTAGTCTTGAAGTCCCATCCAACAGTCGTAGAGTGACAATCCCAACTGCAGTCTCATCATCATCAGTTCCCATTGGATCAGTAGTGTATCACATATGCAGTGATGAGTTTGACCTGCAAGGCTCTAGTGCCAGAAAGTGCCAAACTAATGGAAAATGGTCCGGAGATCCAGTCACATGTGTAGCTAGAAATTGTAAGCATTAATGTTCACAAATGAATTACCATTATTGTATGTGTCATTGAATGTACATGTAATGTAGTACGGCTGAATCTACATGTACCATAAAATTTTAATATTATTATTGTTTTTGTGTAGTAACATGCACTGGACCAGAAAAGATGATGGACTCTGCTGGCAGAATGTGTCTCTGTTCTAATGGCACTCTCACCAATTGTCACCGCTACAGACAGGACTGGCTTAACCTGACCAGCCAGCAGAGAGAGGAGTACATCACGGCAGTCAAGACACTCTCCAGCGACCCTCTCTATCAGCCGCTATACAGGAACCTAATGATTAGGTATCGGAATACGTCCCGGACCCTGTCTCAAAGTCTAGAACCCTCAAACACTCATTTCTTACCATGGAACCGCTACTACTTGCACCAGTATGAGGACATGCTGAGACTGGTGAACCCAAACCTGTACATTCCATACTGGGACTGGACACTACTGCACCAGACCCCTTACCAGAACCCTGTCTTCAACTCTTCTTCACAAGGATTTGGAAACTCGTCAAATCCAGCGACAAAGTGTGTGAATGAGGGTCCGTTTAGACAAGGAAAATTTAAAGTTGTTTCTCAAGGCAAAATGAAGTGTCTTCGAAGGGAGTATGGTGGTGCCACGCCTCTCTTGAGTCGTTCGGAGCTCGAGGGTGAAGTATTGGTTCAGCCAGCATCTTTGTTTCAGAGATTTTTTAGATTTTTAACGATACCTTTCCTGACTGTGAGATGCTCTATTGGTGGTACAATGTGTGATCTTGATGAAGTGACTCCCACTAATGATCCACTCTATCTTCTCATACTATCATTCATTGATAGTGTATGGTATCGCTGGCAGTCTCTCAGTGAGGGACACTTGAGAGCACGTTATGCTGATGATAGTACATTGTTATTGCTCACAGAGCCAGATCAATTCACTTTGCATCAATATCATGATTCCAGCCACTTGCCTTTCAATGTTAGCGTGGAATATGGTGAACCGGTGGATAGTATAACAGGAAGAGAGAAAAGAAGAACATCTTTTGTTGCTTCAAGCAAGAGCGATGGTGATGATAGCTTTATTCATGATGGCCCAGGTTTAATTCACCTTTGTCCTGTACAAGATGAGTTTTTGGAGAGACTAGAATTGAGTGCTCAAGAGAAAGCATTAGTGAAGTCTATATGTCATTTTCTGTACAATCCTCAATGATGAAGACAAAATTATAACATTATACTACCAGCTTTATTTATAATTAATTTATGTATCAAGCTCTATAATAATGTCTATTTTAATTATGATTGTACTATGATATTAATTTAGCAAATACATGTACATGTAATTATAATAATCTTTGTTGATAATGAATCTACATGTGAGTGTTATGTTAATCAGTTGTCTGTTGTTGTGTTTCATCTTCATTATTATCTATAGTAACAAAAGTATCAGCTAACTTCTAAGTATAATAACAAGTATTCCTTGCCTGTTGCAATTGCTTCTTCACCAAATACAACAGGAATAATCTTAGCTGCATTCTCAACATTGGAACTTCCATGAACAGCATTTTTTAACTTGTCCTCGCCAAACAATGCCCTCAATCTGATTCAAGTGGAACAATATAAAGAAAGAAATACTATCAAGCTTACGATTCAGGTTGTGATTGTTTGGCCTCTTCAGGATCAGTAGGCCCCATGAGTGCTCTCCATCCCATAACAGCATCCTCTCTTGTAAGGACCATGAATAATGATGGACCACTGTTAGAATCATAAACATAGTGCATGTAAATGCATGTGCACATGCTTATAAAAGGAATATATTACCTGCTCATGAAGTCAGTGAGCTCATTAAAGAATTCACTATCTTTATGATCGGCATACAGTTGCTCAGCAATTTCCTTTGTCAGTTGCTGCTCTTTGGAGAGGGAGACTTTAAAACCACTCTCCTCTATCTTCTTAACAATATTCTCTGAAATAATAGTGTCACAAATGTCAGCCGTTGCAATCTTTAAAGGGTAACTTCAGTGCATTTTTGAGATATTTTTTTTATTTGCTTAATATGATTGCCTGACTATACTAATGATGTGTTCCAACTCCCATTGTCTGAAAAAAATTATTCACTGAGATATGAGCCTTCAAAAATGCCCATTTTTCCTTTCTGCCAGGTTACTTCCTGTCGGTGGGTGTGGCTAAACGTGACGTCACTGGACGGATAGCTGTAGCTAAATCCATTCCTTTATAGGGGGAAATAATCCTTTATTCTCATGGCTTGTAATGTAATAGCACTAATTTAAACATTGGGATCATTAGCTTTCATTATTCTAAGCATAAAACTGTAAGAAAAGTACACAAAATAGCTAACAAGAAGATTCACCAAAGTGTGGTATTATGACTTTTTCTTGCAGTTGCATGCTTAGAATAATGAAAGCTAATGATTCCAATCTTTAAATTAGTGCTATTACGTTACTAGGCATGAGAATAAAGGATTATTTCCCCCTATAAAGGAATGGATTTAGCTGCAGCTATCCCTCTAGTGACGTCACGTTTAGCCACACCCACTGACAGGAAGTAACCTGGCAGGAAGGGAAAATGGGCATTTTTGAAGGCTCATATCTCAGTGAATAATTTTTTTCAGACAATGGGAGTTGGAACACATCATTAGTATGGTCAGGCAATCATATTAAGCAAATAAAAAAAATATCTCAAAAATGCACTGAAGTTACCCTTTAAAGATTTGTACCTTTCTCACTCAAAGCATTTGGTTTAACTACAGCAACTGTCTGTTGAGTTGGAAAGAAGAACTCCAACTCCTTAGTGGTCTCCACTTCACTGTCAGTTCCATGAAGCTGATTGAAAGGAATATTATCATCCACTGGTGCATACTGTGCTCTTAAACTAAGGGAGAGAGAAAACACTCAATGCACAAGGATGATGCTGCTAGCTACATGTACATGTAAATGTATATATACTATCATTGCACATTGTGCAGGTGCAGTTATTGTCTTACGATTCTGGTGAGTCTTCCTTTGCTTTGTCTAGTTCAGTTGGTCCTATTAGTTCCCTCCATCTTGTTATAGCATCTTGTCTTGCTAGACATAGTGCAAGTACAGGTCCTGAGGACATGTGAGTACACAATGAATCAAAGTAGTCTTTGTCTTGTTGATCTTTGTAAAACTCTGCTGCCTGCTCCTTTGTCAGTGTGAGTTCTTTACTTAGTGCTATCTTGAAACCAGCTTCCTCAATCTTAGTTAGAATAGCATCTGATAATGAAAAATTTAAAATTATGCCTAATTTTGGCCCTATTACAACTTGTACCTTTATGTTCTTGTAGAGCAAGTGGTCTTATTAGTGCTAGCGTGCGTTGGATGGTAGGGCCAGCTCCAGGAACATCAAATTTAGGAAAGAAGAATGCCAATTCTCTTGCAGCAGTTTCATGTGAGTCACTGGCATGGAGTGCATTCTCTTTATTATCAGTTCCATATAATGCACGCAAACTGTGTACATAAAAATTAAAAATGAGTACATATACTTGTATGTGATTGCATGTATACAAATGCTATCATTATCTATGCTTATAGTGTGTACCTATCAGGTGATTCTTCTTTTGCCTTTTCAACATCTTTAGGACCAAGGAAGTCCCTTACTTCTTGAATGACACCTTCACCAGTGTCACCTTTACTAAGGACTAGTGTCATGCATGGACCGCTAAAGACAGAGAGTGTGAAATCAGAAATATTATTATCATTCCTCTTACCTGCTCATAAAGTCAATCAATTCTTCAAAATGATCCTACATGATTATAAGCAATGCATTAAATATTATTCATGTACATATAAAATGAGCTTATACTTTATCTTCATGTTGTTTGTAAAATTCTGCAGCTTCTTCTTTTGTTAGTTGTCTCTCTTCTTGAGTTAGTATTTCATATCCTTTCTCTTTCAGCTACAGTATGCATGGACTCAATAATGCTTTTAATGTACATGCACTATACTTTTTCTATGATATCGTCAGTCTGGCCAGCTCTAACTGCATCCGGTTTAATAACTAGGACTGTTACTTGTTTCTTTACTGGCTCTGAATAAGAGAGTAAGAGAGAGAAAAAAATCAAAACTGTAGGCATTGCATTATTATTTTACCTGGCTCAGGTTCCACTTCTTCTTCTTCTTCTTCCTCATCTCCTGGTATTACAATTACTTCTCCAAGAGCTTCATCAACCACCTATAATTTCTATATTACTTATACTCTTGGACAATGCCACAATAGCTAATTGCAGTACCTGATCATGTACTAAACTACCCATTACATACATGTACATACATTACATAGCACAAATATTATATTTGCAGATATTTAGCTTACTGCAATTCTTTCTACTTCTCCTTTGAGTACTTTATGCTCATGTTCTAGTTTATCTTTTAATGTTTTCTCCAGTAAAGGTCCCTGAGCTCCATGCACCACCCCCACAAGAACACCAGCCTATTGAATTATGAATACAGTACTGACTAATAAATCAGTGAGTACTCACTGAATACATCAAGAAACAAGGCTCAGATTTATTCCTGTACTTTTCTAGGTCCTCAACATTATCAGATTTAGCCTGTTGGTAATCATAAGTTAAAGTTTAATACACAGAAAGTTATCACAATGTTTTACCAATCCAAATCGTAGGAGGTCATCACCTATCTCATTCTTAAGCCGGCGAAACAAACTAACGATTGCTTTGCATGGACCGCACCATCCAGAATATACATCAACAACTATTAGAGTGAAAGACTACATTGTCCATCTGTCCATTATAAGTACAGTACCTGCAAGACCTTCTTTTGATATGAAATTATTCCATTGCTCTTGTGTCTCTAAGTTTTCCTATTGGCAATGCAAGGTTCATTATTCAAATCTCAAGTCTCCTCTTACTTGAAGCTGTATCTGTTTCTTTCCAGGCATAATGACCACAGCTAGACTCTAGGTCAATTGTTATGCAGTTACTATGACAACAGAAAATCACGTGACTCAAAATGGCCACTCCTTTATTTTAAAAATCACGTGATCCATTGACCAAAGAGTCCGTATAACACCGTACACTATCAGTGAGCGTGACTTGGAAGAGAAAATGGCCGACTAGGGACGATAATAAGTTGCTTTTATTCAACTCTCTCCTGCTGCAATACATCATCTCTCTCTACTGTGTAGACAGATATTTCAACAACTTACAGTACGGCATCGTTAGCTCTCTTTTAATTCCCTTCCAGCACTTATTCAGCTCAACCACACATTCTCTTCCTCTGTCTCTCTATCCGCGCGTCTCGCTAAGGTCCTCTGGTTCCTGCCCCTACCAACATGGCTACAATGGATGATCCCCCTATACCACCAATAAGGAACGTCTCTACGAGGGACAAGGAGCCTGCCAAGAATGGAAGCAGGCCAGTCGACAAGAAAGCTGGTTTCTTCAAAAAGGACAAGAAATCAGCTGGTGGTATGTGCTACTATTCACACACCTCAGCTCCTTTCCTGTCTTTTTCTCCTGCACATGAGTCCACACACACACAGAGTCTCTTTTAAGTTTTATATTTTATACCTGATACAATTTCCAAGTTATGAAAGCTCATCTCTTTATCTTTCTCTAGACTCAAAGAAACTCGAGATATCATCTCCTACAGGATTCGAACACACCGTTCATGTTGGATTTGATCCTGTTTCGGGAGAATTTACGGTAAGCCCATTGCTCTAAGTATCGTCCTCTTTTATCCTCTCTCTCCTCTAGGGTATGCCCGAAGCATGGGCTAAGCTATTAGATAGTTCTGGTATCAGTCAGGCAGAGAAAGCAAAGAACCCCGATGCTGTAGTGAAAGCTTTAGAATTTATGACAAAACGGTCAAGTCACAGTGACAACGATCCAAAGTTTCTTACAGCTCAGAGATACGGTAAGAGAACAGAGAAAGTAAAATGAGTAGGATCAGTATAGAAGAGAGAGAGAGAAAGAGAAGGAAATAAGGAACTGGATATTAATAATGATATTTTATGTTTGTGTGTGAGTATAAATTGTATAAATAGTGAGTTTAATGATAAGACCTGAAATCACTCATGACTATGGGATGCGCAATGCCATGTAATGTAATGTATCAATCAATAATACCCAGACTCAACACTTTCCTCCTGATACCTCTCAGAGGAGCAGCTGTCTCCTTGAATTCTGTGTACACACCCAGTACAAAAAAGCTATCACTTGTTTGTGTGTCCAAGCATATGTTGTTGTTCTCATTCTTAGTGAGTTAGAGCCTAACAAGTGATGCACACACATACACACAGTATTAATAGGGCCTTGGCAATTATCCCCTCACTCCTTTTATGGGGCCACCCCTAATGCATTGATAAAAATGGTCATTTGTATGATTGGAAGATAATCTTGTTGTATTTTCATGTATGTATTGTGTGTATACATGTATGTGTACATATCTTTTTGAATGTTAGTGTTACACACATAAAGCCCACTTTTATACACAGGAGTGCATACATGCATGTATGTTATATGATGACTATTAATAATGAGTTGATTTCGCCACGTCAGACGTACTGTATAGTATCAGCTTAACAATGCTAATATACTAATAATATACTAATAATTATGAACAATGTAGCATAGCCATGATGTTGATTGGCTGATGTCAACTTGTTCAGCCAAACCATGACCTTATTTGGTAATTGCTGTTGATATGGCATCCTCCTTTAGTTGATGGTACACTCTCACACACACAACATGCAACAGACTGTACATATACATGTATACAGTATATGCTATTACTATCAGTATTGTAACATACATGTATGTACTACATGTTAATAAAGCAATATACTGTATGTTAATAATGCAACCAGACTCCTGTATTGCCTACATATATGCATTAATAATAATAACTATTAGTATAGTGTAACAGCTAGGCTCATTTGTTATTTATTGCTCCTGTTTGGTTACTATATAATTGATCTCATTTAAGGAAGACACTACACATTGTGTGTGCTAGAGTATTTTTAGACATTGCAGTATCACTATGATGCCATGATTTAATAGGAAATTGTTATGTGTTCTTATGTCACTGTAATGCATGGGAAATGTGTATATAGTGTGATATGAACATGTGTATAGTCTGAGGATGGAAGAGAAGGATATGTCATTCATTTTATGTTCGTGGTTTATGATATTTTATTATTAACGGTAGGTCCAACCCCTTCCAGACCTCACTTGTCTCAGGATACCTTTACCCCTCTACAACCTGTGAGCTACATTATACATACTCTCTTGAAATATTCGATAATTATTTACTCACTTCTCCCCCCCCCCACTCTCTCTCTCTCAGATTCGTCCAGCTCCTCAGCCTCCTGGTTCCGAGACTGCTCCTGCTATCCCACCTCGTCCTGCCATCACAAAGAACAAAGATCTACCTCCCACTCCTCCACCTAAATCAGCATTAAAACCACCTGCACATGCAGGTGAGACCAAGCGTTGCATTCAAGTGCCACTCTGAGTACATGTAGCAGCTGCTATTATTACAATGTAGTAACATGAATCTCAATAGTGTACATATGCTGTGTACTATTATTTTACCATACATGGTCCATGTAATTGTATGAAATTGTGTGAATGCCAAGTGTCAGTCCTGGTAGCAGTGTTATACACTAGCTATTAGCTAAACTGTTAGAATATCTCATGACTACTCATATCCATTCTACTTCATTACCCTCCCTCCAATTAATTATATACATGTACATGTATGTATACCTTTTCCTTTTTCACATTTTTCCTTTTTCTTCCTTTTTACCGTAGTTATGCTTCCTTTCTATCCTTTTAGTTTTATACTTGTACTACATGTACATGTATATGGTCTAAAAGTCCATTGTGTTGATGTCTTGTTTATTTGTTTTTCTCTTCAGGTGCTCAACAAGGCGGCGCTCAGAAGAGAGACAAGAAGCCAAAGATGTCTGATGCTGAAGTTTTGGCACATTTAAGTAAGTGAAACCCTTCACGAAACACCATTTCCTTTTGTGAGTACACACACACATTATATTACATTTATGTACTCTGGTCTAGTGTACATGTACTTTTGTAGTTTTTAAATTGTGCTTTCTCTTTTTGCTTCCTCTTTCATTCTCTGTGTCTCTTTTCAACTACAGGACAGATTGTAAGTATTGGTGATCCTACAAAACGCTACACAAAAATGGAGAAAATTGGCCAAGGGTAAGAGCTAGTGAATATAATAATAATGATAATAATAATAACAATAATGATGATAATGACTGATGGTTATGATGATAATTTTTTGCTTATTTTTGTGTTACGTTTGTGTTTCTTATTATAAGAATCATAATTATTATCATATCCAAATATGGCAATCCTTCTTTTTAAAATTGAATTGTAATGTTTATTGTATTATTTCCTGTATGCATGTTGTTTGATTGATTGTTTATGCGTAAACAAAATTGTTAGATTTTGCATATATACCTGCTAATATTGTTCTCTCTCTCTCTCTCTCTCTCCCTTCCCCTCTCTCTCTCTCTCTCTCTCTCTCTCTCTCTCTCTCTCCCTCTCCCTTCCCCCTCCCCCCCTCTCTCTCTCAGAGCTTCAGGTGTAGTATATACAGCTAGTGAGATTGCTACTGGAAATGAAGTAGCCATCAAGCAAATGAACCTTCAGCAACAACCCAAAAAGGTATTAAACTTAATTGTTACATTGTGAGCATAATTTGATAATTAATGGCCATATTTCCTTCTCTTAGGAACTTATTATTAATGAGATTATTGTCATGAAAGAAATCAAACAACCAAACATAGTCAATTTCTTGGACAGCTATCTTGTTGGTGAATCAGAGCTATGGGTAAGGAAGGAGAGGGGGGTGTGGTACTACAGACTGTAGTTGAGAAAATTAGGGGAATATACTATATGCATGTAGCTAGTGTATAAATTCATGCAGTTTGAAAATTGAATGTATGTATATGTACAATGCTCGTGTGAATACTGGTAGGAATGTTACATGTGTGTGTGATATGTATATGCATGTACATATACTGTATGTGAGAAGTGGTATAATTTGTACTTTGTACTGTTGTAAATATAATAATCTAAAGATATTCCCTGCCCTGTCATCAGAACAAAACAACAGAAGTGGTACTAATGATCAGATCCATTATTAATGAATTAGAGGGTCATTTAACTCGCTTATTGTCACCTTCTCAGCCCTTTTTAGCCAATCAGTTATACATGTACATATATATATTAGCTGACATTATAGATGCTACATGAATGTACATGTTAATGTACAGTATATATACTTGGCAGTTGTGTTATCTGCTTCCTGTGTGTAGTGTAGTATGCTTATTGAGGTAGCAAGTTTTTCTAATTATTACAACAATGAAAGAGAAATAAAAAAATAATTTCACTCACTAGAAACCCATTCATGTAGTAGATTGCTACAGTACATGTACATGTAAGTTGTACTGCATTATTATTGAATCATATAGGCATATTGTTATTGTTATTATTGCTGTAGGTTGTAATGGAGTATCTTGCTGGTGGCTCATTGACTGATGTTGTTACAGAGACCTGTATGAATGAGGGACAAATAGCAGCTGTTTGTAGAGAGGTAATGACAATTATGACACTTTGTACTACACACACTGTTAGCAAACAAGTACAATGCTAGTATTAGCCCTAGCTATCATGAGTCGATTCCCATCAAAATGAATTTTGTGAGTTGCTAAAATTTGGCTATAAAGTCCATGGGCTATAGTACAGGGTATTTCATCAAAAATGGCTAGGAATGATTTTTTGTTTCTATAATTTTTTCCTAATGCGTATACATGTTTTCATGTTGTGTAGAAAGTTTGAGTGGATTCCAATCAAAATTGGATTTTTTACGAATTTTTAAAGTTAGTCAAAAATTAGGCCAAAGTCCCTGTACTATAGTACAGGGTTTTTGGCCAAATTTTGCCAAAAATGACTAGAAAAGAATTCTCTATTTTTATATTTTTTCCTGATACATATACATGTTCTTAAGTTGTGTACCAAGTTTGAGCTGATTCTGATAAAAATTAGATTTTTTACGAATTTTTAAAATTACTAAAAAATCAGGCCAAAGCCCCTGTACTATATAAACGTTACACGTTATGGGTAGTAATTAACCATAACATTTTAAAATTGGCATATTTTGATACAATGCACACAACTTGACACTACTCCTCTCTCATTCCTTCAGTGCTTACAAGCTCTTAAGTTCCTTCACGATAACCACGTCATTCATCGTGACATAAAGAGTGACAATATACTACTAGGAATGGACGGACAAGTTAAACTAAGTAAGACTTGGTTACACAATTTACACACCTATACATATTTGCCCTGTATAAAGAGTCTAAAGGTGGATTCTCAATATGACGCATTGCTTTTCATGCTCTAGCGTCATGACCGGAAGTGCTGTATAAACCAATGGGAGTATGCGTCAATGCGTCAGAATAGAAATGTTTTCTAATCTGACGCATTGACGCATGTTCCCATTGGTTTATACAGCACTTCCAGTCGTGACGGACACACATGCATCATATTGAGAATCCACCTTAACTCATTTATGCACTGAGCTTTGTCTTACATTTTGTTTTATTTACTATTTATAAAAACGTTACATAGAGTTGAGAGGCTTGCATGTGATTATCACGTGTCTAATAGCTCATGGATAATAGCTCATCAATTAATTATTGTGTGTATTTTTTAGCTGATTTTGGTTTCTGTGCACAAATCACTCCTGAGCAGAGCAAGAGATCAACAATGGTTGGCACACCCTACTGGATGGCCCCTGAGGTTGTAACTAGGAAACAATACGGACCAAAGGTTGACATATGGTCGCTGGGAATAATGGCCATTGAAATGGTTGAGGGTGAACCTCCTTATCTAAATGAGAACCCACTGAGAGTAAGCCTGTTATGTATGATCATTTAAATGTATTCTTATTTATTTATTATTATTATTATTTATGTATTATTTAAAAGTGTATAGGCTATAGTTGTGATTGCATGCTTGTGTAAATGCATTTTAAAAAGTCATAGAATAATACCGTATGCGGGTATATTTTGTCTGGAAAAATGTTCGTTCTAAGCAGGATTAAAAATTTTTGTTTGTTTTATTTTCGTTCTGAGCAGTCATTTTGCACACGTGGCATTGAGGAAACGCCTTTTTCTTGTGGAAAATATTCATTCTACAAGGAATGAGAACGAAAAGAATGAAATTAAACTCTGAAGGACTATACCCTATACACAGTAATATGTTTTAAATAATTTTTATGTCAACTGAATCAACTCCTTCATGGCTCATTGACTTCGGTTTATTGTATGAGGGGGAGAGTTTATTAGTTAAGCACAGCCTGGAGCTCCTATACATACACAGACTCACCTTTTGTTGTTAGTAATTTACTGTTGATCGGTTGGTGCATTCTCGAGTCTTTGGAATAATTAGTCAAAACGGTAGTAATTGTTGCTTACCATATATGGCAAGTGAGACTAATGCGCGTTATTTTTGTTGATGAAATTGAGCTGATTCCTCTTTATGAGGGAAATAGAGGCACAAAGATGTATGTACATGAGCTTTGTATATACTGTAGAATGAATGAATGAATGCAGTAGCTATGATTTAATTGTATTATACAATGGACTTTTTATGTGGCTGGTGTTTATTTTTATTGAGATATTGGCTCATATCCACTGGATCAAATGTATTGAAGGACAACCTGTTTTACCTTCCCTTGCCAGGGGATGGTTGCTTTGTAGTCTAGACCTTTGTTAAACTGTTTGACAACTGTAATTATTAACAATTATAAAAATAGCATGACTGCGTATGGCATATATTCCCCATCTCTTTTTCCTACAGGCCTTATATTTAATAGCCACCAATGGAACTCCAGAGTTGCAGAATCCAGAGAATCTCTCTAGAGTCTTCCGTGATTTCCTTGATCGCTGTTTGGAAATGGAAGTGGACAAGAGGGGATCAGCTAGCGAACTATTGACGGTAATTTGAACACAAATTGTCTCCTCTAACTTCCCCCTCTCTCTTTTTGTACAATCTCCTTTAATCATTACTATCTCTTCTCTCTCTCTCTCCCTCCCCCCCTCTCTCTCTCTCTCTTCTCTCTTTATTATGTTATGCAGCATGTATTTTTAAAGAAAGCTGCTCCACTTTCAAGCCTTACACCACTTATCATAGCTGCTAAGGAGATGGCAGGAAAGCGTTAGACGGAACATGCAGATATATCTTCTCTTCTCTCCCTCCCTCCCTCTCTCTCTCCCTCAAGAATTTTCATCTTTTTGTTCTCGTCTGACTTTATGAGTTTTTTTATTGCAAGAAAACCAGTTTTTCCTTTTAGAGTGTTTTCTTTTTTCGTAATAATTTATTGTTCGAAATAAGCGTTATTATTTTAATAAGTAACTTATATGCACATTGTAGTTATTGTTATTATTATTGTTGTTTTGTTGTTATTAGGATGATGTAAACGTTAAGTTAATATTTTTGTTGTTTTTTGCTGCATCAGCACTTGATTTTCAATTGTATCATAATTTTTTTGTTTTATGTATCAATCACCTTATTATTATTATTATTATTATTATTACTAGTTTTTGTTTGTTAATAATTATAATTGTTGTATGTGATGATTTTGAGTGACAACCTAGCAATTATTAGCTAACCAATAAATATTCTGGCATCATTGCAGCACTGACTGTCTGACTGGTTTCAAAAATTGATCTGCTTAAAATTTTTTGACTGGAAATAGATTTTCACACCTGTTAACTAGCACCTCAAAATGCTAATGAGGTGATGCACATGTATGACTTGGAGTGTCTTATTTTACCAATTTTATTGCTACCGCCAGTATGTTTAATAAAAATATTCAATATGTTATAATTTTAGTGTTCAAAGTAGTGTCAATTTATATTATATAATAATATTAATAATAATAATAATAATAATGTTATTGAGAAAAATAACCAACCATGTGTCAGCCACCAAAGGCATCAAAAATGAAGAGAAGGAGAGAGAGAGAGAGAGAGAGTGAGGGATCATTGTACATGTAAATATTTTGTTTTATTTTTCCATAAAAGGTTGCTGTTGTTCTGTCTTTGCGTGCAATTTTTGGGTGATAGAAGAAATGAGGAGAGGAAGAAGAAGAGGAGAATTTGTGAATAATGTGAAGGAGACAGTTAGTCAGTGGGTGAGTCCTCTAAGGAGAGAAAAGACGTGGACGTTATAGAATGCGATACCGGTATAACAGGAGCAAATTTTTTCATAATCTCTACAACTTTTACATTTGAATCTAGCACCTGCACAAAGAGAAAGAAAATACAGACAGACATGTACATGTAATCAAAAGAATAGTGGATTAATATAGACAGTGTGTAAGATGATTTGAGTTACATGTAAGAAATATGAAATGTTCTGTTTGTTACTTTTAACAAGTTTTGTCTTGTCTCTTGAATATGGAGTAGTGTCCTGTTAGTCCTCTCTTTAGTGCCCTGTGTGAATTAACACCAATTAATAAAGTGCAGGATCAACCCTCTCTCTCTCATTCTTACAAGTATCAGGTTTTCAAGGAACTTGCGATTGCTCTCTGTAATGGTTCCGTTATTGTTTGGTAAAGATGCCATCACTTCCTTGCCAGACTCTTCCAGCTCAACCATCAGCTCTAACACGCCTTTCTCCACACTCTCCTACAGCAAAGTATCACCATAAATCATACTATACAGTCAGCAGGTTAATTCATACAAAGCATGCTAAGCAAGCTAAACAGCAGGCTTTATGAGCTGACCAGTACTACAAACATGGCTTTTGGAGCATCTTTAAAAATTCATAAAAATCCAGTTTTGATTGGAAGCAGCTCAAACTTAATTGCTACCCAGCATAAGAACATGTACATGTATATGTATCAGAAAAAAAAATGGAAAATTCTCTCCTAGCCATTTCTGGCAAAATTTGACCAGTGACCCTGTGCTATAGTACAGGGTATTTTGTCAAATTTTGAAGCAACTTTAAAAATTCGTAAAAAATCCAATTTTGATCGGAATCAGCTCAAACTTAATTGCTACAGAACTTAAGAACATGTATATGTATCAGAAAAAAAAATTAAAATGGAAAATTCTTTCCTAGCCATTTCTGGCAAAATTTGACCAGTGACCCTGTGCTATAGTACAGGGTATTTTGTCAAATTTTGGAGCAACTTTAAAAATTTGTAAAAAATCCAATTTTGATTGAAATCAGCTCAAACTTGCTACACAACATTAAAACATGCTATGTATCAGAAAAAAATTATAAAAACCTATAATTCTCTCCTAGTCATTTTTGACAAAATACCCTGTACTATTATAGTCCATGGTATTTAGTCAAATTTTGAGCAGCTTTAAAATATCATCAGAATCAGCTCAAACTTTCTGCACTAGATACATATACATACATGTACATGTAAGTCCACCTTATGAGAGATGGTAAGAAGCTGAGCACTACATTTGTATATCAAAATCCTGTAGGAAACCATAGCACAGTGTAGTACAGTGGGCCATGGAACACATGGCAGATTACTACATGCATAGTATAGTAATGGGCACATGGTTTATAGTACACATGTAGTAATGGGCAAATGATACGTAGTAATAGATACACTATAGTAATAGATACACTATAGTAATAGATACACTATAGTAATAGAACAAGTGATGCATAATAAAATTATAGTAGTAATGGATGTGGTGACATTATGAGATAGCAATGAGCATATTGTATGTATGTATGTGTGTGTGTGTGTGTGTTTATATAGGTATAATGTTGTAGTATTCTAAGAAGGTCACTCACAATTTCATCAAGATGAGACTTCACGTGTTGTAATTTCCATCCACTGCTTCTCAACCACATTTCTTTAGTGCTGCACATCTCGTGTAGTGAGACAGGTAACTCCTCTATTAATGAATAAACAAATAAATAAAGAGCTTCCATTCCTCCCTTGATACAGTATTACATACAGTACATACTCTTTTCCCTCTACTTAAATATTCTCTTTCCTTTTACTAATGATAATGCTGGCATTCAGTTGTACATGCATACGTATAAGTGTGTACAATCTCTCACCATGTAGTTTAATGTCAGAGTGACGTTGAAAGTGATTGCAACCAGATCTGTGTGATCTCTTGCAGAGATAGCCAATCGGGTATTGGGACCTCCGAAGCTGTGACATGTAGACCTTCTCTGTCTCCTTTCCTGAGGATTTACCCTCTCCCCCTCCTCCTCCTGTCCCTCTCTCGCTGTGACTACTCCAGTCCTTGTTCTTCAGAGGGAGGGGCCCGGGGAGTCTCTCGTGTGCGATCATTGAACTGATCCTTTGAGAGCTGTTAGGGACTGAACCATCACTAATGGAATCACTAGAGGAATAGAGGCCATGTTCTTCAATAATTATAATGTACATGTAGTGTACATGTAGTGTATTGTATTGTATTGTATTGGGTCTAAAATGGATGGTTTCTTACAGTTGTTGCTTCCGAGGTCGTTTACGTGGAGACGAGATGTCCGAGCCGGTCATGTGATTATCATGTAAGTTGTTATGTTCGTAACACAAGAGATTAGGTTTGACTGAACAACTGTAGAAGAAAAAATAAAAATAAAATAACAAAGACTATTATACAGTAAAAGTACTTTATGGGTAGTCGAGGGAGGAAGGTGTGGCCACTATTGTTTGATGAAGAGGGGGACACAAGAGAATCAGACGACCTAAAGAACACGCACAAAAATAATTTAATACAAATCAAACCACACTCACCTTTCTAACGGCCTCTTACGTAATATACTGGGTCTAGGAGAAGAGGAACTCCCTGCAACCCCAACCGACGTCACGTGACCACTCCCAAAAACCCCACCCCCAACATGAGCTGTACTTGAATCAGCAAAATGATTAGCGTGGGCGGACGGGGACTGTATCCCTTCGTCTCCCTGTTCATCCAGTTGAGGTGGGTCGGTCGGGGTACTCGGCCATTGACCATCATTAGACTGCTTGTTATTCTCAATGGAGAGGGGAGAGGAGGAGGCAGAAGAGGTAAGATTAGCAATGTCTTTCCCTGTTAGATTAGGAGCTGGGATTATGATAGTTTTACTCATTGCTTCGGGCCATGGTATACTCTCTCCGCTCCCTCCTATAGTGAGTGATAAGGTGATAATGTGATAAGTATTTTAATTGTGTGTGTGTATACTCACTTGCTCCTCCTCCTGTTTCAGATTCATAATGGTTGAATGATGATGAGCTAGGCTGTAATCTGGATAGAGGAAGAGAGAGAGAGAGGAAGAAAGGTAGGAAGAGAGAGAAAGAGAGGGAGGGAGGCATTGGTTTGACATTATAATAACTTAAGAGGAGGAAACACTTGACAAGGATCTATAAACACACCCAGCCTCAATGCTAAAGCTTTAAAGGGGTTAGCTTACATTACACATGCACATTATATACAGTACATGCACAAGATAAATCTCTTCATATACATATAGATGTAGCACGTACCATGCAGCCATCAGATGTACATGTACATGTGTATAATTAAAACCATGCAGTTTTATTCAATGCAGGACATACAATGAACTCAAAAATGCATTAAACAAATTGTAACATAAAAACGCTGATACATATCAACAAATAAACACACCACATGTAACACATGCTAATGTACATGTACATGTATAAATACAATAACATGAATAATTACATACATAAATATAATAATCTTTAACTCATGCAAATACACGTAAATACATACAGTAGCTTTTATTTCATCATAAAAGAATAAAACATTATACCTCTCATGTCTTTGCTGTTCGCTAGGTATTAGAGTAGTTGAAGATGACATACTCACAGTTGAGGGCGTGGCCACATGAGAAAGAGGCGGAGACAATCCTTCGGTACACACAAGGGTAGCACCTCCACCCATACCACTTGCTAGTGTCATAACGGTCACACCTAACAAATAATTAAAATGATAATAATTACATGTACAGGTGACATGTGTTAATTACCTCCATCACTCTTAGACAAGGACTCATACATTCCTTTCATGTCTTGTTTGGCTCCGCCCATCATAGCCACGCTCCCATAATGATGCATATAATGGGATACGGGCGGAGTAGGATAACTACTCACGACTTCAGAATTAACGAGATTCGGTTTAACGAGATTAATGTTCATACCGGCAGGAGACGGACTCAGACCCATACCACCAGTTGGGTTCATTCCCATACCGCCAGTCAATAACGAGTTGACTGGACTCGGAGTATTACGATCTGACTGTCTCACAGCCATCATCTGTTTGCTGGTCACGCCTTCAAGCTTTCCCTTTCTTGTCGAGTTCAGAGACCCACTGGGTACCTTGTTGCTCGAGTGAGCAGAATGAGGAGGTTTGACTGGATAGGACATCATGGGGAAGAGCTCATTGGTCGTCATTGCAACTGGGGACGTGACCAAGTCGTGCGACTGGGTGACATGACCCGAGGAAACGACAGAAGACTGAGAGGTTTTGTGTGACTTGTTGGGTTTATTGGGAGTACCTAGATTAAGAGCTGGAGAAAGAGAGAGAGAGATAGAGAGAGAGAGAGAGAGAGAGAGAGAGAGAGATTATTAATGGAAACAATAAGTTATAGAGGGTGTGTAAAACAGGAATGAGAGCAAGCCAGACTAGTGTAGTATCACTATGGACACCACATAACAACAGGGCGAAGCCATAGGAGTGAGGTTAAGTGCAATAAGAGGCTGAACTTCAAACCAAGAGCTAATTATCTCTTTGAGTAAACCCATACTAATCAAAACTATCACACATAAAGCATTCTTTCCCTCTCTCTCCAGCCCCATTGGCACACAATAACTCACATGGCATGAAAATGGGAGGCCCCAGATCATTAGAGAGCCCTGGTGCAACCGGTCGGCCGGTGCCACTTGCAATGGTCAACGGGTGCATGTACGAGGGTGAGAAATACGGGCCAATGTGCGGTGGGGCGTGGGGGTGTGGCGGAGCATGGCGGGACATGTTTGCATCTGCCGATATGTAATAAGGTGTAGGTAAGTGCTGGTGAGTGGGGGCGTGACCACGGGACACTTTAACAGCAGCAGGACTGTGGTCCTATTGAATGAAAGCAAGTGTAGTATTGGTGGGCATTAATTGGAAACGTACCTCAAGTTTGTGACTTTTGTCTGTCATCCAGTTGATATTAGTGGCTTGTATGGCCTTCACTGGGCTTAGGGGGTCTTGTACAATGAAACAAATGCACTCTTTCTTTCTCTAACCAGTCCAAAGATAGTGGGCTTGTGTTTCTATGCCGACAGTAGACCCATAACATCAGAACTGTTTGGCTAAGTGAGGTAGGGGCAGATGCTGGGCTGGACTCGGTCTCTCTTCTCTCAGGACTGGATCACTGCCTCTAGCCAGTCCCTGGACGGGATATAGTACTGGTCCTTCAATTGGAAGGGGACGCTGTGAATTGGTGGTAGCCTTTCAAAGCTTGTAGTAGATGCCTTTGTCTCGTTTGAGACGAACAGTCCAATGCTCTCCCGTGGAAGGATAGACAGACTAGAAAGCTTTCAAAAGACTCGGACACGAGGATAGCTTCTGTTACCACTTTATCCTTCTCTCTCCTCTCCTTTTCTCTCTCTAGAGTGGCTGCAAAAGATAGGGACACTCTCAATCCACGCCTGTTCCTGTGTATGTACTTGCTTGCATGCAAGACGCGAGTAATCTCGTTATCTGTGTTTATTTTAGACTGGGCGTGGCCACGTGGGAACGCGGCGATCCGATTGGTCGGTTTTCAAATAATTTTGGGGCGGGAAAGAAAAGACGGCTCTGATTGGTGGGATTGAAGAGTGGTTTTGGCGGGTAATCATTGCATCCTGTTGGGAACTGCTGACTCGGCAACTCGTGTTAATGTGTTTACTCTTACAAGATGGAGACCAACGAGCCACTAAAGACACAGCTACACAGCAAACTCAACGACTTTAGCTCACTAACCAGGTTTGTATCGATCTAGAACCGTGCATTCAGCCCATGTTTATTCCCCTCGTTGGGAGTTACCACTCGCCCACGCATTGTTCTAATTAATATAATGATATTCATTGCTCAATGAAATTAATTGATGATAATTAATTTTTGTAGGACTCTTTTAGAGCTCATAAATTCTGACAAGCCCAATGTGAGTATAGGAGGAGGTCCAGCCAAGACTGGCGAGACAGGAGAGATGACATTATCAGGAGTATGTACACAATTTATGGGACTATTATTTTTTGGTTCCTAATATCATTAATATTTATATTAGGATATTAATTACTAATTTACTGTGTTAAACTTAATTAGTAAAAACTATTATAAGAATAGTTGCTACCCTTTGTCTGCACTATAGCTTTACATTGTTTTAGTTCAATGATGTACATCATTCTCAATGGAAGGAAAACAAGCACACAATGTATTGGAATGATATTTTTCTATTAGTGCCAGTTTTCAAAAGAAATTCCTCGATAAATTAATCTCCTCATAATCATAGCAGCAAATGCATGCATCACAGATAAAGCATAATTGAACCTCTACTCATAGCATATATGCACATCAATAGTATGCATGTAGTTACATGTACATGTATGTATTGCGAGCTTTCTGTGGCCTTTTATGATTATTATGTGCATCTCTTGTAGGTTCTGGATAAATTGATTGATAGAGATAAAGAGATTCAAGCACTAGTAGAAACAGGTACTTTGTATGTCATTATACAACCTGTACTTGAATCCTTGAATCTTTTTGCTAATTTTAAATCCAACTTTATTCAGAAATTATGGTAGGAAAAGATTTTATCGGAAAGCGGAATACAAATGAAGTCCCTCTTATATAGCCATTGTTAATTTGGCCAAAAACCATGTACTGTAGTACATAAAAATTCATAAAAAATCCAATTGTGATGATTAAAACTTGCTACATAGCATATGTACATGTATAATTATGTATCAGAAAAAATTATTAAAATGGAAAATTCTCTCCTTACATTTTTGGCGAAATTTAGCCAGTGACCCTATACTATAATACAGATCTTTTGTCAAATTTTGGGGCAACTTTAAAAATTCATAAAAAATCTAATTTTGATTAGTACTCGTTCAAAATTTTTACACAGCATATTTGCATGTATATACAGTCAAACCTGTCTATTCCGGACACCTTGGGACCCAATAAAACTGTCCTTATTAAGGAGGTGTCCTTATTTCAGAGGTTCATTAATACACATTTATATTGTATTGGGACTGATACTACCTATCCTGATTATAGAGGTGTCCTTATTTTAGACTGTCCACAATAGCAGGTTTGACTGTATATGTATCAGAAAAAAATTTATAAAACTGAGAATTCTCTTCTAGCCATTTTTGAAGAATTACCCTATACTACAGCCTACAGGGTCTTTTGTTTGAATTTTTAACAGCTTTGAAAATTTATAAAAATATTGGAATCAGCACAACAAAAGGATGTGCATAGCTCTGCCTATGGTGGTCAGGGGTGGTCGAGACAACCACCTCAACAAATGAACCAACCAGTTTATCACTTAGACCAACCAGTTTATCACTTAGACCAACCATGCAATTAATATTAACAACCACACATAAAGCATGATATTGTAGTCTACTAGTATGGTGTATATGAATAATAAAAGAAACAATATTATTCTCCAACCACCTTTAATTTTTTTCTAGGCAGAACCCTGAACATGTATATATGCATTAGAAAAATATGAGAATTCTTTCCTAGCCTTTTTTGATAAATACCAGGCGGTACCATGTAATATATGGTCCATCAAATTGTAGAGCAATTTAAAAAATGTTTTTACTATAATGAAAAGAGAAAAACCCACAAAGCTATAATAACACTAAAACAAAACTTCTTGTTATTATTATTATTATTATTTATTATTATATTTATTAGCTATACAGATGAGAGGGAGGCAGCGTGATATTGATTGGTTTGAGAATCAGATTGACATGCGTAAGAATGACCTTGAGGACCTTCAGAATAGACTTTATGATGCTGAGAAACTACTGGTAAGACAAAAAAAAATTAAAACTAGTGAAAATTAGAGGTATTGACTATTTGACTATAATTGAGTATGGTTTTGTATTATTGATGTTTTTATTAACTTTTGTGGTATAACACAAACTCAAGGGTAGAGAAAAGAGAAGGGAAAACCCCATCAGCAATAAAAAAATTAACAATCATAACACTACTAAAGATATAATAATTATTATTGCTGCTATTTTTACTAATCAGGAGTTGACAGTGCATCAGGGAAAACAGAAGTTGGACTCAATTGAGAAAGCACAGCAAGGTAAGAAAGATGATATGTAGCGTACTCGGTTAATCACCATAATTAATATTATTTATATTAGGGGCAGTGTCACCAGAGAAACTCATTCATTATGCACACAAGATCAGTCAAGCCAGTACTGCTGTCTCACCTGTTGGCTGGCAACCAAGTGAGTTACAAAACAGAATGAATGTAGCATGTAGTACTAGTGATTGTAGCCTATCAATAGGTTTAGGATTAATAGCGACAAAATGTGCTCTTGGTAGCAATTAAAGGATTAAAAGTTATGTACCAATAGCTGTTTTGTGAATTAGTGATAGCATATACCAAGAGCTGATAGACTGTATAGTTTTTCTAACTTCTTATGTACCAATTGTATAAACTAAAGTTATACTAACACTCATTATCAAGAGTAAATTAGTATGTTATCAAGCTCAAGATTGACGGCAATTTTGTGGTTTTATCCACTCCTTTTCACTGATTTCATCAAGATCACTTGATATACCCAGGGCATCAAACACTGAACATTCCTTTATCCTAAGGAAAAGCCTTGGGCCTAGTGCTTCATGTTTTGCTGCCATGATTGGTGGTATCACTGTAGAAGCAAAAAATAAATACAAATATACTAATAATGATACTCTAGTACCTGAATGATCTTTAAAAGTTACTTTAGCAAGCCATATTGGATTTTTGTCTAATATTTTAACTTTTTTGACAACAGGACGTCTTATATGATCATTAAAATATTCTGTTAGTTTGGCTTCAGTACCATATGGTGATCTGATCCCAGTAATAACAATGCTGTGATTGTGTTCACATCTTTCTGCAGTAAAAGCATACTTCATTAGATTTGTAGTGATATCATTCATTTCTGTAGTGATAGATCAAACAAGTGTAAACTCATATATAATGTTTTTATTACCTTTGTCAGTTTTGGAATTAGTGAAGGTCAATACAGCAACACAGGATTTGAGCTCAAGTGTGAAATCATTTATTGCATCTAACTGCAAAATATCTGCAATTGATAGAGTGATGTTTTTTTCAGTTTCAAACACTGAAATATTTTTAATGATTAGCTTTTTGTTGTCATATTGGGATTGCTGTGAAGAGGCTCTGCCAACAAAAGGTTTTTTGATATCTTGTTCTTCCCTAGGCCTTTCACAAAACACGACCTGGAATAAAAATTAAATGTACATGTAGTTATATCAAAATTCAAATAATGTGAACTGGATCTAATAATGTATGTTCTTTTTATGCACAAGAGATTCAGCATAAGTAATGTACAAATGTATTTAGTAACTTACAGGTGAAAATGGAGCCTGTGGAGCTATATCTAAACTAGTTCTGTGAGCCTGAGGTGGAGGTGGTTTTCGTTTTAGTCCCTCGATTTCCTTTTCAAAACTCTTAAGTAATGTACAAATGTATTTAGTAACTTACAGGTGAAAATGGAGTCTGTGGAGCTATATCTAAACTAGTTCTGTGAGCCTGAGGTGGAGGTGGTCTTCGTTTTAGTCCCTCAATTTCCTTTTCAAAACTCTTAAGTAATGTACAAATGTATTTAGTAACTTACAGGTGAAAATGGAGCCTGTGGAACTATATCTAAACTAGTTCTGTGAGCCTGAGGTGGAGGTGGTCTTCGTTTTAGTCTCTCCATTTCCTTTTCAAAACTCTTTTTTAACTTTTCCTTCTCAGCAATCAATGAACCCTTGAACTCTTCCATTTGCTTTTCTTTTTCAGCTCCAAACAATTCTCTGACTTCTTTCAGCTGATCCTGTGACTGTATATGATACTCCTCCTTCATTCTCTCATGTTCATTGATGCACTGCTCCTTGCATTCCTTCATTCTGATCTGGTGCTCTCTCTCATACAATTGCTTCATTTCTGTTGCTAGTCTATGCCTGCTGACTTCATACTGCTCCTTGAGGCTGGCTAGCTGTTGCTCCCTGTCAGTGTAGTATTGCTTCTGTAGTGTGTCCATTTGTCTTTCCCTCTGGTTGTGGTACTCAATCTCCAGCTTTTGCATCTGCTCTTTGACCTCCTCTTCATATTTCTCTTTTAGCTCTTTCTCGTAGTATTTCCTCAGCTCAATCAATTGCTTCTGGTGCTCTGTGTCGTATTGCTTCTTGAGAGCTTCCAATCTTTCTTTCTCTCTCTTTTCGAATTCTTTTTTCATATCTTCCATTTGTTGTTGGTGCTCTTTGTTGCACTTCTTTCTCTGTTCAGCCATATTTTGAGTAAACTCAGCTCGTAGGCCATTCATTAACGTAATCATTTGCTGTCTGGACTCTTCTTGGTATTCTCTCTGTAGTTCTTTCATTTGCTCCTTCTTCTCATTTTCAATTTGACTCTTTGTTTTTGCCAGTTCTATCTCATGCTCTTTCCTCAGTTCTTGTAGTTTCTCCCTCTGCTCTTCTCTTTCCTTAGCAAGCATATCTTCAAAGATCTGTCGTAGCTTCTCCTGCTGCTCGATAAAGAAGGTTGTCTGGAGCTTACTGATAATCTCAGTAGTAGCTTTATCAACTTCAATTTGTTTCAGATTGACAGACTCCAAGACATGCTCCAGTTTCTGGGCTCCTCCTTTACACTGGGTCACTAGCTCCTCAATGTGTGCACTCTCTGACTTGCAAAGCTCATTAAACTGAGCCAGTGTGGCATGGAACTCTTCCTTGAACTCCTCAGTGACTCTCATCGTCCTCTTTATTTGAAGCTCTGGTGGTAGATTAGTGCATATTGATTCGTGATCCTTTGTTTCCCTCCGCTGGTAGGATCCTGGACAACCGAATGGGCATTTGACTTTAACATACCCACAAGCACCTTTCTCAACATCAATGTGCTTGTACATGTTACGTAACTCCCCCTCCCACTCACATCCCTTATTGTAGTGTATGCAGTGAACTCTTAGTCCCAATATCTTACGCTCTAGCTCTTTCTCTAGCATTATATTATTGAATGGCTGACGGCATATCGGGCAAGGCTGGTCAGAGTATTGTAGACGTGTGATGCAAGGGCCACACACTTTGACACCACAGCAGGAGACAATGTGTGGCTCTCTTAGGACATGAAGACATACTGGACACTCATATTCCTTAGGAACTGGATCAATGAACTCTGGCTCTTCTTCTTCTTCATTTATGGGTTGTGCTGCTTCTCTGTCTTGTTCTTCATTGAATGAACAGTCACCAGAATTGCATGTGGCCATTTTACATGAGGTTACGTATTATGATAACAGGAACTACTAACTATATTGTCCCTCCTATGCTGTTGTTTTAATGTTAATGTTAATTACCACTTGATTAGCTCATTCCTTAAAATTTAATTCTGCATCGGTTGTGACCAAGTTACTGTATTAGTGCAATGAACCTGTTACCGCCTAGTACCATCTATCTGGAAATTTGTACTGTAATTTTACTAAATTAGAATTTTGCAAAAATTAGATCATGCATATAATAATTACATGCCACATTCAATAATGCATGACAAAATTAAATCACAGCATGATTTTGAAACACAAAAATTTTCTACCACAAATTTCCTCATATACGGTATAAGCAGACATGGCATTACTACTGGGAAATTTTTACTGTTCCTATTATATTAGGTAACTGGAATGATGAATCCAAATTTAATTGGAATTTGGAATCATCTCAAACTTTCTATATAACGTGTATTAGAAAATAATTATATAATAACAATTTTTAATTCTCTCATAATAGTTTTGGGGCAGACCCAGGGGGCATTTTTACATTATATAAGGTACATGTACACTTAAGGTCAGACAGTTGATATTTTCATTGTAATAACAGAATCAGACATTTATCGTTATTCATGTCCAGAAGCTAAAGAAGAATGTGCCAGTATACATAACCTGGTAGCTTGATAATAGAAATGATTGATACAATACAGTAGCATATTATTGTAGCATATTGATGTGCTTTTAGTCCCAATTCTTATTTTGAAAGTCAATCTCTTCATGTGTAGCAAGTGATTAGTTAATTAAATGTGTGGGTGTTTGTTTATCACTATAAATGAATGGAGAGATTGTTATTGTGTATAAGTGACACCAAGAGTGGTGACACGTGTTCATTAAACTGATGCTTCATTGACACACAACAACATAATTCCCATTTCCATGCTGCCCACTTCTTCTCAACCTTACCATATATGGTATTGCAGTTAAGCCTCTGTTACATTCCAAACTGCATCGAATTTGTATCATAGCAGCTATTCATTGAGCCATGAAAACCTTCCTTTACGTCCTTGTATGGATAACATGAATTATATTTTTAATGTGATTCCGAGTATTTGTTGATATACAATCCATTAAAATCGTGTTAGCCGTCTGATTACTTGAAGGTAAATATGTTTACCTCCTTTTGTAAATTAGTGACAAAGACTAGGAGAGCCATATAAAGGAATTGTGATGATGATTGTTGAAGTGTATTGTATGCTCATTATTAAATTATGATGCTACTTCTCATGTTCCTTTCATCTCTCTCTCTCTCTCTCTCTCTCCTTTTCTCTCCTTCATTCTTTTCATATCTTTCTCACACCTTCCCTTACCTTCCCTCATCCCAATCTGGCTACAGTATTGCCTTTCTTAACAGACACTCTCTATAGCTGACACCTCCATGTAATGGACAGCACCTAGTGTACCAATTACATTCCCTATCTCCCCATAAAGGGCACCTCTGTATAACAGACAACTTTCTTATACATTATATAGAGGCTACACTGTAATGGGTCTCTATGTTCAATATTTCCAGTAAACAACATGTTTATTTTGTTATACCTGATCTTGCATGACTGCTTTGATCATATGATGACATTTGCTTGTATTCAATAGCTGCCCACCGCCTCTTTGTCTCTGTTATGCATGTTATTTCTCAGTTAGTTTAAAATCATTTCTTCAATTGATGTGCATTTGGTCTAGGGAATTTAACAGCTAGTCAAAGAATGTCATGTGCTCTGGCCCAATATTCCCTAGTGGCAGATGCTACGCCAACTGATGGGGCTACATTACTGCATTAAAATGCATACATGGCATGTTGCCTATCTTAGTACAGTTGTGCATTATAAGCAGGTTGATCTTATACTGTAAGCATTCAGGGAATGGACACTTACTTCATTTTTTCACAGAGAGTGTAACAGATTCCTTGTTAAGTTCATTTTAGTTAATTGACTTTTTTACTGTGTGTATATGTACACTGTTAATACTATATAGTGTATAATTTGGGGGATCTTTAAATTGCTTGTTAATTTCAATAAAAGTGAACTATAGTTCTATTTTTAGATTTTCCCTTTAGTTGATACAACAATGCTGAATTGGCTTGTTAAGGGAAAAGACCTACTAACATTTGTTTGTATTGTAGTAGTACATTGGTGTGGTCATCATGTGGGTAATAGGAGGGTGTACATGTGTCACCTACAACTGACCTTTCAGTGTTGTGTGCCTTAATTGTAACTAACACCTTCCACTTATTATTCCTCCAGTAAACATCCTTGTTGTGGTACATAATCAAAGATTGTAGACTAAGACAAACCTTATATTGATAACAAATAAACAATCATATAAATTCACACACACACACATATATATAGGGTATGTACATAGCCTATGGCACTAGGAATAGTTGATAGAGGGACATAGACATGCATGTGTACATAAAAGTATACCCAAACATCAAATGATGATCATCCATAAACATAAGTATAAGCATGCACACGCACACGCACAGACACATGCAGAGATAGGGGATATCCTGTATAATAGAATAAGCAATGTTAATTGTGTCTGTATTAGGACTGGTTTAGTTTCAGTCCAGCAATTGAACCTGTTGTTTGTGTTGCCTATCAAGTAGGGCTGGGTACAATAATAAACAATGATGTGTTGTTCTCTTTCCTCTTGTTATAAGGTAATATGTTTGAATGTTTACCCTTTGTTCTCTTCCTTGACATGTTCTGAATGACTCTCATCATTCCAAAGTCTATTAGCAGTGACCTGGGACTACCTATAATATTATACTATGCTATATACTATTATATTATAAGGTATAATGTATCTATCTTATCTCTTTCCTGTCATTTCAGAGTCTTCATTGTTACTTCGATTCCGTTTGATAATGACATTCTCATTTGTAGTTATGCTCAGTATGTTAATTGTTAAAGTGCAGCACATTTCTGGCAGGTGGTGCATTAGCCAGTCTTGTAGTTTAACACCATTTTACTTGTACTTGTATCTGCTTCTGAGAATTGGTTGTCTCATCATCTTTTTATTTTGGGTGCGGCACTTTAACAAAACACAGCATCATCATTACAATCCATTGCTACCACCTTGTGATGTCATGCGTTATAATTCAGCCTAACAGTTGTAATAAATAGTAGATCTGGCTAATTGTATTATCGCTATCAAATCAGTTCACTATCAAATGATAAATGAGAATGAAGTTTGGCTACTAACATAATAATTATGCCAAACCTTCTTCTCTTTAATTGTGCTTTATTAAATTCCTGAGGAAGTTTGACCAAGAATGATGATTTATATGGCAAGGCAAACGTTTCATTCCACAGTTATCATATGCCTAATTTACAGTATAATATGGTGTCATTTTATAGAACAAGTTGAAGTTTTAAATGTTGGCATCACATTGAAAAGGATCATGGAATGCTCGTTCTGGGCAGCAATACACAGCACTGTTATGCTGAAATAAGAATCCCCTTTAAATGGCTGACAGTCAGCATGTTTTTATTGCTCATAGGAAGCTGATGGTGCAGTGTATATGTGTGCAAGAGGAAATGATGAATCTGTGCTTGCCTGACAGGTCAAACTTTGAGTGGGCAGTGTTATCACTAGTATGTGCAGTGGCTTCCATTCCTTGGACATAATATTTTTGTTGTGGAATGGACTAGTTTATGGTTGGCATGCACCAAATGTGTACCGTGTATTTACATTCATGTCCACACATTAGGACTTTATATGGTCATTGATCAGTGAAGGGTTAAGCCAAAAATGCACACACAATGGCCATGTGAATGGAGTAGAGGTGGGTTTTGGTATGCAACTAGCCTGAATTCATGAATTGATTGGCCTTATCTAATGGTAGGAGGAGTATACCAACTATGCATTGTAGAGGTGAAATATGATAGTCTCTTAGGATTATTAATGAAATAAAGACTCAAACAAGCAGTTACTGTTATTAATTTTTTTTGAAGTAAATAGTCAGAAAATCTAACTGTGTGGAGTCACAGTGCTATATCAATTTGCTCTTATAACAACTGGAAAGAATAACTGTTTGAACTATGACTCTTTCTGCTCCAGGGATAATTCCTGAGGAGTCGTTAGTCAGATCTCCAGACTCGCTGGTGTCTCTAGCTTATCCTGTCAACATCTTAACTAGATTATGGGTACATGCTGTAGTATTTCTTGTGAGGTTTTCTATTGTTCGTTTTGTTATAAGTTCAATGGTGTTATGCTAACACAGCTGGTTTACATAGAAACACAAGTATTTTAAGTGACTTTGAAGAGCCGCCAATTGGGACTGTACATTACGTAGTCTATAATATCTATGATTGTATGTGTTTTGCAATTGTTCATCTTAAATAATTACTTAACTATTATTTTCAATGGTCAAAATGTTAGTTATTTTGTTATAACTATAGGTGATCCACGTCGTCCTTATCCACAGGATACTGAGATGAGGGCTGGTATATTGTGCAGGCTGAGTACCAGTGGCAAATTAACACCTGATGATCCTCCAGGAGACTCTAAGCCAGCCATTGGTGGATCTAGCATTGGTAGGTAATTATTCATTGAGCTATTTTTAGTAACACTTATAACAAAGCGCACGACCGCAAAAGTATACGTGGGCGGATTATCATTATAAATTCTGGGCATGCTGCCTGGAGAAGCAACAGTTTAAGCTTCAAGTTCAAACTTCTTTAGCCAAAAGAGACTATCACTATATTGCAGCAGCTATGAAAGGATCTCAAGTCAAACGAGTAGCCAAGGTGGCTTACACTAGATTTGATATGTGCGTCAGTACACTTTTCTCTCCTTTCGCTGGCGTCCTGTACACTGTCAACGTTTTCGAGAAAGGACCAGAGAAACGGCCAGTCCCAAGAACAGAATCCACTAGCTCAAGGAACTACAGCGAGGCTCCATAAGAAGCAGCCCCAGAAAACAGCCTGTGATGAGCGACAAACAAGCTCAAATCTGGCCGCCTGGTTCGCCTAGTTCTCCCGTGCTGCACTCGAGGCAGCTCTAGCAGTACTGAAAGCTACTTGAAACAGCGTAGCTACTTGAAACAGCGTTATACTGATTACAAGAATTAGCTCTATTGCTGGATTTATGATGTGGATAACTGGAGAAACACTGTGCACTGTGCTTATGAGTCTTTCTTCTCTTTTTGAACTTTTCCCATGTTTTACATGCTTGGTTTATCTCTACATTCTATATTATTTTTAATCATAATAATCTTATTGTTGTTTTTTATGCATTTGTACATGAGTTTGTATAAGATCTACTTTTATTACTTATTACTTTGGAAAAACAATTTGTTTATATCTAAAAGTTAAAATTAATTTCAACTTAGGAATGAATCAAAACAACAATCAGTCAAATGCAGTCATTAAAGACCAGCAGCAGCAGCCTAACAGTGTCCTAGACCAGGAACCAATGTCTGAAGATACTTCACTCTCATCATCTGATGAAGGAATGTAAATTGTTTAGCTAGGTAGACATGTGCACTTTTATTTCATGATCATGAATAATAGACACTTGTAAAAATTTAATATTAAATTTTTTGGGTGGAGATTTGACTAAATCACAACTCTTGAACACAATGGCTGATGCAACTCGCGATGATATACAACTACCATATCGCTATCTTGGGAATAGTGGGCTCAGAGTGTCCACCATATGTCTTGGGACAATGACGTTTGGTGCTTTAGAAGTAAGTGGACATTATAAAGGAGGTCAATCTAGCCTAAGAGAGGTGGACCCTCCTTTTCCCCATTAGTGTATCTTTTTATTTTTGTATAGTCTTCACGCCCTGGGCAGTGTGATGAACCCACTGCCCACTCTCTGTTGGATGCATTTGTTCAAGCAGGTGGTAATTTCATCGACACTGCCGACGTATATCAATTTGGAGTCTCCGAATCAATCATTGGCAACTGGTTAGTGAAAAGACCCGACGTTCGATCGAAAATGATAATTGCAACTAAAGTACGTGCACATGTGATTGTACTCATGTATCATTTATTGGGTTAGTTATGGGGCCCAATGGATAAAGATGATCCAAATTGTCGGGGACTATCAAGACATCACGTTTTGCTAGCAGTCGAGCAAAGTCTTCATCGACTTAGAACGGATTACATTGATCTGTACCAGGTAACAAGTAGTTCCATCATTATTTCTTATTTGACGTGAGCTTAAAATTGACTTACATGTATATTGTTTCATCTAATGGGAGGTTTTTTGATATTGATCCTAACCACAATCCTGCTCATCTTACTGAAGTGGAGAGATAATATCAATATTTTATATTATTAATAAGTATATGGCAAACTTCTTTTAATTTGTGTGTTTGTGTTTTGTGTGAGGCCAAAAGGTAATATCACAAATTTTTAAATTGTGAACTAGTTTTATTAGTTGTAACATTGAGGCTCATTATAGAAGGAGAGAGGGAGAGGGCTATTTGCAATGTACATGGTATGTTGTTGATAAGGATCACTTCCCACTAATACACGTTGCACAATGCTGAGCTGGACTTTATATGCATAAACAACAAGACCTGCCCTTAAACGTACCCGTTATCAGCTATTAGTGTGCCTTCACGTCAATCTACAGTAAATTTGCTGACATGTTATATTCTTCCCGTTACTATTTCTGGCACTGACACTTACTGTAGTTTGTACACTCATTAGTTGTGTGTATTAAGTGGTTTTCAAATTGAAAAAATGCATTTTTAGTGGCCAGACCAGAAACCTTATTGAGCGGTAACTCTATATACACATGTGCACTCCTGCATATTAATGGCTGCTTTGAACCTATTCAGTGTATTATGCTATACAGCACAATGTATTCATGTAAGTGTATAGACAACCTTTGAGTCATTAGGTGGGTATAGAAGCCAGAATGTTATTACTTAGAATGATTCAGTAATAGTAGTATTGGCAAATCCTAAAACTACATCCCCAATATAATATTGTACTTTAATTCCCACTTGTGTGTCTAAATACATGAAATACATTTTTAATAAAAGCATCCCAGCTGCAGATTTCTTTCACTACACATCATCCTATGCACACATTTCACTCACAATTGTCCATATATAGTAATCCCAATGTCTCAAGACAGTGTGTCTCTGTTATTCCTGGCATGTGTCACTCTCTATTGGTCTAATCTCAACAGTAGTTCATTAGTTCTTTATGTTGTGAGTCTGTTTTCTGTCTTGATCCTATTATGGGTCCAGGGAATTGTGATATATTTAATTATGAAATCTTGTGCTATTATAATTACAGCATTCTTTGCGTCCTGTGTCCACTGTTAATAATGTTATAGCATTCTTTGTTTATATTGTTAGTCATGACTAAGGTAATAACTATATAAGAGAGAAGGACTTGTTCCTATAAGTCTATATATTTGATAAAGAGAAGTTGTTTTGGTTGATTTCATCACATGCTAAAACTTTTCATCAGAATTTTCTGGAACATAGCACTAAGACTTATAAAAGTATCACAGAAGTTTTGGTGTTTCAAAGATTGAAGGCTATTGTTGCCCATAGCCATTACTTGAAAAATGGCTCCGAAATGACCCCCCATTTTTATTACATTTTCTGATACATATTGGTGCCCTTATGCTATGTAGAAAGTTTGAGTGGATTCCGACTTCAATTTTTCAAGTTATGGCCATTTTAAGAAATGGGCCAATTTTTGAAAAGTACCCAAGGCTATAGCCCATGCTTTTTTCCGAAAAATGGCTCCAAAATGACCCCCCATTTTTATTACATTTTCTGATACATATTGGTGCCCTTATGCTATGTAGAAAGTTTGAGTGGATTCCGATGAATAATTTTTGAGTTATGAGCATTTTGGCTAAGAACTCATGGTTGTATTGCATTAGACAATGTCTGAATGAACATAATCAAATATTAAATCATTATTAACTGCATTATGTTATAATAATTAGTGGAACCAGTACTTTTAGTATCAGCTACCTTGTATAGCCACTTAGATGCATACTGTGACTATTCCATAGTACTTATATGCGCTAGTAATATAATATTTGTTTGTTTATAAGGTCTGATGATGTTAGTGTATAGTCATGTGCTAATTGTGTAATTCTGGTGATATTATATTACCCCAACATGTCCTTATAATATTCCTTATATTGTGTGAATCAGGAAGTAGCTTTCTACTTGAAATTATAGTGTTTAATCTTATACAGTGACCAAGCCTATGAGTGACAGTGAATGATGATTAGTGATGCTATTGTGTTAGGCAGACTGACTGACTCAGTGTAGTGACTACCAGTGCATTTTATCAATGGTCTATAATAAATCAAATAGTGAGAAAATTGAATTAAGGCCAAGATAGAGTACAGAGTATGTATACATATTTGTATACTTGTATGTAGCATAAAGTATAGAGTATATATACATGTACATTTATACTTGCACATACAATGTAGCATATACTCTAGGCGTGATCTTCCTGTATGGATTTCATTTCAATATAATCATTAGCCAGCAAGGAATTGTTGTATTACATGTACATGGAATAGTAATTAAATGATGTAATTATGCATAAAAACTCATTAATGTATTTGTATTTAATTTGAGTATGCACATTGTGTTTATAGAGGCCAAAGAATTGTTTTAAAGGTGCATTAATGAAATGAAGTATTTTCTATTATTGATAGATACATTGTTGGGATGATGGTACGCCTTTAGAGGAGACACTAAGAGCTCTCAATGACCTTGTGAAGATGGGAAAGGTTCACTACATTGGAGTGAGTAATGTGACTGGCTGGCAGTTCCAAAAGATCATTGATACTTCAAAATACCTTGGACTCAACCAGATCATTAGTAACCAGGTAATGCATCTACACATAATGCACATTACCGGATTTAAAAAGCTTTTTATATACACTTTAATTATATACAACCTCACTGCGTTTGATGATGCATGATGTATATGTATGCTGAGTCAATTAGATTATGTAATGCAAGACTAACTGAGATCATGGAGTGTGTCCTGTTTGTAAGCACACCCAGAGTGTGTATCATATCATACAGTACCTAATCTATTAAGGACTGGCTCCCTTTGATCCCACTATCAGTTATTGCAGTCCAAGGAAGAGTCATTCAGTCCAGACTCAATAATCTATAGATTAATGTTCATACTAGACTTAGTCTAAGACTAGACTATGTAGCATCCAGTTTATAGTATTAAATATTAGCTGCTAAATTCTTCTACATAGTACATAGTTCAACTATAGCACTCAGTGTAATATAATAGTCATTGTTTATGTCTCTGGACTGTGTGTGTGCTTGTGTGGGAGCTGTGAATAACTTGTTTGAGTGCAGTAGCTTCAAAATGCAGCATATTTACAAAATGCATATAAAACAATAAGATCAGTTATGAACAGAATGTAGACTTTCTGTCTGACTTTTGCAAACCCACACGTTAGCATACAAATTTATAGAATGTAGTGATGTACATGCACATGCTTGTTAACTACTCAATTTGCATTTCATTGAGTCACACCCTGTCTACTTCTCTTTGTATCAGGTGTCTCTTGATAGTTGAGTTAGGCGATGCCAGGAAATAATTAGCCAGGAATTCTTTATTGTAGTCATAGCATTACCACTATGTACTGTATCATAGGCTGATAGTACAGGATTGATATGCATTTATGATGGTTTAATTTATGCCATCATTACCATCATTGGTTGCATATGTAATTTACTATTGTAGAAAAATGTAAATATTTATGTCTATTTATTCTGTACATGCATGCTCTTTCTCTCTCTTTCCTACTATTCTCTTTTCTACTCTCTCTCTCTCTCTCTCTCTCTCTCTCTCTCTCCTCTCTCTCCCTCCCCCCTCTCTCTCTCAGGCCCAATACAGTTTATTGTGTAGATCTACTGAATGGGAGCTATTGGAAGTATGCAAACGGGAAGGTGTGGCCATGTTGCCATGGAGTCCTCTAAAAGGGTAAGGATATTTGCATACATGTAGCACTCCCTCAGTATAATAGGCTTGCTGCAAAATGAGACTATTACATAATGATGCTTTAATTGCAGGGGTCTCCTCACTGGTAAGTATGAGCGTGGTGTTGTTCCTGATGATCCTAAAAGCTCACGTATTGCGTGGGTTGAAGCTGATAAGAAGTCTCGTTCCAATCAGTCCCACCCGTCATTGACACAGTATGCTGATAAAGATGAGTACTGGGAACTCATTAAAGCTATGAGAGAAATAGCTACTAAACATGGTAACTAACCCACACTCCTAGTCAAAGCAATATTAAGACTTGTTTTCAATGTATATTTATATATCTTACAGGGTTTTTGGCCAAATTTCATCAAAATGGCTAGGAAAGAATTCTCCATTATTATAATTTTTCTATTATCTTTCTTTTTTTTTTAGATGCTAGTGTTGCTCAAGTAGCTATTGCTTGGTTGTTACATCAGCCAGCTGTGTCCTCGGTTGTAATTGGAGCAAGGACTGTCTCTCAACTCCAGGACAACTTGAAGGCAGCACAACTGAAGCTTGATCCAGAGGAGGCAAGTATTGACTTAAGAAAAGAGAAAGAGGGAGAATGTTGATAAAAGGCTTTTGTTGACAAGCAGTGATTAATAAAAATAGTATTTGAGCAGCCAATGCAGTGAAGAGATTTGATAATGGATCTGGTATAGTAAATACTGGGTAGCATTACTGAGAGTTCGTCTGACCACAGTAACAACAGTAGCAGCTGCTCTCTTGGAATAATATGACACTGTACTGTTGGGCAGTTTAATACATGAACGTACTGTTGGGCAGTTCAATACATGAACGTACTGTTGGGCAGTTTAATACATGTACATACTGTTTACTAATGTATGTATTAGTGTGTGTGTGTGTGTGTCTCTGTTTGTGGGTGTCCAGTTTGTATTGTTTATTGGATGTTATTAACTTAGTTAAAGAGTTTGTTTGATTCTACTGGATGCTCCATTCCCATTTATAGACATCAGCTATTGCATGATTTGCTATTGAATGATATAACACAAGAGTGATTGGGTCATAACATATTAGCTCCTTAAACTGAATCATCATCCTCCTATTCAGTATATTTACATCATTTAACATCTTATTCAAGATATAATTTGACACTTTAAAATGCTATAATTGTATCATTAACAAGATCATTCATTGTAATCCTCTGTGTAAAAGACTTCAGTTAAAAGACTTCAGCTCATTCTAATTTCTATGTTTTAATTTCTTTTTATTATAATGCATCAATCTTTAGGTGAGTCTGTTGACTACGCTGAGTAATGAGACATTACCATATCCCTATGAGATGGTGTTCAGACTACAGAAAGGAAGAGAAAGAAACTAAACACTGTTGTTTTTACTTGCTGCATAGATAAATATATTTAACTTCATATATTATATTGACTTTATATGTAAAAAGAAAAATTAATATCATCAGTGCTATTTTTCACTAGTATGAACAAGGTTTTTAAAGGTGTGAACAAATGTGAAAAAGGGTGTGATAAAAGGTGTGAGCAATAATAATAAAAGGTGTGAACAAGTATAAAAGGGGTGTAAACGAGAATAATAAAAGATGTGAGAACAAGTGTGAAAAGGGGGTGTGAACAAGAATGATGAGTGTGAACATTGTGTAAAACTTTTTGCATGAATGGTATCAGGAGCTCATTGTGACGTATGTACCTCAAGACTAATAATTATTAAATAACATTAAAATGATTCAACGAGTGTAATAATAATAATATGCACTGAAACAATAATAATAATAATAATTAATAATTCTTAGTAGTTGAAATAATTATAATATTTCTGAAAGGATTAGTGATAATAGTCTTAAAATGTTTACTTTGAGTCACAAGACTACCTCATAATAATTAATAATAATTATTAACAGATAACAATAACTATACAATCAATATTTATGACAGATGAAATGCTTGTTTGCCTTCCCTCAAGGCGAGGCTCAGTTTCTTTCTCATTATGTCTTCAGAACTGTAATCAGGCAGTTTTAAATAATTAACACAAGTCATCACAGACGGGAGGAAATTGTCTGGGGATTGAGAGGAACCCACGGCCTTTCGTACAATAGTCAGTTGAGGGTTGAGGGCTTTGAAACCTAATGGAGAGAGACATGAGGTTATGAAACCAGTAAATGTAATATGTTGATCAGTCCATGTAAACACAGACAGGCCGTCAGACAGGAAAGAAATCTTATTATTAAAAGTGGCAGCTAGGAAATCTGATTAAAAGTGGCAGTTAATGTGTTGTGTGTGCGTGGAGGATGAAAAGGTAAATGGAGGTGTAAATGCAAGTTTTGAAAAGAGTGTTAATGAAGTACAAACGCTCATTACCACAGTACACATACATGTACATGTACACATGTATGTACATGTACATGTACATAGTGTATATCAAATGAGAGAGGATGCACATGTACATGTGTGGATGATAATTATGAGATCATACTCATCATCATTAATCCTCAATAAATAAACAATAAAGAAAGGGAGTGGAGGAATGAGTCAGTCATGAAAACATTTTCATTGAAGCCGTTAGTAAGAAACAAACAAAGAGAGAAGTAGATATAGAGATGTGAATGACATTCATTCTTGCAGTAGTGGGTGCTGTAACTGTTGCTCATTGCAACCACCCTTTAGCATACAGACCACTGGCTCACCAATAGTAAAGCAATTATTATTATAATAATTCATATCGCATTGAACTACTAAGTACACATGTATGTGTAGTGTCATGTACATAACAGTGAACTGTATATTAAAAGGATCATTTACTCTATGCAAAGATTATAGCAGTTATCCTTATAAGTGTTTCACCACAAAGGAAGTTTGGGCTAACATTGAAAGGATTGTGTCTATGTTACACTTAAGCCCACAATACAATACACGTAATAAACTGCACAGACTATTTTCAGTCAGTAACAATAGCAGCAATACAAGTATACTGAGTCTAATAAATGCACGACTATACCATACAACCAGTAATACGCTTAAGTTAGATGTACATGTAGTTTCTTTAAATACATGTACATTACAGTACATATAGTTTCTTTTACAATCAGGGACAATTGTTTGTCCCATTCAAAAATTGCTTCCTAATTTCAAATGTACAGTGACAGTCAATACCAATGGTTTATATAATTCCCTACTGACTTTTTAAACTCTGATTTTTGAAAAAGCTATTGTGGGTTGCACTACTAATTTAATTTAATTCATAGATTGTGGTTGTCACTATAACCACTGACTGCAGAAACAAAATTACATGCACATGCCATAGCAGGTATATTCAGTTAGAGTTTAATTTCATTCTTTTCGTTCTCATTCCTTGTGGAACAAATATTTTCCAAAAGAAAAAAGGCGTTTCCTCAATGCCACGTGTGCAAAATGGCTGCTCAGAACGAAAATAAAACGAACAAAATTCCTAATTCTGCTCAAAAAGAACATTTTTCCAGACAAAATATACCCACTATACAGTATGTGTGTGCACACAACTCTGACCCAACAGAACCTTTGCCTAGCACATTATACAGCTTATGCTGCAAGTTTAAGGGCAAATCATCATACTATGGTATGTGTGTGTACTGACCTCCAACAGGAAGACGAGGACTACCTGTCACAAACTGTATGAACTGACGCTGCTCAGTTGTACTATAGGAACTAAGGACTCTGAACAAGAACTGGATAGCTTGACTAAGAGAAGAGAAAAGAAAGAGTAATTATACTTTAATGAATGAACTACAAGCAAACCTGTCATGAGTATATCCATGATCAGGACGGCAATATTCCATTAATTCTATAAACAGAAACAATAGTAATAACAATAATAATAATAATAATAATAATAATAATAATAATAATAAACAAAAAACAATAGTAATGTGTACATGATGTACTCCAGTACACTATTGCTTTACCTTTAATGTCCCACTTTTGATTATTAGCTCCACAAAGGAACGTATCCATCTACAAGCACATTAAAAATAAATAAAAGAATTTTACAATATACTGTACACTGTACATGACATGTACTGTACATGTACATGTACACATGGATCTTTCTGATATCATTGTGAAAACATACAACTAAATGGATTAGTCAGCAATACACCCACTACTAGCCAGCCGGCCAGCCAACTGCTACTACTGCAGAATCAGCAGTTTCCACTATCAGTAATTAAATAATACACTTTACGTATAGCAACATCCAATTAACACTGCCACCACACAACATTACTACTGACGCATGGTACATATAAGTATTTATAAGTATTTCTATAGTAGGACTAGAGTATCAACAAATAACGGAGGAGACGCACGATAAGGGGAATATTACTGAGGGAGTGTGTGTGACAAACAATAACTGATAACACCAAAATAATGTAAAACAAGCTTTGACTTAACTGCACAAACACTGATTAGTCATCAAGTAATTAATGTATCATCAATACAACGTAATAGAAATTATTATTTTTGGCTTGTAAAAATATGCAATTAGCAAGTGAAGCGTAAAATATATTAAGTACATGTAGGAGAGAGTCTGTGGCGACATGTACAACTGCACAGGACATTAAATAAGTGTATGTTGACAATGTAAAGCAATGGACTGGTGGTGGTGGCTTATTACTTCATGAGAGTAGAAGTGTTGTAGGGTAGATAGAGGGAATATGCTGTTGAATCCTTCCTTGAATGCTTCCATTTGTCTAGCAACGCCAGTGAACAAGGTCCAATCCAACAACAACTATACAATAATAATGAATAATGAATAATGACAAATTAATATTAATAATAATAAATTGTAATAAATGAATAAACATTAATTAACGCGTGTGAGTTAATCAATAATTATCACTTTCCATACATGTCATGCACATGTGCCAGTAATGTCATTATTGCTACCTGTTAACGATCGTCTATACATGTGTACATGCAATAAGTGACTGGGACATGATGCACCACATGATTGAATTACTGAATAGAGAGTTACATGTACATGTACATGTATGTTTGTCAATATGTATTACGCAAGCAAAAAGGTACATGTATAATGTCATGTACAAATACATGTACATGTACATGCACATTGTACATACAGTACCTTGAGATATTCATCAAGATTGTGTATAGTAACAGGTACATCTTTACCATTAGGCTAAGAGAAGGAGAGAGAGAGAGAGCATGTACAATGAACAATATACAAGTGATGTATAGGCAGTACTTTTAGTTCAATATCAGGATATCCGGTGAGTGTAAAGTCAAGCTCAAGATCTTCAATAGTACCACCTCCTTCTAATGTTAGTGACTGTATACCCAACTGTATCACACTATCAGACTATACACACAACAGTAAGAACAAAAGAATTAATATAAAGAGTATACTGGTTGATTTACCAGTAGTGGATCATTCTCTAATTGTCTTTTCTTAACAGCAACATCAGCCAGTTGACTGAAGGTTCTAGCTATGTCAGGATCAATGAACTGTAAATCCTGAGCAGTGAATGAGTCCTCTTGACCCAGCATCCACTTATAAAATGCTTCACTCAATGGCAGATCAAGCTGCATTATAGTGTACAAGAAGAAAGAAGATAAGATTAAATCTATCTTGCTGCACACTCACACTCATTGTTTAAATAAAATGTTTCTCACAAGTACAATGTACATGTACATACATGTAAATCACTGTGTTTAACATGTATAATTTAATGATTAGATTATACATGTGTGCATGTACATGTAACACAGACTGTCAGAGATCCTTCTTCTTACCATTCTAAAGTCCATGATAGCCTTAGCCATAAACCTTCCCAGGAAACGAAACCGATTACAAATATCCTCAACAACACTGAAGTCAGTACTAGTATTTAATGGAGCTAATCAAGAGAGAGGGAGAGAGAGAGAGAGAGATGAGTCATCACTGTTTACTCAAACATGTTGAATGATGTAATGTAGGACTGGCTAGGTGCACATGTAGGATGATACAAAAGTATGAAAACACATGCGCTGTACACCAAAACACATGTACAGGTTTCCCACAACACATGCTAAAATGAGCTGACAAGCTGATGAATACAACTTTTAGAGCAACTTTAAAAGTTCATAAAAATTAAATTTTGATACAATTTTTGAGTAACTTAAAAAATACATAATACATGTACATGCATCAGTAAATGTAATAAAAATGGAGAAATCTCCTAGTGGTTTTTGGCACAATACAACAGACCATCATTAACTTACCAGGGAAGAGACCAACTGGACTGTACACATATTGGTTTATTCCACTGTCAGATACAACTAGAGTAGCAAGGAAATACATGAAATCAAATTACTTGCATTATGATATCATAGTCATAATTATTTTCAAATTAACAAAAGGAAGCAATTATATTCAAATTAAGCAAGAAATGACCCTCAATTCCATATGATCTGTGACGTAATTGCACATGTACAGTTTATAAGGTCTACATGTACTCTCCCTCTCATTTCTCACATGTACACATACAATTATACATGTAAGCATAAATGTAAAATTATATGTACTGTACATTACCTTGTGATATACATGTACTTCTATAGGTACAACGTACATGTACTCTCCCTCTTGTTTATCACATGCACACAATTACATGTATGTATAAATGTACAATAATACTAGACGAATGTAAAACATTAAAGGGGCAAGCCTAAGCAAGCTATAGATTATGTGCTGTATGATATACATTTCTGAGCTAGCAAAGCAATTCAGTGCACATGTCTAAATTCAGTATCTTGCTTAAATTAAAGTTATTTTGCTTATAGTTAGAAGCAGTCACTGAACCAATCATATTTGAAGATTGTATATCTGCTTTGTTAACCTAGGCTTGCTCCTAGAGAAGAAACATCACCTAGAATAGATCTCATGATGCATGCAGCTAGCAGTACAGTACAAGCTTTTTCACTTGCATTCACCTTAGCAAAATCCTTTATACCAAGGAAAAGACTGTATATCTGCTCTCCCAACTTTTATTCTTGCTAGAGAAGTTTCAGACAGCAGTTTAGCCTTATCTAGCTGACCTTTTCCTGCAAAATAAGCTCAGACTTGCTTATAGCCGCCATTTTATCATTATGACCACACCCACTTTTAATGTAGATTAGGCTATTTAACTTTAATAATAGTTAGACGGTCTGCCCGTACAAACAAACAAACGCTTTCTCGCCTTAGTGGGGCGAGCTCAGGCTCGCCCCAATTATATGTACATGTACATTGTAGACATGTATGCACTGTATATTACCTTGTGATATACTCCCAGGTAGAGGGCATGGGTCACCTCTCCACATGTGCAGGTCAATCTTTTGAAGTTCCCTTGAGACAAGAGTATAGAACTCAAGCGTAGGGCCCAGTCCTATCCCGACTTCATCTTCATACTGTATCTCTAGCAGTGCCCTGCTTGACCCCAGCTCTTCCATTATCTTCTCTGCTTGTAGCAGTAGGTTCTCTCTTGACACACAGCGCTAATGAGGGGCGGGGCAATGAGCATGGTTAATCAGAGGTAGACTCTTACTTTCTTTTTCTCTAGTTTTGGTGTTATTCGCTCTGAGGCATCCATGTTAGAGAGCTCTGGTTGCTGTTCCTAAGGAAAAGAGCAATATAAAAATCTACACATGTACATGTGTATGTACATATATGTACAGTATGTGTACATGCATTACATGTACATCTGAAGAGAGAAAGATTATGAGAGAGAGAGAGATTGATGGAGAATGGATTAATTACTTGTAGACGAGCTATTCCTCTGTCTCTATCAAAAGATGTCAAGAAAAACAAAGTCTGTCGACATTCAAAAGGAAACAGGAAAGGACTAAAATGAGAAATACAAGAAGTATGATACAACACATTATGTTCACAGTATAAATGTACATGTACATGCACATACCATTGCTTTGATAGCTCCTTTAACCAGTCAGGAAAATTACCAGTCATTACATTAAGAGGATCTGTAGAATGAGGCAAAAAAGCAATAAAATAGCAAAGTACAGGTACATGTAGTTCATGTACATGTACTACATGTAATAAATTGTGGGTCTCACCTTGAAGTTGACGAGTGGCTTTGGCGGTCAATTTCCCACTAACAAATTCCAGCGATGAAACAATTGGACTACCAGGAAAACCCTGAAAATGAATAAAATTAGTAAAATATTCAGTACATTATCATTATTGAAAAATCGTAGTACTACAAGTGTACAATGAACCAACATTGTAAAGGTCATTCCAGTGATTGTTCAATGCCCAGATAATTCTCATGAGGTTAATAATGGGAACAGAAGGATCACTGATATCTGTTAAATAAAATAAAAGTATTATAATTAATATTAATTTACACTAATTAGTTAATTACACTCACTTATGGGTGTGGTCTTTGTACTCTTTATAGCATGGAGTAAAGGAGAGAGTTTGACAGCTGGAATGATATCTAATGTACACATAATAATAATCATCAAAATTGATTACAATAATAAATATCAATCACCATCATTAGATGATTGTGGTTCTGGTTGTTTCTTAACATTGGTCTCTTTCTGTTCCCGACTCATTGAACGAGTGACACGAAGTCCTTCAGGAGATACTTTACCAGTGGCTCCACCCCCACTGAGATTACGCCTTGCTTTAGAGGAAGAGGAAGAAGAAGCAGTGTTACTGACACTAGAGGACTTAGGATGGGGAGCTGATGAAGAGTCGTAATGAGAAGCGGGTAAGGAATAAGAACGCTTGGGCTTGCTGCTGGAGGATTGACCCTGATTGACTAGCCTGTACCTGTAGAGAAAGAAGAGAAAAAAACACAATATAAAGTAGCTCCTGCTATTATTATTATTATCATCATCATTATTATTATCCATTACTGTATGAGGTGTGATTTTATCCATATGTCAGGATGCCCCAGAGCTGATAATTCCTCTTCACTCTCTGAGCTGCTGGCCTACAGAATACAATGTGTTCATGTAAATGTACAGTGTATGATTATTAATCATAAGGCATACCAATCCAAATTGTTTGATAGCTTGAAAGATTGTCATTTTGTGTGGGATTATTGTATCATTTATTAAGAACTCCAACTGTTGCCTGAGAGAGAGAGAGAGAATGGCATCATTATAAAATTATTAAAAATAATAAGCAAGTACTGTACTTTGTAGGAAGTGATGATGGGATACTTGAGAGCTACAACAAAAAATAGAAAAAGAAGATAAAATGGTGAATGAATAAGTGAAGGTGAGACAGTGAGATGGAAAAAAAACACAATGAACAGTAGAAGGGATAAGACATAGAATAAAAAAGGAAGGAGGAATAAAATAAATATCAATAACAATAATTATTACTATTACCATAGCTTCTTCAGATTCACTATCATCAGACCTGTGGTAAAACATATAGCATGAATTATTATCATTAAATGTACAAGCATACCCGTCCAAGTCATCAGGAAGGGCAATAGGCTCCGATTTTGTTACTCCTTTAATCAAGAGATACTTCTCAACAGCCTGGAAAGAAATGAAAATGTAAAAGGAATGAAAATGTAAATGACTATATTATTTTAATGCATGCAAATGTAGAAATAAAATAAAGTAACATCTATTACCTGGAGTGTAGCTAATGGATCTATTCTGACTGTCCCTCCCTTCCATTGCTGAAGGCCACTAGCTGATGGATGACACTCAAGATTACACTACAATGAATGAGTGGGTATTTATTATCATTATTACATCACTAATAGCTGTAACTGTACTTTAATTTGATGCGAATTGAAGAATTTCATCATCTGTGAACCACTACAATATAAAATATGTATAAATATGATAGAGGGTGTAACAGAAGTACGAGTGAGGGATGAGTGTGCACATGTCATGCAAACAAAACAATTAAAGTATAATCAATGATGGATAACATCCCCCTCAGTCTCATAGACCAATTAGACTATTACATCATGATTCCATTAGGCCTCAGGCAATAAATAATCAGTTACATGTACATGTACATGTACATGTACATGTACATGTAATATTGTTGTACTGTATATTGTGTACATTTGAAAAATTATATACATGTACATGTACATGTACAGTCTCCTCCTACCGTTTTCCTGGCATGTCATGAACTTTAACTGGCAATTGTTCAGTTTGGCTGATCGAATTGTGAAGCTTTTGTAGCAACATTATCAGACCCGGCCTCTCATGTGGGACCTGAAACATATAATGTTAATAGGCACTGATACAGTGCATCCATTGTGATATTGTCTTACCCATGAAGCCAACTGTGCATCTTGCTCCTATAGTACATGTATAATTTAAATTATTTATTTTAAAAATACTCACAGGAAGTCCTAAGAAGTAGTATAAGAAGTTTCGTAGTCTTATCACGAGTGAATAAGGAAACTGAGTATCCTCTGATGACAAAACACTGGAGCAACAAGAACACAATAAATAACAACAATAACAATAATAACACACAACAACAGCTAGTACAAGTACATGTACTGTATGTACTGTACCTGGTCAGTTTCTCTGGTATGTTACAGTGGAGGAATTCAAAGGCTGATATATTGACATCAGTGTCTGACAGAATGTCACACAATTCCTAATGAATGTACATATGTATAATAGCAGCTCAATAAAAGGACAGCTACATGTACATATACACATGACTATGTATACTAGCATAAAAAGGCAGCATTTAAGAGATGAATGTACATGCACATGTACATGTACAATTCCCCCCTCTCTCTCTCTTACCTTCAATGATGTTAAACATGATTTATTATTAGGGTCCAGTTGTTCTGATATTGCTTGAAGTCTCTTCATAACATCAAGTGCTGTATTGGACTCAGCCCCTTCACTGCCACTACTCTCTGCAGACCATTTATCAAGAAACAGTGTCACCTAAAGTACAAACATACACAAAATACATGTAAGTGAATAGAAATGCATGTACATGTACATGTACATGTACATGTACATGTATATGGACTATAGCCTTTACTATCCATCAGTACATAGTACATGTATTGTACCTGTTGGATAATCCATTCTCTTATCTTTTCTTTTGATCCCTCGGCATGTCTTGAAAACATGTAGTCAGTTATCTTGTTCCTCCCAGTCCCACTGCTGCCCATTATCCCAATCATTGAGGACAAGCCAGTAGGAGGGGCTGGTGGGTGTGGTGAGGCAAGTGATGGGGGAGGAGGGAGGAGGGGAACAGAGGGACGTCCCGAGGTAGAGGAGGAGGAGGAGGAGGGTGAGGGTAGAGACGAGGCCGGATCAGACACGTCTTCACTTCTTGAGCGAGACCATGACTTTCTTAAATGACGACGACTTTTACGAAACATGTCAACAAACCTAAAATACATGTACATGCATAATAGCATATGCACAAATTAATGAGACTACTGTATCATGAAATGTGCATTTATAACGGCTAGGGCTTGCCATCAAGCATGCTGTGAGCTACAATGTACATGTGTACATGTACATTTTTGAGTAACTTTAAAAATTCATAAAAAATACAATTTTCATTTGGAATCAGCTCAAACTTGCTACACAACATAAGAACATGTATATGTATCAGAAAAAATTATTAAAATGGAGAATTCTCTCCTAGTCATTTTTGACGAAATTTAGCCAAAGACCCTGTACTATAGTACAGGGATTTTGACCTGATTTTTGAGTAACTTTAAAAATTCATAAAAAAATACAATTTTCATTTGGAATCAGCTCAAACTTGCTACGCAACATAAGAACATGTATATGCACCAGAAAAAATTATTAAAATGGAGAATTCTCTCCTAGTCATTTTTGACGAAACTTAGCCAAAGACCCTGTACTATAGTACAGGGATTTTGACCTGATTTTTTAGTAACTTTAAAAATTTGTAGAAAATCCAATTTCAATCAAAATTAGCTCAAACTTGCTACAAACTACAACATAAAAACATGTACATACAGCATGTATCGGAAAAGTTATAAAAATGGCAAATTTTCTCCCAAGTCATTTTTGTGTAGTACTATAGTACATGGTTTTCTGACATGGTTATAATGTTCAAGTAAACATGCTATGCATGTACAGGTACATACTAAATACTTTGAAACTTACCTCCTGGCAGTACTTGGTGAATCTGATACTAGTCCTCCAGGAGGTACTCCCTCAATGGGGTTAGGTACGCTGGTAGGAGGAGCCTGGGGTGGGTTGGGCAGGGGGTGGAGCATAGCCAATGGGCCACCAATGGGAGGAGATGAGGACAAGTCTCCAGCTGGTGGAGTAACCTTACCAACTTGATCATGTTTCTTAGGTGTTATCATTGCCTAAAAGAGGGCATCAAAAATTAAAAATATACTAGAAGAACATGTACCGTAGGGCGCCTTTTTTTCGAGGGCTGTAAATTTCGCGGATTTTGCAATTTTTTTTAATTCGCGAAAATTACTTCCGCAAAAATCAAATTAATACAGTACAAGATGGCAGACAGCATAAATTTGCGAAAATTAAATCCACAAAATAAAAATCCACGAAACCTATAGCCTTCAAAAAAAGGTACCCTACGGTATTTAAATTACATGTGCATGTGCATGTGCATGTACAGTACATGTACAAATGGGGTTTGCCGAGGCTTGCCCCAATAATGTAAGAATTATTAAATAATGTGTACAAGTATTGCTGTACTTTTAGTGGTAGGATTTTCAAGGACTCCATTGCATGCATGACTCCTTCACGATAGAAATAAATGATGAATATGTCGGGTAGTTTATCCATTAGTATGACGGACATTTGTATAGCACAGACCACAATCCTGTAATCCGACGACTTGAGCATTGTAGCAATATAACTAATGAAAGAGAGAAAGCAATATTGGTACAAGATGACTACCAGTAGTTCATTCATAGAATACCTGGACACTGATATGTTCCTCAATACATCAGTCAATATCTCTGAACTATTTTAAAAAATAAAAAAGTATAATAAAAAATTATTATTAAAAAAAACAATGACTCACGTAGAGCAATTGATCATTCTTAGGATAGCTTTGAGACACTTGTACTTGATGGATGGTGCCGCCTGAGAAATAGAAAGAAATTAAAACACATGTACAATACATGTACATGTACTACATGTCCAATGTGTGCGTGTATGGTTTGATTACCATGTGACTGAATACTTCATAGAGTACGGCCATCAGTGATTGGAGGAATGAAGTGAACAGAACAGGGTCGGCACACAGAGCCAGCATACGTGGATCCTCTTCTATCCTCTTCTTCTCATCATCCTAAACACAATGATATTATCATAAAATAATAATTATAATAATACAGTACATGCACGTATATATATATATATATATATATATATATATATATATACACAATAGTACATGCACATGTAATTCATATACATGTAGCAGTACATTAGTAGGTGTTGTTCGTATGTAAAATGTACAAAAATGTACATGTAAATTGCTTACATCATTTGTGTTTAGATTCTGATTAGGATCTACAGTAGATCTTCTCACTTGCCTTGAGTTTCCTGTCTCCTCATTTACCTACACATACAGATATGTACAATGTAAACATGTACATGCATGTACATGTACATGAACATGCAAAATTATTTCTATTAAAAACATTAGTGTATGCACATGTACATGTACTATTAATCTCTCCTCTCTCTCTCTCTCTCTCCCTTGCAGTCTAACCTGTTGCATTATTGAGAACTCTATAACATAAGTACGTCCCATTACATCAATAGCAACATCTTCTTCCCCAGCCATATGAGCATGCTAACAATTAAATTATCATAACATTGCATCGGTCAATAATTCAGAGAGACCACATCCACAGCAACACACCTCAATAATTTTGCTCTCCACGCGTCCGTAAGGTCTCCAGGACTTGCTATCATCTTGCCACTCCCACTGAACCTGAAAAGACATTAAAAAGTAAACGTACCCTAGCTCTCTGTCTCTTCTCATAAATTTACAGTTTTGGGATGTTTCTTAGTAGCAATCAACAACTTGTCTACCTCAAAAATACCTACAGAATTAGCAAAGAACACTCACTAATGACAGAGACTAATAAACACTTTACCATCACTTGGAAGAGGAGGCATGAGCTCACTAAGAGAGAGAGAGAGAGGGGAAGTAACACTAGTCATATTAAAGTTCAACTCTACCTTATCAAAGAGACAATCTCATAAACCTCATTAGCTGAGCGACTGTTAATCTAAAAAAATAAAAAGAAGAGACAGTTAAGTGATATTACAACAAAGATGGAGGAAGAGAAGAGGAAATTAGACTATCACGTACCTCAACAGTTTCTAATGTTATCTCATCAGATCCAACTAGCAAATACTTGAGTGTATCACCAATATCTAATGTAGAATCATAATAATTTATTATGCAGTAATGAGTGTGTGTTATAATGTACATGTACATGTACATGTAGTACTGTATTTATGCTTACTCAGTTTCATTAGGTCAACAGCCAACACAGGACAAGATGAACAAAGAGTTAGTAACATTCGCACCACTGAAACAAACATGCTTGATGTCAAAATAGAAGGAGTGGTCACTAGCTACAAAAGAAAGAGAGAGGAGAGAGAGAATTAATACACATTCATACATGTACATAAGTTAATTATCTTGATCACTTACCAAGTTCTGAATGTTAGCTAAAAGGCCATGAGAAGCAATCTCTTGGAGTGTTTTCTACATTTTAAAATAATATTCGTACATGCACATGTATTAATAGTATACATGCATGTATACATGTAGTAAAATGTACATCAATAAATTAATATCTACTGACTGGTTTGTTGTGAAGGTTTTCAATTAGCCTGGAGAAGCAAAGACAGCAACTCTCCACTGACTTCTTGTCCTACATGTACATGTACACAAAATGAAGTGTCAACAAATACATTATAATGAGAGTATGGTATCTAACCTGATGCTGTAATCTGTTGGAGATTATAGGAACACTATCAGCCACAAGATGAAACTCATCCTCCGTCACCGAGAGACAACAATTAGCTGCAACACTTAATGCACAACGCTATGAAAAAGAAAATAATAAATAAATGAACAAATAAAAATAATAATAATATTTAATGTACGAGAACATGTAACATACTTGAGTATTTAAAGAGAAGAAATCCAAATAAAGTAACGCAGCATTGACTCCACCCTACAGCATATGGACACACCCACAAACCCACAAATAATCCACGACCACAGACTAGACACTTACAGCTTGCAGTATTGACTTGCTGTGTTTTCTGGACAGTATATCCAATGCAGAGAGAGCCTGCTCAGCCACATCCATACACTGTATTACCTATTAATAATAATAATAATAGTAATGATGATGATGCTGATAATACACATTAATGATAATAATATATTGTAGTTATAATTGCATTGGTACAAGTACATGTACACTAATACATTACTTTTATTGCAGAATTACACGTACATACATGTACATGTTTACATGTAGTTTATTTCTTTAAAGAGCTAACCTGTAGTTTCTCCAGCAGAACTGGTATAGCATCAGCCACTACTACTGTTGATCGTGGCAGACCCTCCATCATGTACGTGAGGGCTCTACAAGCATTCATCATCTAGAGAAAAAAAACATTCACTATAACATACATGTACATGTACATGCATACAATGTGCATGTATTATTAATTTTAGAATTCCACAAATAACAACACAAATAACAATTTCTGCATCAGCATGTACTGTATGTGCATAATCTAATTTAATCATCAAATGCCAAATGCTTGTACCGAGTAATAGTTATTGTACCACACACACACACACACACACACAGCAGCTACGTACAGAAACAAACACGTGCCATTACAAACAATCGTGTGTGTGTGTGTGTGTGTGTGTGTGCTACAAGCTAAGGGATACAGTGATTGTTGATAATCAATGAAATATGCATAATATTCATACAATATGCATGACAGTTAGGATCACATGAACCCGATGATAATAATACATGTATCTTCATTATTATAACAACAATAATAGAATAGAGATGAATGATAAACGTAATGATGCAATGTAGTCACAACTTATAACTTACCATGTCAAAGTTATGTTCCATTGATAATAAGTGTATCTACATAAAAATAATAAAAATGCAACACTGTACATGCATATTGTAATAGTAATTATTCAAGTACATGTAATTACAAAAATGCATCTTTAAAATATACTGTACGTATAAAAGTAACTGAATTATGAACAATAGGAATAACAATACAGAAACATGTGTACTCAATTGACAAAGATATGTACATGGACATTCATTACATCAGTATGACTATATCATCACTATAGCTATTTAAAAGTACAAGACTACAAGTACATATGTATACAAATGTAAGAGTAGAATAGTACATGTATATCAAACGAAATCATCATCACTATTGTACTACTCACTAGAGCAGGTACTGCCTCTTTGACTGGGAAACCACTCAGTGTGTCCTCGTTACCCATCACCAGTAGCTGACCCATTTCAATGCAGGACTGTAACTGCACGCTCTCATCTTCAACGCATTGTATGCCTTCCAATAACTGCTGGGCCTGTGAACCTAATGAGATACGAGTATTGAGAGAAGAATCATGTAACATGTATCCGTGTGAGCTAACTGTTTGATGAGCTCATGTGCTTCTGAAAAAAATGAGGCATACGACTACCGAGAGAGCCAAGGAGATGAGGAGGCAGACCACGAGATTCCAACATAACTACATAATAAGGTAATAACTTAATAAATAAGATAATTCATTTTGTATGCACATACAGTAAGCAGAATTATAACATACTGTATAAAGGGAGAGTACCATTGGTATAATTAATGCAGTGCTGTACATGACATATATTATTATGATTATTATTATTATTATTTACATGTACATTATTATTATTAATTCATATTGTACTTTGTAATCTTTTGCTTTCTTCATTCATCAATGCTAAGAATGGATCAACAGGATCCAAGTCATCAGCACCACCGATAGCACTAGCAGAAGCACCGGATGACTGCTGCTTCTCTCCTTCTAAAGGACAACAACAATACTTCATGTATAATACACTCTTTCTCTCCATTGTGTCAATAAGTTTCCCTTTTCCTTTATGTCTTTCTCCTTTCAATATCCCCCACACCCTTACAACCCCCTCCCTCCCTCCCCCCCTCTCTCACCTTCATTAGAAGAGCCAGTCCCTTTGTTGCTGTGACAGTACAAGTAAAGAAAGAGAGAGAGAGAGAAAGAAAAGAGAGAAACACACAAATACTGGCATCATTACAAAATCTAAAACCACATACTCTTTAGATGACATGGCGTATTGTATTACTGGCTGACGTACAACACCCCTAAGGGAAAATAAAAAATACACAATACTCATACATAAGAAATGCCATTCATAAACATAAGATACATATACAATGGAGACATGTGATAGAAACAGGTGTAGGGGTTGACAAGTGATACAATTATACAGTAATAAATACACACATCGTGTATACTGTTATGCATGTATGTAATATAAACTGATTAATAGCAAGCACATACAACTTTAAAGGAATTATGTTTACAACATACAGGTACACACCTTTCTTCTGCTGACTTCTGTTGCTTTCCCTTTGTAGGCTTTGAGGATCTAAAAGAGTCTTTTCTCCTTCTCTTTTGACCCTTGCCTCTCTCTTCAGTGGCAGTTATGTCCTGATCAGACTCGCTTTGCTGCTGATCAACTTCGCTAATACTTCTCTTACTCGAATGTCTTGTCTTGACTCTCTTCTCTTCCTTAAGAGAAGGAGTCTCTATAGCCTTAACCTCAGGAGATGATAATTTGATTCTTTTCTTCCTTCCTGCTTCCTCTTTGCTTTCTCCCTTTACTCTGTTGCTACTGCTTCCTTTTCTTGCTCTGTGCTTTGGATGAGAGGAGGATGAAGAAGAACTCTTTGTTCTCTTAGAGGCAGTAGCAAATGGATCTTCTTGAGCTGAGGGACCAGTCCTGCAGCTGCTGCTGCTTTGCTGAGCTAAAGAAGACGAGGATGAGGATACTCCTTCGTGTAATTTCTTCAAAGGTTCTTCGGGTTCGTTTGACGATGAGAGCCTCTTGGCTAAAATGCGAGCAGACCTTCGACGATTAATAGGAGATGATGAAGAGAACTCTGTTATAAAAACCCTGTGTAAGGAAATGAAAAGTACAAGTGCAATGTAACAACTGTCCAGTTATGTATGATCAAAGGAAAGGGGAAATACATGTACATGTATATACATAATATGTACAATGTATGTGGATGAGTGGAGTATGACATGATCAATAGACTAGGCTCTTGGACTAATAATATTATCATTGTGAGTAGCCAATAGTACTACCATTGATTAGTCATTTGTGTGACTGATAGGTGTGCCTTTCTCAATGCATGTATGTATACATTACACTATACCAGTAATGCACACACACACAGACACCATGTGATTATTTGGAAGGTGTCTTGTATGACTAATTGGCTATACTCACTCACTGTAGGCATGCTGCATGAGTCAAAAGTACAGAGTACAAGTATTGCTTACCATAACATAATGCTATGGGAATAGGGTCCCTTAGTGGGAAGGTTTTACTAAATCCAAACTTTTATATTTGCAGTTTCACTTTAACCAGTATGCATATGTACATTGTACACAGTACAATGTACATGCACATGCCCACATTTTGTCTCCTATGTAACTATTTACATACATGTAATCATTTTTGTTAGATTAGTATCACCAATTTAAATTTTTCAGTGGGCAAACTGCCAAATCATATTGATGTTCCTGGTTTATCAAACACATAAAAATGATAAAGTTAGTGAAGGAAATGCCAGACACAACTGACAATATGAGACAGGGGAGAGGGAGGAAGACAGATGATGGAGTGATGAAACAGAATAGTAATCAGGCCCAACATGTTACTGTCCAGAGACAAACTACTGGAGACTACAGGGCTACAACTGAATGACAACCAGTTTGACATACAATGTACATCCCAAGTCATAGGCACAACAATTATTATGAAAATAAACAAAAAATGATAAAGACAATCCATACACACTAAACCACATCCTAATATCACTCTGACCAAAGAATAGTCTTGTAAATGGTGTGATTCATATACAGTCATAAACACGTCCACTCTCACTCTCTCTCCTCTTTCTCTGACTCTTACTTCTGGGGGGACCCCTCTTTTGTATTGTCAAGTTCAGGAAAGGTTCTGTCCATCAGCCATCCGCTCACAGACTAGTCCACAAGTCTTGGTATAGGAGCCTCTGTTATGACAAGAGTCAGTGGCGGCGGACTCTCAGGAATGATAGCAGCTCACACACAATCCCTTCCCCCAATGTAACCAAGGCCTCACTTTATAAAACCACGCCCACTACTTGTCCCACCCCCAAAATAGGCGTCTTTTAAAAATTCGCATGAATTGCATTTCATAAATACTTTAGATTCATTAAAATTCCCTTTTCAAGCCTTTCTACTAAAATTTCTATAGTATCTGGTAAAAGTGGCCTTAAGCAATGATCATATAAAATTAATTAATTAAATTTCCACTCTTCTTTACTATAATACAGTGCACCAAAACTCACACATAATGGTAACAAAATACACTATAGCTATAGTATTTTAATGGCAAATAAAATTAGCTCAATTAAATTTTCTAAATAATAAAAAATGAAGGCTAGTCAGGTGGGGCCCCTCGCCCTCCTGACTAGATGAAGGCATTCATGATCTGCTCAGCAATTTATTATTTAAAATGGGTAAGCTTTTAAAAATTATGGTTTGGAGATTTAAAACAACCAAAAGTTTAACCATTAAATTAACAGAAAGACAGCAAAACTTACCAGCCCAGTGTGATAGTCCACGTGTTGTCACGTGTGTAAATCACGTGAAAAAATTGTGAGAAAATTGCAAGAAAAATTTTACGGGCGTTAATTTAGGTAAATTACGGAATTAGGTTGTGGGTGGTGAAACTCCGCCCAATTCCAGCAAACAACAACAAAATGGCAGACGCCAGAGGGGAGGAAATTGCAGAGAAAATAGCTTGGAAAACAGCCATACTCCGCTCAAGGAAGCTTTTTGAAGGGACCTCACAACTACCCGCACCCTCTAAAGACTTTTGCCAGCTCCTCATTACTGAGAAAGGTGTCGCATGGCGCAAATGGAAGATAACACTCAGAAATTATTCACTGGGGATGGCACCTCACCCCATCGAACAGATCATGACATATGAAGACTATAGGTTTGACAGGTCGCTCCAGTTTGAGATTGAGACTATTTTCGGAGTCAAGGCCCTAAACCAAACCTTGAAGATTGTCAAAGGATGCAACGATCCCTTGAGCAGTCTACCTGAGCCACTTGCTATCAAAGTTATCTGCTATCTTGACTTGCAGTCAATCGAGTATCTTTCACAGGTCAACCAGCACTTTCGCGAGCTCTGCAAGGCCGACGGTCTCTGGGAGAAACTCTATGCTATGCATCAGGGAACTCCGAGTCGTGAAGTGAAGGCCCTTGCTAAGGAGCTGGGCTGGAAGCACGTTTTCTTTATGAACAAGCTTCAGTTGCAGAAGGAGATTTCACGAAAGAGACGACAGTTACTGGCATCACCCTCCGACTCTGGAGCGAGTACTTTCATGACTCAACAAATTGAAGATTAAAGTACTCGGAGATACGATAGTCTGACCAGCTAGCACAGAGACTTAACAACTGTTATCACTTCTTTACTATTTTATTAGTTATTACAATAGATTATTATCATAATATATATTGAAGAGGAACCACGCCTCTTTGCTTTACAAAACATTATAAACATAGTGACATAAACATAAAATTAATGTATAATAGAATTTTAGACATGAAAAAATGACAATCACACATGAACTGAAAACAAATCTCAAAGATAAAAAATAGTAACAAAAGAGGACCAGCGCCTCGTCAAAAATCTAATAATAATAATAGTAATAATAATAATAATAATAATAATGATATATGTCTACTTTTGGTAACGTGGTCATGTGGGACCAGAGACATACAAAATGAGGTCTATGTATATATATATATATTACAATACATTATTACAGGAATTCACTAGATCGTAATAATGTTCGTTATGCTCTATTGGACAATTGCTTGTGGCAGTGTTGAGATACCTGCAGTTGCTGCTGGGTGGATGGGCAAGCTTGATGTTGGCGTAGCAGTTGGAGAATACTGTGTCACTAATGGATAGGAATCTATAGCAAAGAATAATAATAATAATAATAATAATAATAATAATAATAATAATACATGAGAATGATTGATGCTTACATTGGCCAAGTGAGTTGGTAGGAGAGGAGTATTGTGCCTTGTCTGAAGTATATGCTGCAGGTAGTACAAATGATTCGGCTGGATAAAACTAGAGACAAAGACAAACAATCAAATATGGGGGCGTTGTAAGTTTGTGTACATTGCTAATGGCCACTTTTAAAAAGAGGCAAGCCATGCAGTGGAGATATTGTTATCATTGTGTACTATCATAAACAATGCAATGATATAATGTTCATATATAGTTTATCCTGTTACATGCATAGTGCATATAAAGCATGCAGGAGCCGGGGCTTACCTGTTGTGCCATGCCAGAGAGGAGATAGTACACAATGTGAGGGGGAGGATGATAGAACCAGCACTGACTGTGTCGGCAGAAACCTCTGAGATAGTTCCAGCAACAGGTGACAGTGTTGCTACTATGATCTCTTCTGACATATGGGTCTGTATGTTAGAGGGAGGGAAGGACTGAGTGTAGGCAACTATCTTATCAGAAACAAAGTAAATTCACAACCAGTTATTACTATTACCAAATCACATGCATAGCATGAGCTATGAGGGAGTAGGAATAAAATATTGCTGAGTTGCTGGCAATGAAATTCATAGTAAAGGTTCAAAAGTACACATATCACATTGCGATTGAGATATGAATATCATAATTTGTACATACAAAAGAAGGCAATGAAAAGGAAGCCTGGCAAGCCTTTAAAAATGCTAACCGTTTCGCCCCAATTTACTTTTGCTTTTTATTCTTAGCTTTTCTCTTTAGCATTGATGCATTTTCTATACTTTATTCTCAAATCGGTTTCACTTACCAGGGTGGGCAAAGAAGCAGTGGGGTCCTTGAGGACAAGTGATATTGTTGTCGAAATTTTCACACACTTGAATACGTGAGGAGGGAAACTGAAGGCCGGTAGGAGGGAAAGAAAACATTGGTACATCAGGATAAGCAAAACTCCTACTATTGGCACCAGGTGAAGTATCCATATAGTAGGCACCATTTATTGGTATCTGTGAGAGAAAAAAAAAGACAAAAAATAATACTCATCATGTAGATTGAGTGCATTATACTCACGGTAGGACTCAATGGTGCTGGAGATATTATGGTTGGTTTGGGAGTAACAGACATTGCTTGTCCATACTTTTTGCCAGCCTGAATGAGACTTTCCTTAATATTGGTAGGGGGATGCAAGTATTTACATGAATCACGGGTACATCTATCCTGTATATGGTGGAACGGAATGAGAAAAGAGGACGCCATGTAATAACAAGGCATGACTCTACTATCAAAATACAAACTAAGAGTGAGGCACATGACTCTATGGGTTGATTTGTAAACCAAAAACCATATATATGCTAACTACATGCTTATAGGCCATATTAGCAAACACAACAAAGGAGCTCACCAACCTTTAAGTGTGGACAACTAAAGGATTTTTTAACTTTTTGCAATGAAATGCAGTTCTTTAATGTATCTGCCTTAATGATTTTTACAATTTTACCAGCTCTGCATGTGTACATAAGATTATACTACAATAATAATTGTGGAGGTGGTATGTATATATTTAAAGTATTGCTATAATTTCATTAATAAGACAATGTTCTATAGTTAAATAATGCAACCTGATAATAATATAAACATGACTAGAGTAACGAGTGTGATGTACATATTAGTACGACTATGTGTTCTAATTGTAATTAGATTTGTGGTCATGTGCCCCGAAAATAGGTACAGGCATGCATGCATAGTACTACTACGGTAGTATTATGAACCAGTAATAGTTTCAATTGAAGCATAGTAGCACTCTCTTGCTAGTACATATTCACCCTAACTGCAAATTTGGCAGGCATTGGATTTGTATCTACAGGTTATTCAAATTATGCTCAAGTGCCCACCATGAGAACAACAATGAAATCCTGCAAATGTCTTCCCTTCAATACAACTACCAAGTGTATTGGCCCCTACCTTCAAGTTGTCAAAACAGCAAGTGACTTTACCATCTTTAACAATGACGGATCCTGTAGGGTGGGCAAAACGACACTCCTCTGCAGACCTGCTGCAGTCTCCTCGAAGGAACTCCCTGCATACCTCAAGCTCGAGCCAAGTTGAGTCTCTCCCTGACCCGGAGTGGTGTCTGCCACCATTGGAGGAGGGAGCGCCGCTGTGATCAGACTCAGGAGTCTCTGGTACTTCATTCCTGGTGGACGTTATGGTTGTGATGACATGCTGCTGAGGTTGCTCTTCGGGTTCAGAGCTCATAACGACCGGTTCCGGAGTGGTCATGGATTCTTGCAATTTTGTATCGTTTTCTGAGACATTGGCCTCGCTAATCAGCTGCTGTTCTTGCTCCATGACTCCTCCGGTTCTTGTGGGCTCTGGTGGTGGTTAGAGTGACTCTGAGACCGAACTGTTGGGCGTCCAAATCCTAGTCCTAATCACCACAAGCAGCCCAACTTTAAGCTTATCGATTATGCACGAGACATACCGTAAAACATCTTATTACTTTATTGCCATGACAACCAAGAAAAGATAGACAGATCTACCGTATTGAATCTATCAATCTTCTTATTAACTGAGCGTCTCTATGACAACCTAGGAAATAATATCAAAACCTTATTATGAAATCTGGAGGGCCAGAAGTACTATGAAGCTTAAATTGACTATTCCCAAAGATCTAAAGCATATCCTTTCCTATAGTAGACATATTTGTATTGTACTAGATACTCTTATTGTTTTTATTGCCTTACCATTTATTATTTCTCCTTAATATACTCCACACATTCTGACGTAGCTAGTTCTATTGGTTGGTCCACTACAAGTCAACTGTACTCCATTGGGTAAGTTGTAGCTATCTATCTTTTGTAATTCTTCCTCGCTTACTTTTGTCGTCTTTACTCAATTACTTTCACAGTTTTATTTTTTATTTCATCTTCATAATTTCTTCCATTCTTTCTTTCTCTCTCTCTTAGCGATGACCATATTATTTTTCGGTGGGATTTGAAAACCAATGAGAAAACAGAGGTATTATCCATAACAATCATAACTATGAGTCTATGAATCTCATTATATTAATTAATAAAGGTTGCCAAGCTACCAAAGGATGTCTACTGCACTGATGTCCATTGGTTCCCTGGTCATCCTGGGAAGAAACAAGCAACCCAGTCTGAGTCATTTGCATTGGCATGCACCGATGGTAGATCCTTTGTATTGCATTGGTCATAAATAACACTTTGTTCTAGTCTAGCATAATTTCAATATGGCCATGACATTATGTTATTGTATCATGTATTTACAATTTGGCACTGTTTACTGTTTAATTTACATGTACATGTATATATATATATATATATTTATATCCCACATTTATGTATACATCCTGCAGGTCGATTTCTTTTGGTATCAAAGACAGGACGTGTTGAAAAGACAGTCGATGGACACAAAGGAGCTGTCCTTGGAGTGAGATGGGCTGTACCTGATGGATCTGCACTTTTAACATGTGAGAAAGAGAGATAGAGAGAGTATGCTAATTGGGTTTACTGTGTTAACTTATAATTATCATTATATTATGTATAAATAGACTGTTGTGTCCATTACATATTTTGTATTGTTGTACATGTAGTTGGAGAGGATGGCGCTGTCAAGATATGGTCTAAGACTGGAATGTTGAGGACTGTACTCGTTCAAAATGGTACGTGTGCATGTATTAAGTAATGCATTAGTATATAAATTAGATAGATTTTTAATCATTGCATATTTTTGTCATTTAGCCATCCCAGTATATGCAGCATGTTGGTCCCCTGACAGTAACCAAGTGCTCTATACCAGTGGGAAGACGCTAATAATAAAGCCACTTCAGCCGTCATCCAAGCCTAGTGTGTGGAAAGCACACGATGGGATCATACTAGCGATAGATTGGAGCAGTACAGCTGGACTCATCATCTCTGGGGGAGAGGACAGGAAATACAAAGTATGAATGAGCAATTTGAATTATTATGAATTGTTATGATTTCTATATTCATACATTATGTATTATGAACATGAATATGAGAAAGTTACATTCCTTCTACACGACGTACAATGTATAAGTATGCGTGTCTGCTTTACACGTTATTAACATGACTTGACAGCTGGCAGATCTCTTTATTCCTCTATCAGCCCATGTACTATCAGCATCATGCACTATCAGCATCATGCACTGTACATATAGTCACTAGTCACTCTTTATAGTGTGCATGTATTTCAGTTTATGAATATACATGTATGTACTTTATTGCATTATACGATAAATGCTAGCAGTAGCATATGCATGTACATGTATGTACATGTACATACATTTATATGTACATGTACATGTACATACATGTACATATACATGTAGGTTGTGCTATTGTCTCTGTTCTATGGACATAACTAGCCAACAATGGTCTTGCCCTTTTAAATGCTGCACTTTAGCTGTAGTACAGTATACTCTATTATGTACATATGCATGTAGGTATGGGATAATTATGGAAGACTGATGTATTCCTCAATGCAAAATGATGGACCAATTACTTCTCTTTCCTGGACACCTGATGGTACGTTGTGTATGTACACGTATGTGTGTCTGTTGATGTTCTCTTGTAACAGGTGAACTGTTTGCTGTTGGTGGGTTTAATACCTTGAGATTGTGCGATAAAGCTGGGGTTAGCTATATAGTTACAAGTTTGTAGTAATCTACTGACTTTATCCTCCATTAGTGGTCTCACAGTCTTGATAAGCCACAGTGTGGGACAATATTCAAACTAGCCTGGTCTGATGATGGTACAAATGTTGGATGTGCCAGTGGAAGTGGGCAAATAATCATAGGGAGTATAGTTGGAAGGTATATGTACATGTACATGGTCTACCTTGCATTTTACATGTACATGTATATTAGACGTAACGAGTGGCGTCACTTGGAGGCTGTTGTAACAGATGAAAATAGTATTACTGTAAGAAACGCTAAGAATGACTCAAAGGAGTACATAAGTGAGATAATACAGTGTAATTGAATCATGTGTATAGTAACTATAAGTAAAGTGTACATTATGAATTGCCTTCACTATCAAGCTAACTTCTATTGATATTAGATTAACTGCAGGCAAAGGGTATTTTATGTAGCATGCTTTCTCAGCTAGCTGCATGTATATGATTATGGCAAAAAGCTATGCATGTACATTATAGCCTAATGATAGCTCTAGTAGATCAATTGCTATGCATATAGTGCCCTTGATAATCAACTACATTTTATATGTACATGTATTTTAATTATACATGTTTCTATACATGCATGTACATTGCTTGTGCCAGCTATAGCTCTCTCATTTTCTCTATTAGTTTTGAATGACCGGATAGTTAAAGTTTCCTTGGACTGGGGTCACCTTATAGTAACCACTGGCAGCCAATGCAATGTGTATAGGTAAGAAAAAGTAATGCTTTCATACTCTATGGAAAGTTTGCAATTAAGTTCCTGTGTAATGTATGCTTGCCAAGGAATAGTATTATGGGCATTGTCCTAAGTGTGATATTATAATGGCTGTTATGATGATGTCAATAAATGGAGAAGAGAGGGAGAGAGGGAGGGAGAGAGAGAGGGAGGTGGGAGAGAGGAGGATTGATAGAAATGGTATAATAAAAATGCATCATGTAAAGCTGTTTGTATTGATTCATAGTGTGAGGGAAATGATTATGAATAATTGTATGCGATTCATTTTCATTGATGATGGGCTAGTGATCTCGTCCTTATTTGGTATTTCTAATTGCAGTGAGCGCAACTGGACAATCCCGGTGACAGTTGATCTAAGAGGAGGTGTGGTGAATCTCATTAAACAGGCCGAGAGGTGAGATAAATTGATTGGATCAAAAATTATATTATTTTTAATAAGCCGCATGAGAATGACATGTGATGAACTGTGTATGAATTATGCTAATAATGAATCTCATTATTATTGATTATGATCGTAATAGGTTCTTTCTAGTGGTTGAAGTCTCAACTGGCATACAGATCATATCATATGAAGTACTACAGTCACATGATAGTCACGTGATTATTATGTTATGTTAATAGGGACGCATAGTCTCCACTATAAAGAGCTCAGCACTTCAAGTGGACTCACTCAATACTCATATAGTATCACTATCAAATGATACTGTAGCTATTAGAGACTCAAGAGATCACAAAAGTAATGCACACACACACACACACACACACATACACACACAGAATTAGACACATCACATACATATACATTATTGCTAAAGAGACATGCATGATCCCATCAAAACATGTACTGTATGATTTCTCCATCAAAACATATTAATGTATTTGTTATAACTACACAGTGAGACACATCAGCTGTTCAAAACAGACCCGGCTCAGTCAAACCATTTCACTAATTAATTTAAACTGAAACCCACCTTATTACTATAATTCATTATTAACAGTCAATACAATACATCACGAGCATATAATGCAATGGGTATATGTTATCTTTCTCTCCAGTCACATGATTATACTAGCTTGCAGTTTAGATACATTTGTTATGTCAACTATCATCCCCTTTCCTTTATTGCTGTAAAGACAGGACATCATGTAATGTACAACAAACCTCTTTATGCATGCACTAGTACATTAAAAATAATGCTAAAGGAATTGCCATATTCATTTCAGAGCGGTGATGTATGCAATTGATATTTACATGTTTATGTACTCCAGTGAAGCGTTGAAAGTTCCGTTATTATAAGTAACACCGCCTTCTATGGATCACTTAAAACCATAATTTACACAGTCTACTATGATAAACCCTCACCTACTCATAATGTTCCCACGCAAGTTGCTCTGATGCAATTACTGATAGTAAATATGTACCGAGTGTTTTGTACATATAAGGTGGTTCCTCTATAGTGGTGGGCTTATACTCCTGACTGTAGTCTCTTTCAAGTGGTCACTAATACTGATTACTATGCTGCATAATTTTATAAATTCTCATGTTTATCTTCTCCTAATTCTTTGCTCTCTCATAGTAATTCGTGTGTATGATGCAGTGAGTGGTCGGGAATTACATGATGTCCAACACAAACACGACATTGAGACTCTCGATCTGAGTCGCTCGAATTCTCAAAGATGCATCTCGTTCACTGATAAGAATCATGATCTGTACGTAATGCAAGTTTTAAAGAATGTGACTGCACCAATCAGCATAGGTAAAAAATATTATAATTATCATTCAATATTATCATATTTAATTGTTATAACATTGTACATATACACGTATATAGGGTCAATGGTTACATCAATGTCATGGAACAATCAATACGATGTATTGGTTGGCACTCAAGACAAGAAAGTAGTTGCCTGGTATTGTCCTCCAGTGGTTGGTACAGACATTGACCTCCTCCCATTGATCACTGTTGAACTGAATGGGTGAGTGGAATTAAAGGGAGAGAAGGGGAGGTGTCTGTCTATGCCTTGTCTTGAGCAATGTGATGATAGTGTTGGTGTGAATTACTATAAAATGCAGAGTAAACATCATGTCTATTTTAGAGTTTATTCAAAGAATCCAAAAGTTGTTTCATTCATTGGTAATCATGTGACATTACGCAGATCAGACGGTGCCATCATAATGACAAGGTATTGCACTAATTAAATCTAAGACAATAGAGCACCAGTGATACCATTACTCGACATTCACATTCATGGATACTGCATATAATCTTCTACATTTCTCATTTGTAATTTATTCATCACAGCATTTCTCCATTCCCTTGTGTGCTTCATCAACATATGCTAACAGGACAATGGAACAGTGCTGTTAAACTCTGTCGTGTTGCTAAGGTAGCAATAAATCTACCTATATACTTGCCTTTAATATTTAATTCAATACTTTTTTCCACAGGATAGAGGACTATGGGCATGCTTGGCTGGAATGGCAACTAGCATGAAAGAGCTAGGCACTGCTATTATTGCTTATTCAGCTATCAATGAAGCAAGCCACAATACTCTAACACATGAGTATTATGTATTCAATACAGGTTGATAAGATTCGCTACTTGAAGTTCATTCAGGGTCTAAGCAGTAATGAGCTCAGGTTAGCTGAGCTGGCATTGTTTTGCCGTCAACTCCAGGCAGCTGAATCAATGTTTGTTCAGGCTGGGTTTGTATTTAGAGCAATAGAAATGAACATGGAATTGTTTCAATGGGAAAGGTTTGTTGACAAATCAAACCATTGTCATTATTATAAGGATTAATTCATTCTATTTGTGTTTTATTTTCTTATAAAGAGCTCTCGATTTGGCAATACGGCATAAGACTCATGTTGATACAGTCCTGGCATTCAGACAAAAGTATCTTGAGGAAATAGATTCTAAAGAAACCGTAAAGAAGTTCCAGCAATACACAGAAAAAGTAAGCTATTATTCATGTCTTTGAATTTAGTATGATTTATCTGTTTTATATTATTAATAGATTGCTATTGACTGGGACAAAGTTATCGCTAAAGTTACCCTTGAACATGAAAAGATAAAATGAATAAGCATAATTATTATTATTACTACGGTCTTCTCAGCTCTCTTATTATTTACATTTAATAGTAATGGTAATAAACTAATAATAATAATAATAATAATAATAATAAGAGTACAGTACACGTGAAAGCACGTGGGATCATTGCGCATGCGCAAAGCAATACTTTGGAGGTGTGGTTTTGTCAACCAGGCAAGTACCAGTGCGCATGCGCAGAAAATCACATGATTCTAGAGAAATGACGTAATGGGTCAAGTATAAAAAGGAGCCGGTTGAAAGAAGAAAAGACAGAAAGCCTTTGGTGGGCCAATAGGAGGCAAGAAATACTGGTAGAAGAGTAATCTTGCTTTCCATCGTGCTCACTGAAGTCGAAAAACAGGCGGTAAGTGATTGTGAATATAATCTCTGGGGGATAATGACATTTCTAGCAGTAAAGAAGTGTCTGGTGCAGTAATACAGCTATACCGGATATTTCGACGAAGAAGAAGACAAGATGGCGACCACCCTAGACTCCTCGGCGCCACTGAAAAGAGTGAAGAAAGTTCAATTTGGGATCCTTTCAGCAGAAGAAATAGTAGGTTTAATATTAATTAAACTCTACTTTTGCAAAAAATAATGAACAAAAAAAAATTAAAAAATAACACATGATGTATACATATACATAATAATGCACTGTATTATTACTATTAAATATTAATAGAAACGTAGATCGGTGACAGTCCCTGATGGAATCAGATACCCTTACACGATGGAGGGAGGGAAGCCTAAAATGGGAGGACTGATGGACCCGAGGCAAGGCGTCATTGACAGGGCGTCACGCTGTCAGACTTGTGCCGGTAACATGAACACATGTCCCGGTCACTTTGGACACATTAGTCTCACTAAGCCTGTCTTCCATGTTTGCTTCATGACAAAGATAGTGAAGATAATGCGCTGTGTCTGTTTCTACTGCTCACGTCTGCTCATTGACTCTGTGAGTTGTGTGTCCCTCATAATAATAATTGTGTACACTTTGATAAATGGGCTGCTTTTAAGATGTTGATGATAAATCAATCAACACTTTTATTTATTTTTAATCAAAGCAGTATAGCTTCAAAGATCTTACACTTAATGCACATGCTTGTCAGATTTATTATGTTTAGAGAAACCAAACAATTTATTTGTTTGCTAAATTAATTTTGTTTGCTTGTCATTGCTTGTTGTTATAGGATGACCCAAAAGTGAAAGACATATTATTGAAGACTAGGACAGTCCCTCATAAACGTCTCCAGTATATTTATACACTGGCAAGAGTGAAGAGGATCTGTGATGGAGGAGGAGGAGGAGCTGAAGACAAGAACACTACTATGATGGATGATCCTAAAATGATGGTAATGAAGAATAATGAAATAATAATTTTAAGTTTTTAAAAAATAATAATAATCGTCCTTTTACCTTACTTTTTGTTTATTTTTTAATAAGGCTCGTGGTGGGTGTGGTCGTTATCAACCGAAACTCCGAAAGATAGGCTTAGAGATAACGGCAGAATGGAAGGAGATAAATGAGGAGTCGCAGGAAAGGAAGATAGTAGTGTCAGCTGAGAGGGTCCTTGAAATATTCAAGAATATGTCCGATGATGACTGTCGTATCATAGGAATTGATCCTAATTATTCTCGTCCTGATTCAATGATAATCACAGTGCTACCGGTACCGCCACTACCTGTACGACCTGCTGTTGTGATGCATGGATCAGCAAGGAACCAGGTACTACTGCAATGCATTGTAAATTTGTAATTATTATTATTTGTTGCTGTTTTAGGATGATCTGACTCATAAGTTGTCCGATATTGTCAAAGCTAATGAGCAGCTTATCAAGAATGAGCAAAACGGAGCAGCTTCGCACATCATCGAGGAAGACTTGAAGATGCTCCAGTTTCATGTAGCAACACTCAAGGACAATGAATTACCAGGAATGCCTAAAGTATGTGAACACACACACCTCTATTCATATGCATTCCTAGCATTATTGACATTCCTCCACAAAGCATGCTACATGTAAGTGAGCTGAAAAGCACTAGATATGGTACATGTACATTGTACATACATGTACATGTAGCTTTGGGGGCAACTTAAAAAATTTGTAAAAAATCCAATTTTGATCTGAATCAACTCAAACTTTCTACATGACATCAGAACATGTATATGTATCAGAAAAAAATTATAAAAATCAAGAATTCTCTCCTAGCCATTTTTGAAAAAATACACCCTATAGTACAGTATATGGTCGAACTACTTTAAAATCCAATGACAAGAACCTGCATGCAGGAGCACTGTGCCAAAACCCTGTAGGAAACCCTATTGACAGAATTCCTGTTATCTTCCTGTAGGCTGTTCAAAGAGGAGGGAGACCGTTGAAATCGATCAAGCAGAGGCTGAAGAGCAAGGAGGGACGTATTCGTGGGAACCTCATGGGGAAACGTGTTGATTTCTCAGCACGTGCCGTCATCACTCCTGACCCAAACCTCTCCATTGATCAGGTTGGAGTACCGCGTACCATAGCACAGAACCTTACCTTCCCTGAAGTAGTGACACCATTCAACATAGACAGGTACGTATGATCACGTGTCATGTGATTTGTACATCATGTGTGCATGTACTTAGAATGCAGGAGCTTGTGGCACGTGGTCACAATCAGTATCCAGGGGCTAAGTACATCATACGTGAGAACGGGGAGAGGATTGACCTTCGTTATCATCCCAAACCAAGCGACCTCCATTTGCAGTATGGCTACAAAGTAAGCCATGTAGCCATCATACAGTTCACTCACTTACTGTATATCCTCCATCTCATAGATTGAGAGACACATTGTAGATGATGATTTGATTGTTTTCAATCGTCAGCCGACGCTACACAAGATGTCTATGATGGGCCACAGGGTCAAGATATTACCATGGTCCACCTTTAGACTCAATTTGAGGTACAGACTAACTGATTTCGTATCTATCATTATCATTACTTCTATTATTATAGTGTTACCACTCCATATAATGCTGATTTTGATGGTGATGAGATGAATCTTCACGTACCCCAGAGTCTAGAGACAAAGGCAGAGATACAGGAACTGATGATGGTTCACCGTAACATCCTCACCCCTCAATCAAACAGGCCAGTGATGGGTATTGTACAGGACTCACTCACTGCTGCTACAAAATTCACCAAAAGAGACGTGTTCCTAGAAAAGGTACTATATAACACTGCATGAATGTGTTATTATTAAATATCATGTGACATGTCATCATAGGAATCAATGATGAATTTATTAATGTGGCTCCCTTCCTGGGACGGTAAGATGCCTGTCCCCGCCATATTGAAACCAAAGCCCCTGTGGACAGGGAAGCAGTTGTTTTCATTGATAATACCAGGGACCAACGTGAACGTGATCAGAACACACTCCACTCATCCTGACGATGAGGACAATGGGCCATACAAATGGATATCACCTGGAGACACCAAGGTATACTTTACAATATGTAGTTAAAGCATTAATAAATTATTTTATAATTTACTGTTTAGCTAGAAATTTCTGTGGCCCAAAATTTCTGCTCATTTTGCATATTTGGAAAAATTGCAGAAATTTAATTCTTCTTTATAAGGATATATCCTTTATATATTTAAATTAAAAGGCATGGTGAATATACAAAAATAAAAGCCACTTTTATGGCAATTCGCGGCCACAGAAATTTCTAGCTACACGGTATACTTTTCAATACATTATATTATTTCATGCATTTGTAATAGGTGTTGGTTGAACACGGTCAGCTTCTCTCTGGTATCTTATCCAAAGACACTCTTGGTAATAAAGGTGGCTCACTCATGCATGTCGTAGCAATGGAGCTTGGCCCTGATATTGCTCGTAACTTTTATGGTAACATCCAGACTGTCGTCAATAACTTCCTAATGCTCGAGGGACATAGCATTGGTATTGGTGACACCATTGCTGATAATCTCACGTATAATGATATACAGAAAACCATTAGATCTGCCAAGGTAAGAAATCCATCATTATAGCACCGCAGTTACATGTTTATTATTATTATTATTATTATTATTATTATTATTTTAGAATGATGTTGTTGAAGTTATCAAGAAGGCTCACAATAACGAGCTTGAGCCAACGCCAGGCAACACTCTTCGTCAGACCTTTGAGAACCAGGTGAACAGGATACTCAACGAGGCACGTGACAAGACAGGTAGCTCCGCCCAGAGGAGTCTCTCTGAATTTAATAATTTCAAGATAATGGTCACAGCTGGGTCGAAAGGATCAAAGATTAACATATCACAGGTACTCACACACAAAAGTTATACTGTATGGCACAAAATTTTGAAGGGCTATATAAATTTTGCAAATTTGCCTACAAATCTATTTTTGCAGATTTAATTTTTGCGAATTTATGCCGTCTGCCATCTTGTACTGTAATTGTTTGATTTTCATGGAAATACTTTTTGCGAATTTTTCAAAAATACCGAAATCTGTGAAATTTACAGCCCTTGAAAATTTTTCGCTCTACGGTATTTCATTGCTATGATTATAGGTCATAGCTTGCGTGGGACAGCAGAACGTTGAAGGAAAGAGAATCCCGTTTGGTTTTCGACACAGGACGCTACCTCATTTCATTAAGGATGATTATGGACCCGAGAGCAAAGGGTTTGTAGAGAACTCTTACTTAGCCGGTCTCACTCCTAACGAGTTCTTCTTTCACGCTATGGGAGGAAGAGAAGGACTCATAGATACTGCTGTGAAAACATCTGAAACAGGTACAATACTTAAAGCACATCCATTATTGTAATCTTTTGATGATTATACTGTGCATAGGTTACATACAGAGACGATTGATGAAAGCTATGGAAGGTCTGATGGCACATTATGATGGAACTATCAGGAACTCAAACTCTCAAATGATTCAGCTTTGCTATGGAGAGGACGGCATGGATGGGATGTGGATGGAGTTCCAACAGTTGCCAACTATAAAACCATCAGATGCTGCGTTTAAAAGGAAATTTTACTTTGATGTGACAAACCAAAGGTACAGTATCAGTAGTTTGAACAAGTGTTGTTGTGCGACTTTAAAAGTTTCTGAAAAATCCAATTTTGGTCAGAATCAGCTTAAACTTTCTATACACAACATGAAAACATGTATACATGTATGTATTAGAAAAAAATGAAAATGGGAGAATTTTCTCGTAGCCATTTTTGGTACAGGTTCTTTGACCAGATTTTGATCAACTTCAGAAATTTCAAATCAGCTCAAGCTTAATTATAATTACCACTTACCCATTATGTGTCTGTATATCAATTTGAATTAATGTGCTTGTTCTCTTCCTATAGACAACTGAGGCAGTTCTTTAGAGATGAGCTCATTAGGGATCTAATGAAGTCAGGTACTCTCCAGAAGGAATTGGAGGACGAGTTTCAGCAGCTGAAAGAAGACAGGGCAGCTCTAAGATCAATATTCCCTACTGGCAACAGCAAAGTGAGTATCAGGCATGAGCTACAGTATGTAGAGTCTACTGGTGATTGGTTTAGGTTGCATTACCTGTTAATATTACAAGACTCATCTGGAATGCACAGAAGATATTTCACATTGACACTCGCAGTAAAGTTGACCTTCATCCTTCGAAAGTTATTGAAGGTATAATGTATAGATTAATATTTGATTATTATAATAATTATTATAACTATGCAATAGAAAAAACAAAAGCCTATACTAAGACATGCATAAAATACAAATTAAAGCATAAACTACTTTATTATTACTATTGTTATGATTGTTAGGTGTCAAGGAGTTAAATGATAAGTTGGTTGTTGTTAAAGGAGATGATGCTCTATCAAGACAGGCACAGATCAATGCTACACTCCTCTTCTCCATATTCCTCAGATCCACCCTCTGCACTAAGAGAATGGCAGAGGAGCACAAACTCACAGAGGAAGCTTTTGAATGGCTCCTTGGAGAGATTGAGACCAGATTCCAGAGAGCACACGTTCAGCCAGGAGAGATGGTAGGAGCACTTGCCGCTCAGTCACTAGGAGAACCTGCCACTCAAATGACACTGAACACATTTCATTATGCTGGAGTCTCTGCTAAGAACGTAACTCTGGGGGTACCTCGTCTTAAGGAAATCATTAACGTGTCCAAGAAGCCGAAAACCCCATCACTGACTATCTTTTTATTAGGACAAGCGGCACGTGATGCTGAAAAATGCAAGGTACATATAAGCAATAGCATATATAGGCATATACTTTTTCAGTGTCTTAATTATTACTAATTTTTGCTTCTTTTAGGATGTTCTGTGTCGTATAGAGCACACGACTCTTAGTAAAGTGACTGCAAACACGTCCATATTTTATGATCCAGACCCACAGAACACGGTGATTGCCGAAGATCAGGAGTTTGTTAATGTTTACTATGAAATGCCTGATTTTGATCCTGCGCTCATATCACCTTGGCTCCTGCGTCTTGAATTGGATCGTAAAAGGATGACAGACAAGAAGTTGACCATGGAACAAATTGCAGAGAAAATCAGCTCCACTTTTGGTGATGATCTCCGTTGTCTTTTCAATGATGATAATGCAGAGAAGCTAGTCCTTCGCATCAGACTAATGAACAGCGATGATCAGAAATATCAATCAGAGGTAAAGCTCCCTTTTGCTATCATACTATGTTCATATTGTGCTCCTTTCTTTGTATACAACAGGCTGATGAGGAGCAGTTGGATAAAATGGAGGATGAGACATTCTTGCGTTGCCTTGAAGCTAATCTGCTGTCAGACATGACACTTCAAGGAATCGAGCAAATATCTAAAGTACATTGTAATATTATTGATGATGATAGTTTCTATATTACTATTATTCTCTCAGGTGTACATGCACTATCCTACTCAAGACTCAAAGAAGCGTATTGTTATCAGTGAGCAAGGTGAATTCAAGGCTATACAGGAGTGGATACTTGAGACTGATGGGGTCAATCTCCTCCGGGTTTTGAGTGAGCCCTCCGTTGATCCTGTTCGTACAACATCCAATCACATTGTGGAAATATTTCAGGTTAGAATTAATAAGAGTATATACATGAAATTATTATTTTATTTTTTTGCTTCCCCATAGGTGCTTGGTATTGAGGCGGTAAGGAAAGCATTAGAGAAAGAGATTAATCATGTCATTTCTTTTGATGGTTCTTACGTTAATTATCGTCACTTGGCTTTGCTCTGCGATATTATGACGTGCCGTGGTCATTTAATGGCAGTCACTAGACACGGGGTGAACAGACAAGAAGTAGGAGCACTGATGAGATGCTCATTTGAAGAAACTGTAAGCCAATATGATTACTTATAACAGATATTTAGAATAAAGTTTCAAGCAATTTTTACAAATGCATGTACATTGTTCACATTTTAAAGGATATTCAATTGTCTCTCCACAGGTTGATATATTGATGGAGGCTGCTGGTCATGCAGAGGTTGATAAGATGCAAGGAGTTAGTGAGTGTATCATGTTGGGCCAGTTGCCTAAAGGTGGTACTGGTGCTTTTGAACTGATGCTTGATGCAGAGAAGTGCAAGTCGGCAATGGAGATATCAGGAACAATGACCGGGATGATGATACCTGGTTTGATGTTTGAACGTGGATCTGGCCCAGTTGGTAGTCAGACCCCAGCCATGACGCCATGGCAGGGAGGTGCTACCCCTAGCTATATGGATGCATGGACTCCTGGTGGAATGACTCCAGGAATGTCTGCTGCATTCTCTCCAGCAGCACAATCAGAGGTTGGTGGGTTTAGTCCTGGATATAGTCCTGGTTGGAGTCCTGGTCCATCTTCTCCATCATATAATCCCCCAGCAGGTTATTCTCCTGCTTCTCCTGGTTATTCCCCTGCTTCTCCTGGTGGCCCTGCTTCTCCAAAGTATTCACCAGCATCACCAGGTTATTCACCAGCAAGTCCTTCGTATTCACCAGCTAGCCCATCCTATTCACCGGCTAGTCCATCCTATTCTCCTGCTAGCCCCTCTTATTCACCAGCAAGTCCATCTTATTCACCAGCGAGTCCATCTTATTCTCCTGCTAGCCCTTCCTATTCACCAGCCAGCCCTTCCTATTCTCCAGCAAGTCCATCTTATTCACCAGCCTCTCCCAGCTACAGTCCAACTTCACCAAGTTATAGCCCATCTTCTCCAAGCTATAGCCCTTCTTCCCCCAGCTATAGTCCATCATCACCAAGCTATAGCCCTTCTTCCCCGAGCTATAGCCCGTCATCTCCTAGCTATAGCCCATCCTCTCCCAGCTACAGTCCATCTTCCCCGAGCTATAGCCCATCTTCACCCAGCTATAGTCCATCTTCGCCCAGCTATAGCCCATCATCGCCTAGCTATAGTCCTTCTTCCCCGAGCTATAGCCCTTCATCACCAAGTTATAGTCCATCTTCTCCCAGTTATAGCCCATCCTCTCCCAGCTATAGCCCATCCTCCCCCAGCTATAGCCCATCTTCCCCAAGCTATAGCCCTTCATCTCCCAGCTACAGTCCATCGAGTCCTGCTTATTCTGGATCAAAGCAAAAATATTATTCGTCAAATCAAAAGTATTCGCCATCAAGCCCAAAGTATTCACCATCAAGCCCAAAGTATTCGCCTTCGAGCCCAAAATATTCGCCTACTTCGCCACCATATACACCATCCTCACCTCAGTATACTCCTAGTTCACCTCAGTATACTCCAAGCTCGCCTCAGTATACTCCAAGCTCGCCTCAGTACTCCCCAAGCTCTCCCCAGTATTCTCCCAGTTCCCCCCAGTACTCTCCCAGTTCACCTCAGTATACCCCGAGCTCACCTCAGTATACTCCTAGTTCACCTCAGTATACTCCTAGTTCACCTCAGTATACTCCGAGTTCGCCTCAGTATACTCCAAGCTCTCCTCAATATTCGCCACCTTCACCTTAATAACTTGTTGTGTGGTAATATGGTGTACAGTCTCTGTATTAATATATTTAACTTTCTATAATTATTGTTGTTGTTATCGTGCATATTTGACTTTGACTACTTGGACTTGATTTTTTTCTACTTTACTTGACGTCTTGTCATAATTAATTTAATCTATTATCATTATTATTAATTTATTTTGATTCACGTTTGTGATTTGATTTTTTCAATATTAGATATAATTATCAATCATAAATTCAACTGAAAATGCCAAATTTTACAATAATTATTATTGGAGTCTTAATGAGACCAATGGTCCAATGCAATATAGTTGTGCGCATGCTCGGTTGCCCATAATGCCCAATCCAGTGAATCCACATGTACATTTTTATTTTAAAACAATGACAAAGATGGCGCCCAGTATGTTCGTTATTTTAGGTGTTCTATTTTCTGCGACAAGTGTTCTCAGCGGTGGAAAGAAGACTCTTGTCCTCTTGGAAAACCTTGCCACAAAAGACACTCATTCAGTCTTCTTCTCCGATCTCACTGAGCGTGGATTTCAACTCACCTTCAAAATGGCCGACGACCCTAACTTGGCTTTGGTGAAGTATGGCGAATACCTTTACGAGAACCTTATAATATTCGCTCCGTCTGTGGAGGAATTCGGCGGAACCATCGACGTGGCCTCTCTTTCTAGTTTTGTCGATCAAGGTGGCAACATTTTGGTAGCTGCAAGCTCTCAAGTGGGTGACATATTGCGTGAGTTTGCTATGGAAGTGGGCATAGAACCTGACGAGAGGGACACTTCTGTCATCGATCACATGAACTATGACACAAAGGATCGCGGGGAGCACACACGCCTTGTGGTTGACCAATCAAACATCATTAGTTCATCTCTCATTGTTGGCGATGACACCAATTCCCCAGTCCTGTACAATGGCTTGGGGCTATTGGCTGATCCAGATAATCCACTGGTCCTTGAGATAATGACCGGTTACACCACTTCATACTCATACAATCCATCTCAGGCTATCACAGAGTATCCTCATGCTGTTGGCAAGAGCACTCTCCTCATAGCAGGTCTTCAAGCTCGTAACAATGCTAGAGTCGTTTTCTGTGGCTCTATCGATTTCTTTAGCAATGCTTTCTTTGCTTCATCCGTACAGAAAGCTCAAAAAGGTTCCAAGGGATATCCACTGAGTGGGAATCGGGCCATGGCAAGAGCTCTTGGTCAGTGGGTGTTCAAAGAGAAGGGAATACTTCGTGTCAGTGGCGTACGCCATCATAAAGAAGGACAGGAGGAAGCCCCTGCTTCTTACACAGTAAAGGACATGGTCTATTATTATATTAACATAGAAGAGCTGGTAGGTGGTGAATGGGTCCCTTATACTGGCACAGATGTACAGATGGAGTTTGTACGCATTGACCCATTTGTGCGTACATACCTCAACAAGACAAGAGATGGGAAATTATATTACATTTTATTCCAATTACCTGATGTGTATGGTGTCTTCCAGTTTAAGGTTGATTACAATAGGCTTGGCTATACTCATCTCTTCAGTTCTACTCAAGTCTCTGTTAGGCCCTTCGAACATACTCAATACCAAAGATTCATAACGTCTGCTTATCCCTACTACCTCAGTGCTTTTTCAATGATGATTGGTGTGGCTCTCTTCTCTTGTGTCTTCCTTCATTACCGTGATCCTGATACTGACAAGAAGAAGAAAAGGGACTGATTGATGACAGTACTAGTTAGCATTAGTAGCATTGATTTGTTTACAAAGTTTTTTTTGATAAATGAAAGTTTCAAGTTGATAATGACAATAATAATAGTGATAATACATAGTGTCATCAAAATCAGTTATTATCTGATAATGACTTTAGTATTGAGTTGAAGAGGGTGATGTCTGTATCACCAGTTGATCTCTTGGAGCAATAGTCCATTACTAGACTACACAATGAACCAACTGTACCTACTGACTTTGACACAGCACTAGCAACTTCTTGAAACTATAAAAGAATAATGAAAATAATGGTATGCACTCAATTTAATAAAAAATAATTATTGCTAACCTGCTCCATCCTAGCATCCTTGAATGTGCAGTACTTCATTTCTGGTCTGCCAACAGTAGAAACTGCCATCCACTGGAGCATAGCCTTCAACTGCGGGTCTCCTTTAAACGCCCCACACCCCCAATTGCCGGTAGCCACAGGACGGAGAGTGCTCTTCTGTAAGCTGTACCAGCGTGGCGAATAAGGAACCAGGAGTCTCTCCTCACAGTCAGAGACCGGCTCTGCTTCCTCCAGACTGTGGAGGAACGAATTGATCTTAGCTTGACTGGGAGTGTCTTGGACTTGTTTCATGAGTTGAGTACTGATATCATTTGATTGTCTCAACGATGCCAACGCACTCCGTATGACGATATCAGCAATCAGTGAGCTATAGTCCTCAATGTTGTTGCCAACCATGCGTAATGCGATTGCGTCCAGTTCAGTTGGTGAAGGTGGCATTGATCCATCATCACGAGTAGAGGTAGTCGACCAGGCTATGCTCATACGAGAGGTTGAGGGCTGGAGGGAGAGAGGATCAAGAAAGGTCGGCCCATCGGTTGAGGCTGATTTATTAAAAAGGTGACGAGTGCCGCTGCCTTTTGACTTGTGCCCTTTCCTCTTTTTCTTGCCTCCTTTAATACCAGTTTTACTGATAACAGTCTTCTTTGGAGAGGGGCCCAGATCAATAGAAAGCTTTATATCTGACGAATCCCTGGGAGGAGCAGTGGGCGGAGCTACTTCAGTAGGAGGAGTAGCAGTAGGTTGGACTGGTTCAGTTACTTTAATGGGCGGGGTTACTTGAGTGGGTGGGGTTGGTTCCGGGTCATTGGGTTGAGCATTTGCTCTTTCAACTCCTTCTCTGATTCCAAACTTTATAACATCATCAATAATGTCATCAACAACTTCCAACGGTAGCATAGGCTCACCAGTGTAACTGGACGACCAGCTTCGTGGTGAATCAGGCTCACCCTAAAATAAAGCAATAGTAATTGAATCATTTATAACGTACAAAATAGCTATAATGCTGTCTAACTTACTTCCGAGGAAGGACGACCTTGTGTCTGTACAGTACTTGATGTCAGGAGGGATTTAGCATCTTCTATAACATTAATCACCAATGAATTAGCATAAGACTGGGCAGCTTCATTAGCTGTAGTGAGAGAAATGAAATAGCAAGAAAGGGAACAAGTCATGTAGAAAGGTTTCCCAGCCATTCCTGGCCCTCATTTCCTTCCATAACAACCACAAATTGTACCATTATTAAATTATGTCACTCACGGAATGATATTACAATGATATTAGCTTACCAGGTGTACCAGCCACCTCACTAGGCTGAGATGCCTCTCCTTCATTTTCTTCAGCATCAAATAAATCATCGGCAGTTGCTTGTGAAGAGCAGTCCTCGGGATCAAACTCATACTCCTCCTCTCTCTGGTCGTACTCTCCTTGATTCAAGGCTATCAAGTCCAACAGCAGGTCCCCCCTCTCGTCCTTGCAAACAAAACCAACAAACGCTTTGTTCAATTCTCTCAGGATCATTTCTGCATTGTACTGCTCTTCCTGCTTGAACTTTCCTTGATAGTTGATGGCGTTGATGGCCACAAGGCTTGTATTCAGATTCCCAAATATATCTCTCTAAAGGAACATGGCATCAAATCATTACTATTAGAACAACAAACAAACAAACACGTTTAGTACATGTACATCTGTTCGTTAAGTAATAACAAAAACAGTGGTTTACATTATCAAAACAAAGTGACTACATAGACACACACAAAATAAATCAAGTTAAACAAAATAGACATATCTTTTTACCAATAATTGTCCACACACACACACACACACACACACACACACACACACACACATATACACAAAAACACACACACTTAGCATTAGCACATGATACACAGAATACATACAATGTAGCACAAACTTATTAACTTACTTCTGATGGGTCCTGATAGTCTCCATCGTACATCAATGTCGACCCGTATCCTTCATACTTTGAGAACCTCTCTGCTCCTTGTATCATGATAGCTTCATTATCCGCCATTGCGTCCATTATCAACATTGATACAAGCAACTCAGGGCATATGCAGAAACGAATCTCTTCCTGGACACGCCCACCGCCAAGAGTTCCTCCCCCAATATGAGCTGCAGCAAAATCCACCTGTAGAGTGCACTGTATTGATGTACTGGGACTAATGAGTGGTTACCTGTAGGTTCCTGCTACCAGTATCCTCAATGGCTATATTGTTTTCAATGGATATATGGCAGAGAGGATACTGTGAGTCCTTCCATTCGTTCAACGATGGCATTTGTTCAGGAGACACAACCTAATAATAATAATAATAATAATAACATATGATAAGGTTGACAATAATCACACTTGTCATTAACAAGCTATGGGAGATTATTTTACACTTGACTTATACAGTTCATTGATAATTGTCTTCAATGCGTAATAATAGCTGATAAATATCTCACACAATTTTTTAGCCAATTTATACTGATTCCTTTTGTAAAGTCTATAGGCTGGCAAACATAATGACTATTATTGAAACTAAAGCTTGACATAGTCATATTTGTTGCTAATGCACATGTAGTTAGTAAAACAATATAAGTTTAAAAGCAAAACTTGCAGGTGAAATTAATAACTGATGCTTACTTGTCTCGTGTATGTTACAATTCCAGGGTTGCCTTCTTCTTCAAGAAGAGATGAGCGATAAAAATAGTTTAAAATGCATCTTAGCTTGGCTGCCTGTGACATTTTTCGAGTATAGCTACACAAATAAATGGAAAACAAAAATGATCAGTTTTTAGATTTTTTGTCTCTAAAATATTATACATGTACTCTGTACACAAAGATTTTCCAATTTTGGCATGGTGCTCAGCTTCTTGTCATTTAGATTTTTAAGTGACTAAAATTAATTTTGTCAAAAATGGCTATGAGAAAATTTTCCTTTTTATAGTTTTTTCTGATACATATACATGTTCTTATGTTGCGTAGCAAGTTTGAACTGATTCCAATCAAAATTTATGAATTTTTAATTTCTTCAAAAATCAGGCCAAAGTCTCTGTATAGTCTCGCATAGCCAGACCACACTATCCATGCCTACGGGTGGGTCTGGCAAATTGACCACACTCCGCCCGTTCTGGTTCACCCAAAAATGGGTGAAGTGGATGCATGAAGTGAATGCTTGCTTCTTTCTGGCAGGGAGCTCAAGAGCAGGACCTAAAAGGCAAAAGGCTTCTTTTACTTGATAGAGATGGTGATCTTTCGGAAGAGAGCTTTGGTAGCCCTTTAATTGGCATAGATCAAGCGGGCCGTGAGAGGGAGAAGATGTATAATTTGTCACAGTTGTTCCACTAGCTTTTTGTCACTTAAGAAGAAGGCAGTAGAAGAGAAGAGTCAAGAGTTACTGTATCAATTCACCCGTTTCTGGGTGAAGTAGAGCAAAAAAATTGGTTCACCCATTTTTGGGTGAACCAGAACGGGTGGAGTGTGGTCAATTTGCCAGACCCACCATAGGCACGGAGGGTGTGGTCTGGCTACGCGAGACTAGTCTCTGTACAGGGTCTTTGGTCAAATTTTGTCAAAAATCACTAGGAGAGAATTCTCGATTTTTATAATTTTTCCTGACACATATACATGTTCTTATGTTGTGTAGCAAGTTTGAGCTGATTCTGATCAAGATTAGATTTTTAAATAAATTTAAAGTTGCATCATATGCTTGTCAGCTCATGAAGCATGCTTTTAGCACACTTAGCATGCTTTGTGAAAAACCCAGCCAGTATACACATGTACAGGTATACATGTACATTATTATGATCCACAACTGTATACTTACTCTCCTGTCACAAATAGGGCAAAAAATTTGTCAAAATTGAATGTCTTGCGATTCTTTATTCCCAGTGGATGCTCGCGTGGTACTGTACACAAAAAGGCATTTGCAATCAATGAGAGAACCAGCTTCCTACCAAGTTGTACGGCAGCACCTGGAGGATTTTAAAAAAAGAATAGTATACGAATTTAATTATTAAAATTCCAATACGTTATTGGCATATTTGACTGCTTCTTTGTTATGCGTATACAAAAGTAGTATACGTGTAAATACATGCATATGCATTGCACATTTTAGCTGAATATGAGATGTTAATGAGGAAGCCAATTCATAAAAAGAATCCAATTATGAAAAAACAAGGAGCTTAACAAGCAATCTTACTTTCTTGTTGCTGAATAAATGGTACACCTTCATCTGGGACAAGGACATCGAGACAGGAAGCACTGCGACATATAAAGGGTAATGTCGTCTTAAAGAAAACATCTGTCTCCTCTTCAAAAGCCATCTCAGTCAAAAAGACGACTAAGCCACGAAGACATTTCAGCCTCTGGCTTGTAGATACCACCACTTGATCAGCTTCATCCTTTTTTTGTTGTTCCTCGCTATGAGACTCGACCAGGTCCTTTAGCTCTTGGGGTGAGGTTAGCTTGGAGAGGATGGAAAAATATTTCTTGTCTTCTGGCCATTGGGGGCTCTCGCAGGGAAGAAACACTTGTGCCATTATTATTTTGGCAGCAGCGAATGGGTGTTCCAAGTGGTGAATGGAGCCACGCCCTTGAACCATTATTAGTAGTTAGTTTATTAGCCACAATGATAAGCTTAATGAGCTCTGAAAAGGAGTGAACAACCTAAAAAGCTAGAAAGAAAAAGGAACCTTCTTCTCCGTCTTTTTGGAAGGGAAAAGAGAGACAGGGGAAGCACCTTTTTGCCCCTGGGGACCTTTTCTTTCCTCGCCATCTGTCTCGTTAGTTTTCCCCTCTCTTTCTCGTCATGTCGGAGAACAACTGGCCATGGTATCACAGGAACTTGAGTCGTATGGAAACAGAGCGCCTCCTCGTTGAGAGCAGAACTAAAGATGGCTCCTTCCTTATAAGACCATCAGAGTCCATGAAAGGAGCTTATGTCTTATCTCTTATGTAAGATAGATGTACACACATAATCTACATACATGGGTATGGGCATCATCCACACACAGGGACTAACACAATTAAGGTTTTACATTACCTTCATTCTGTACAGTTATTACATTACATAACGTACTAATTGTGAGAATTTATGCCACCTTTGTTTACTTTTTCAAAGTTTCTCTTTCTCTTAAGCTCTCATTTCAGTTCTGATTCTAGTATAAACTATGAACAATTATGTCCTTGTTTCTCTCTCTCCTTTCTCCCTTCTAACCTCTTTCAAGTCTTTTCTACTTCACTTTTCTCTCTCTTTCTCTCTCTTCCTTTCTTTTATGTGTATCCATTACAACTTATTCTCTGGCACTAATTAGTTCCCATGAAGCCACAATAATGCTTTCTTTGACCTTTTAAAAATGAAAATGATTAAGTAGCTATAGAGTCATTATAATGAGTGTCATTGTGTTTGTCATTGTATTCTCATGTGGACTGAGCTTTCTATAATTTGCTAATGGCACACAATAAAGAGTACACATAAAGGTTGACACAAACCTCTTAATCCACTCTACCAGTTTGGGTACTGATCGCATTCAGTCCCTTGGGTCTGAGGCTGTTATGTAGAGTGTAATATGTCACTATAGCCTATGTTAATGGAGATATTTTGTAAACGGAGACTGAGTATACAAAAGAGAAGCAAATATTGTTTAAGTTCCTATCAAGTTTTGTTTGTATAAATCTACCATTATGCCCTTATTTGGTATGACATTTGGCTACAAGCCCATGCATATATAATATGAAATATATGAAATGTTTTTAATGTTTTTATTTGCTTTATAGACATCAACAACGGATTCATCATTACAGGATACTGCCCAATGATGACTCCAGTTTATCTGTTCAGGTATTAAATTTATCTATTATAACATTATTGTGTAGGTCTGGTGGTGGGGGCTGTTGGTTAGGGGAGTTTGAATTTCAGACTTACTCCTCTTTTCTCTTATTTCATAACTCCTTAGGCTCAAGAGGGAGTCCAGCAGAAGAGATTCATCTCGCTAGACGAATTAGTAACATTTTACAGTTTACCTAAGAGGGGGATAGTTTGTGCCTTGACAACACCCATCGAACCTCCTCATGCTGTTGAAGATGATGACGACGATGATGATGATGGTATTTTTGTTTATTCTTATCTTATTTGTCTTATATCTTTTGTCTGTCCTTTGTCTTTTGAGACATTTCCTCTCTCTCTCTCTCACCTCTCTCTCTCTCTCTCACTCTCTCTCTCTCTCTCTCTCCTCATTTATCATTCTTTATAATCATGTGCATCATTGGTGTTTCATTTCCTTTCTTCCCTCTTCCTTGATCCCACTTGTATGATTGCTTATACTCTTCTTGTATTGTGTCTCTCTTATAGATCCAGAATACGATGAGCCTGAGGAAGATCCACCGGAGACTAAAGGAAGCTCAGCAGTTACTAAATATCTCCTTGCAGCTTTAGCTAAAGTTGACCTCTCTCAGTAAGTGGATGAGTAGTAGCAATACTCTGTATTTATAATCATTTTAATCATTTCCTCTGTCTTTATACATATACTGTTAATCATTGTATATTATTATTTCTTTTCTCTTGTATAGAGTTGATTATGAATTTGCTGATCGTTTAAAGCAGTACCTAAATGGTCCCGTCTCTAATGATATAGAGCACATGAACTCAGCTACTCCTGACCTTACTCACTTGAAACAATTGTTTTGTAAAGAAGTTGAAAAAACACACAAGTTAGCACAATGACCTTTCTTATTATTAATATTTACAGTGAAATATTGGCTTTAAGTAAACATGTAGATCATACTACATTGTGTAATTTAAGTAAATATACATGTAATGTAATGCCCTAATTATTAGGCAACTTGACAAGCTCTTGAGTCAGGTTGATTGCCTCCAGAGTCTACTGGATAGAGTTGGAGGAGCAAAGCAAACTAGTCAAACTCGTCGATCATCTCCACAAGACGTCACCTTTGACACGCTCAGTTATAAACTGGGAGATTGCTCTAGTGCTGTACAGAAACTGGAGACCACTGTGAGATAGAGATATATTCATGCAGCTATATATTGTGTAGTGCATGCACAGTACATAATATTGCCTTTTGAGATTTTAAAACAATTTTGATAGTTATAGTCACAGGTAAAGGTGTTTGATATCCACACTTATCAACAGTTGTGATATGGGCAGCAATGCTCAGCTATAATTATTGCTACTGTCTCTTTGCTTTGTAGGCATTTTCAGCTTATAAGGATTTTGGTATGAGATTAACCGGCGGGGCTGACTGCGGGAAGAGTTCTCTCAATCAGTCATCATCTTTTCATGACATGTCAGCAATGCGTGAGGTTTTCTTTGACGTAAGTCAGTCTCTTTTCAACATTTATTATTTAAATCTTGTTCTTTCATTTATTACATCCTTCTCCTCCTCCTTCTCCCCCTCTCTTTCTCGTTAGGTTAAAGTGGAAACACAGCTAGGAGGGAAAAAGAACGTTTGCTTATGTGTGAGGCTAATAGAGGGTCACTTAGTTGTTTCTAAACAAGGAGAACCAACCTCCGCTGGCACTGTGTATCAACATTATCAAGGTATTACTCTACATGATTTGAATTACATACTGTTTCATTAATGTACTGTGACTAAATGACCTGTTTGACTAAATGTTATGTTTTGTGGGCATTGGTTTTGGAAATCACAATGTATTAAGTTTGCCTCATGTGTATTGTGTGTATTGGGATCATGGGGGTTTTGTGGAGCTGAATCAACTGTAAGAAAATTATTATTGATATTCATGCGAAATTTTTTGCAAGGTTTATGACAGGGCTTCAAAGTCCCTGTACTATATATAGTACAGGGTCGTTGGCCAAATTTTGCCAAAAATGACTAGGAGAGAGTTCTTCATTTTTATATTTTTTTCCTGATACATACACATGTTCTTATGTTGTGTAGCAATTTTGAGTTGATTCCGATCAACATTAGATTTTTATGAATTTTTAAAGTTACTCAAAAATTGGGCCAAAGTCCCTGTACTATAGTACAGGGTCGTTGGCCAAATTTTGCCAAAAACGACTAGGAGAGAATTCTTCATTTTATTTTATTTTTTCTGATGCATACACATGTTTTTATGTTGTGTAGCAAGTTTAACCTGATTCTGATCAAGATTAGATTTTTTACAAATTTTTTAAGTTACTCAAAATGCTGTAATTATACTTACATGTACATGCATTATACTATAGTTGCAGTGGTTGTGATGATACAGCATGCTGTTTAGCTAGCTAACTTAGCACTTGTCAAATGCCCATTGCTTAAAATTTTTATTAGAATTTGCTTGCATATACTTATTTCCTTCCATCTAGTTACCCAGCTGATCAAATCCCGCTCGAAAGCTAATAAACTTGGTGTACTTTTTGACGGAGGAACAAGGAAGGACTACACATTCCCCGACATGCAGGTAATATCAAAACCGGTTTCTAAAACTGGTTTTATGATTTTTACGCACAGACTCGCGAACACTTTTGTCAGCTAATACAGACTATCCGTAACAAGCACACGTCGTACGTGGACCCCGACTCAATTACAGTGTTTGTTGGTTGCTGGAATATGGGTAAGTGCCATTGCATTGACCTGTCGTGTACATGTACATGTACATGTACATATACATGTACATATACATGTACGTGTACATGCAGTACGTGCTGTACGATATAGTGCTATTAGTGTTATGAAAATGTGTTATTCTCTTTCCTAGGTGATAGTGCTCCACCCAGTGACATTACCTCCTGGTTTAAAACAGAGGGATGGGGACGGACTGGAGAGAAAGTGATTGCTCACGACCTTTATGCAATTGGGACTCAAGTATGTTATTAATTATTAATTTGATGACCTTATAATAATGTTATTATGCTGTAGGAGACATCAATAGGAGATAAGGAATGGGTCGCAAAGCTCAAGCTAGTATTAAAGCAATTAGTTGAGACAGAGTATGAGAAAGTCGCTGTTCAGACATTGTGGGGGATAAGACTGGTCATACTAGTCAAACAAGAGCACTCTAAGAAACTGAGCCACGTGGAGCACTCACAGGTTACTGTGGCAATGTGTCACCATGGCTACCTTTGTTTGTTACATGTAGGTACGTACTGGTATTGGTAACACTCTTGGTAACAAAGGAGGAGTGGGCATATCGTTTTTCTTTAATAATGTGTCCATGGGTTTTATTAATGCCCACTTGACCTCTGGAACAGAGAAATGTCACAGGTAATCCACTTTTTTGTCTTACTTCTTCCTTCTACTTTTTCTACCTTTTCACAGGCGTAATCAGAACTATCATGATATATTGAAGGGAATGGTCCAACTGAAGCACAGAAACATGAGTCAGTTTGACCTCACGCATCAGTTCCATCACCTTTTCTTTTTTGGTGACCTCAACTATCGAGTGGAGCTTGACTCAGAGGTACAGCTATCTCATACAATAGTATTTGTATTATTATTATTGTTGTTGTTGTTTTTATTGTTGTTGTTGTTTTATTGTTGTTGTTGTTTTATTGTTGTTGTTGTTGTTGGTATAGAAAATTATTGAGTATGCAAGGAAGAGTGACATACACAGGATATACTGCTCTGATCAGCTAAGAGGAGAAATTGAAAAGAAGAAAGTCTTTGTTGGATTTGGTAAGTTCAAGTAAAAAGAATATTTATTTTTAAAAAATTATTATTAATTCCTCTTTATTGTAGAGGAAGCTCCTATAATGTTCCCGCCCACGTATCGTTTCAAGAAAGGAGAGAGACACATGGGAAGTTATGTGTATATAAAGAAGAAGAGATCGGGTGACAGGATAAATGAGCCTTCGTTCTGTGATCGGGTATTATGGAAGTCTTACCCTGGATCAAAGATAATTAACACAACATATGGTTCGTGTTTCATCTTATTCTTTTTTTTAATAATTGCAGTATACATGTACAGTATATGTGTATAAAATCTACACTTATATTGTATAATTTTTAGGTTGTACTCATAATATCACTACCAGTGATCATTCCCCTGTATTTTCAACTTTCCAAATTGGTGGCTTCAAGCAGTATGCCTCTGATAAAAGTAAAATAATGATAGGGACCTTGTACAACTTTTAGTATATTTTCTTTTCTGTAGCTAGCACAAGTCGCTCCACCAACACATTCATTATATTGCAGAGTTGCAATGCTAGAGTAAGTTTTATGTTTAATGTAAATTTTGTCATTATTTTTATCATTTTTTATATATTGTAGATTTTTACTAGCAGTAGGACCAATTTTTATATTGAGTTGCAATCTGCATGCTTTCAAGGTAATGAAACATGAGGGATTTACTGTAGAAGTCTATGTATAAGACCCTGTACTATATAGTACACGGTATAAAAAGATATTTTTATAATTCATACAAGTGTTGATCAACTTGATTTGTTTTGTAGAAAGTTTAAGCTGATTTATAGGATTTTTTACGATAGTAATAGTAGTACAATCTATTTAAAAATCTGGGAGTACCACATGTATTGCATTTTGAGTTGATTGGCCCCATTTTTATTAATGTGTGTAGGTGTAGTTAAAACTGAGCATAGCAAGGACTACACTGAAGCACAAGATGGCACACTGTCAACTTGCTGGGAAGGAAATGCTAGCGGCCCATTGATCCAAGTAATTACTATAATTAATTAATTTATTTTAACTGAAATATCTCAGATACCTCCACTCATTACTGATCAGGAATATTTGGAGCAGCAGTATTTGCAAGTTATGATCAAATCGAGCGATAGTGATGAGCCTTATGGTATGTGTACAATTATACATTATGCACTCTGTTTATAAATGCTATTTTCTCCCCTCTCTTTCTCTCTCCCCTCCTCTCTCTCTTTCTCCCTTCTCCCCCCCCTCTCTCTCTCTCTCTCTCTCTCTCTCTCCCCTCTCTCTCTCTCTCCCCTCTTTCTCTCTCTCTCTCTCTCTCTCAGCTGAGTGCTGTATAGGATTAGGTAGTGTTATTAATCCCAAGCCACAGAAGGTTGCAAGAGAGCTGATCCATCAAGGGCTCTCCGCTGGGGATTTTGAGTATGTGCTATTATTGTTAGCATTTTATTATTGTTTTATATTATATTATATTTTAGGTGTGACATACATGTTACTATGGATCAATATAACAAGACAAGATGTGATCAAGACAAAGACATATATGGTATGTACATACATACATGTACATGTACGTTGTACATATGTACAGGGTTTCTCAGTTCCTACAAAGCATGCTAAGTGAGATAAAGAGCATGCTTCATGAGCAAAGAATTTAACCTTATAATATAGTATACAGCTTTTGGAGCAACATTAAAAATTTATTGCAAATCCAATTTTTGATTTTTTGGCAAAAACGGGCCAAAGTCCCCGTACTATAGTACAAGGACTTTGGCCCAATTTTTGAGCAACTTTAAAATATTTTTTAAAATCCAAACTTGATTGAAATCAGTTCAAACTTTCTACATGACATACATGTAAGTACATGCATGTATACATACCATAAAAAATTATAAAAATGGAGAATTCTCTCCTAGTCATTTTTGGCAAAATATTTTGGAGCAACTTAAAAAATTGCCCACAAGAAGCTGAGAGCTACAGTAGGAAACCTTGTTTGGATATTGTCGTGTGATAATGTTGTGATCCTTTTATCCTATAGGTAACCTTGATTTCATTAGGCAAGAGCTTGGTAAGACTATACACAACTTGCATTACTTGCATATAAGACATCTAACAGTTAAGCCATAGAATTTAATATTTGCTCATTAATAGATATGGACATTAGACGAGGACCTGGTATGCCTACGTCACCACGTCCACCCAGTTTAGGTGAAGACCATCGTCCTCCTATGCCAATACCAAGAGCCGGTAGCCTTTCCTCTACTAACGCAATTTCAACCGGTGCTTCAACTTTCTTCAGTAACTCTGTTCCTAATCCCGACGGATTTGATAGCTTTAATCGTCCACCAATGCCCCTCCCAAGTAATCATCGCTCGGATGCACAGCCTCACGTCTCCCGGAGGACAGGAGGGCCCACTCTTCCTACTCCTTTCTCTTCTCAACCCTCCAGACCTGCCCCTTTGTCTACTAGTATGAGGCTACCACCTCCTCCTTCTTATTCTTCCCTGGATCACGATAGCCCTCCTGTTCCTTCAAGAAGAAACATTCATACGCTAGCCACTAGGTAACGTATTTATGCTTTTACTTCAAAATTGTCAATGAAAAATTTTCCACATACTTACTGGTACATGTGCATTTACATGCATGCAATACTTAGATGATAATATTTTATAATGATCTAATTCTCTTTTCTCTAGTCGTCCCTCTGTTCCTTCTCGTGCTGTGACTCAGACTGCATCTGTAAGTAGCTAGAATTGTCTATACATTTTTAATGTCATTTTTTCTTTCCTTCAGTTTGATGGCTCCCACCAACAGCATCTGGGTGGTCCAAGGCCACCTCCTCCAGTTAGCGTGAAACCTAAACCCCAGCCACCAGTTCCTATGAAGAGAACAAAACTACCGGGAGACTCTCCGCCTTTACAGAGAGCTTCGGGCTCAATAGAAGACATTTTAGCAACTGCTCATCTCCAGCGATACGCACCAAAACTCATGGAGAATGGATTCGACAGTGTAAAGTATCTTCGTGATATTACGGAGTATGACCTGAGAGAGATAAATATACAAAATGATGGAGATATTAAAAGGGTATGTACATGTACATATTATATGTATGTACAGTACAAGTGTAGTAATGATTTTAATGTTATGTACTTATGCTTCATTCAAGTTCATTGATGTGTTTTCTTTTTGTCTTTGCAGCTTTTGAGCTTATTCCAGTCAATATAGTACTATACTTGCGAAACAATGACTGCTGTAGAGTGACGCACACACTTACTATTATTATTATTATCATTATTGTTATCATGAAATTTATGATAGAATCATTATTATTATTATTGTTATTATCAAAATCACATTTTCACTATTATTTAATCAGCTTTGACATTGTTATTTTTGATATAGAGCTTTGTGAGTTTTTTAATTCTTATATTATTTTTGACTTTTGATAAAACAATATTGTTGTCATTTTAGCTAGTCTGCATTAGCTTCATTATCCACCATACCGTACTTGAACATCGTAAATCTATTTTAAAAATTTGGTAAAATACAACTCTTGGATTAAACTTAACTGACACCTTGAAGGTTAATTTTCAAGGATAATTTTCGCTTCAAAGTGAGCATTCAAACTAAAGCTTTTAAATTGGCATTAATTTGCACTTTACAAATTTATTAGTTAAGTGTGAGAAACTGAGAATTAAGTTGATTTGTACTTGAGTTAAAGTGTAAATGAGGTGTCAGGACAGGTAGGAGGAGATCAAAGTGATATAAAATTGAATCTAGTCTAAGTCATATTTTGAAAGATCTAGAAATAATCTTCAAATTTTATTCCGAAAAATTTCTTAAAACATTCTAAATTAAATTTTAAAATATTTTATATCGGACCTGTAGTTTTCTTATTGTTTTATATTGGTCGCCATTTATAATAAAAAACATAAAATTTATAATAATCAAAGCCAGCGGCCTTGCACGCTCAACTACAATTGCTAAGTTACAATTGCTAGGTTACTGTTGCAAAGTTACTGTTTCTACCCTGCCCACAAAATAATAATTTTATTTTAAAAAATAATTTAAAAAATTAAAAATTAATTATTTATAATTAATAAAAAATAAAATAAAATAAATTAAATTTTAAAAAATAAGATTTTAGTAATAAATTATTCAATAATAAATTAAATAAGAACTAATTAAATAATATAATTAAAATTAATTAGAATTAATACATAAATTTAAGAATTAATTATGTTAATTGTGACCATAATTGACAAAAGGTACCTTATAGCAGGTAGTGAAATTTGACTTTATAGCCAAAAAAATCCAACTTCCTGAGCTTCATTTATCATAAAATTACTCCACAGGATGCAAAAAGTTACTATGTAACATTTAGAAACAATGCTTGTCTAACAGAGGACTCACAGGATGATATTTTTCATTTTGATGATGAATTTTAAAATCCACCATAACATACCTTTTGTCAATTATGGTCACAATTATTGTTAATTAACATAAATATCTTTAAAATTCATTTTAGTTATTTTTATTTTTTATAAAATAATTTTATAATAAATTATTTATTATGAAAAAAATATATCTATAATAGCCTAGTTATTTTAATTTTTTATTTAATATATTTTTAACCCCCATCCTAAGGAACATAACAAAGTGTTAATGTGGTATAAAAATGGCTTCCAATGAGCTAGGTAATGAAGCAAAGGAGATACTAAGAGATCATTATGGGGATTTAGCTAAAAACATACAAAATCCAGTTCAATTGGCCGAAGAGCTATATCAATATAGGATAATAAGTGAGGCGGCTTTAGGAGAGATAAAGACAGAAGGATGGACCACTCCTAACAGAAATACTGCCCTACTAAGAAATGTACGCCTTGCCATCGGGCAGGATCACACTCGATTGAGAGTGGTAGCACGAGCATTGGCGAAGGATATAGGAGTTAGTTCCATTGGAGACGAGATTCTACAGAGTTGTAGTAAGACTTACTGTAGTCTATTATATTTTATATTTACTATGCCTTTTATATTTTATACATGCTTTTATTTATCCTTTGCTTTGGCTTTGAAGAAATGAAGTTTGGTCAGGAGGAGGAGAACAATGGTAGGCATGCATGGAAATGATTTTGAATAAAATGCTATTGTCTAAAATTGTCTTTTACCAAGATCTTTTAATAGTAGAAGAGCCTGTTCCAGTTCGTTCTATTGATAGGCACACGATACTCAGTAAGTCTATTCAAAATACTTACAATTTCAACACTTTTTTCACATAGTAAGGTGTAAATTAGCCTTATAGGAATTTGAAGTTGATTGTTTCTCCATTACTGTTCCCTTTTGGCTGTGTCTCTATGTTTCTTATAGGGTCTGATGATCTTGCCACACTGGAGAGGCTCCTGAAGGATGTCAATGATTGGGAAGGGCTGGGATTATTTCTTGGGATTAAGAAGACATCAATCAATCGTATAGGAAGAGACAAAAAAGGTGTAAGGGATTGCCGTCGTGAGATGCTGTTCTGTTGGTTGAGTGGCAGTAGGGATGACATGAGTTCCAATGTTGAGCGTACTTTTAATGCTTTAATTAAAGCTTTGAAAGATATAGAAAATCAAGAAGCTATTGATGGAATTGAATCTTTTTTATCAAAGTGATTCATCAATGTTTTGATTATTTTTGTATTTTTTTTCTATTGTAAATTTAATTTTTTTAAATTTTGATGTTACACCAATGAGACCATCAACATCATTTTACAATTAATTTTGGCTTGCATGTATTCTTAAGAAAGCCGTATTAAACTTAACAATAATCTAGTTAGATTGGTAAAACATGTGACGTTAAAAATTAAAATACATGTAATCATCATGTAGCTACAATATATGTAATTATTATAATGTCTATGATGCTAAAATCAAGAGGATACTCCTGCTATTGGGAACTATACTATTATAATGCTGTTCAATAATAATCATAGTTATGTTGTCTTTGCTAAGTGGTATGGATTTTTTTTCATGGGATGAGATCATCAATAGACTCACCAGCCTCCAAACGTTTCTCCATCTAAAAATGACATTATTTTGTGACAAAACTGGTAACGCTAAATCTACTGCATGTACATGTACATGTACATGATGTACACTATTTTTGCAATCGAATAGTTTGCCAAGGGTAAGTCAAACATGCATACATGTATGTACATGTAAAATAGAGTAATTCAACAAAAAACAAATACATGTACATGTACATTACATTACCTTGATAAGGAGCTCAACACCATCTACAACCACCTGGACTTGATCAACTTCAGATGAGCCCAGACGATCCAAGTTTGATATATCAAATATACCATCGGTACTGGCAGTATCAACACCACCTACAGATAGAAATTTAAAAATAAATAATAATTCAATGAATGACTAGAATAGAAATCAAGATATAATAGGTTTTTAAAATTTTTCATACCTGTTCCTCTCTTTTGGAGACGCAGTTTAAGAAGGATGTCTTTAAAACGAGAGTCCCCAGAGAGTTTGGGCAGCTTGACATGAACTCCAGCCCTCAAACCAGTACCAAGATTAGAAGGACAAGTCAGAACGTACCCCAAATGTGAATTCCACATAAACTCGTGACCTATATATAATACCAGTAAAATTAATATTGAGGTTATTCAATGGTTTAGACTTACCATTCTCCTTCATTTTCTTCTCAAATGACTGAAGCCCGTTACAGAAACGAGTGAACACTTCTTTCATGTTTCCTCCCTTTTGCATTGAGATGACACGAGTGTGATCCTCCTCGTTTACCCAAACAAGAAAGTTCTTTACGTCGTTGTGCCAAATCCCTCGGGCATCAGGCCAGTCACGGGCCATGTTGGAGGAGAGGAGGAGAGGAGAGACCGGCTTGTCAAATAGGAAATGATCATCAATGAGCTGTTGCTGCTCAGCCTCTGTCATTTTATTCAATGGATAGTATTTACCTAAAATACACATGTAGTATTATAGTACATATCAATTCTGTTGTTATTGTAATGGTTTGTTCACACTACCTCCCCAGCTGTACAGAAATGTACCTAAGTAGATCAGTTTGGTTGTAAATGAACCACTGGACAACTTAACTACACCAACTTAACTTCACAACTTAACAACACCATTTCGGAGCACCTAATTTGGTGCACCACTTTATCCTGGTTTGGTTTGATTACAGTGCAGTTCAGTTATGTTCCTACTTGTTATAAGCTACACTATACTTCCCCAAAACCCAGTTCCAATACAGTTCTAAATAGTCTCGTGTAGCCAGACTCCTCCACTTTTTGAGGTTGGGGTGGCTTAGCTCTGAAGGGTAGTGTGAACAGGGTATAAGATCTATGGGATCTGCAAGAGGGGCCATGACTTATTGACTTTAAAAATTTAGCTCGCATTTTTGTTCTTGTTCCAGGGGATCAGACTTGCACCACTCTCTTTTAAATTTTAGACAGAACAATTAAAGCCTCCTGGGAGCTTTTTTCAGTTAACACCTCCATAGGAGCTTCCTTTTCGTCCTTTATGGTCGCATATCTGCCATTTTCTGCCATGTGGGTAGCGGTGGCTATAGCGTATGCGCAGACTGCTGTTACTGATACCACCCAATGAATCTCATATCTTTATTATCAAGGAATTCAATCTCATGCATTTGATATTATAATATTCACACTATTTCTATAGTATCAGAATTACTACGCAGTTCCTATTATCTCTACTGACACTTTGATAGCTTACACAATAGTACATGAGTAGTGCAACTGTCAGAAGCACACCTATTGACATTGTAGTAGTTGTATAATCCGTATAATTCCTTACAGGATGGCAAGAAGAAGCAAGAGTTTGAGTCTATCTAGTAAAAATCATTAACTAGCTGTGGTTAGGTTAGGTTGATATGGCTTATGTTGTGCCAGCAGTCCCTTTGATCATACAGTAACTAGAATGAATAATCCAATTTAGTGGATTATAGATTTGTATAAAACCCAACATCCACTATGGCAACTTAGTTGAAAGCAACTTTGTAGTTACTTTGATGTGTGTCAACTTTTTTCCTGAAATAGAACAGTGTTCTATTTCAGGTAACAAAATTGCTATTGATTTCCTAGTGAATGTTTGGCTTAACAATTAATAAAATGAGTTATTAACGAGGTTGGGATAAAATTTGCTTTTGTAAAATAGTAACCAGCAACTAGGGCTAGAATTTTTTGCTTATTATGCTTTTAGGCACTGCTCCAAATTCCATCCTACTATGCTCTGAAATAAATCCAATTATGCTGCCCATAATCTTCACTCAAATATTGACTATCAAGATGCCAGAATCTGAAAATGTTTCGAGTGATTTTGAGTCACTGGAAAATAGAATAGCCTAAGTCACTGGACTCACCACGCTTGCATAGGTGGCTACTAAGCAGTTGGGTTGTTGTGCTAGTACTACAGTACCACTTACCACACTGAATTGAAATCATGTGGTCAGGGCCAGAAATTCTTGACCCAATTATGCCAGCATAATAACTTGTCCTATTTTGCTCCAAATTATGCTAGCATAACTTGCCTAGCCCTAATAGTAACCAAAACAGCAACTTATTAGCAGCCAACCTATTCCTCCTATGCTACTACATGCAGTAGCTGCACTTAGTACATGTACTCCTTTACCCTTGAACTCTCCCTCAAATGAATTGAGTACATCAGTCACAATGTTTTCGACACCTCTACGCTCAGCCCTAGAGCAATGAGGAGGGAGACCAAAGCCACGAATAGACCGGCCGGTCCTAACCCTTGAGGACAAGACATAGTTAGGATCAAGATTATCTCCTCCTTTGAGGTTCTCAGGATTAAGATCAGTCTTGTGCTTAGCATCCTATAATGACAAACAAAAATAAAATAAGAGTATTTCCGAAGAATACAAAAAGGAAACCCATTATTATAGCACCAATCAGAGAGTTGCATGCTATACATAATTTCAATTGATGTAACAAGAGCTCTTTACAATTGGTGGGTGGTCTAGCTGTGTAGATAGATTCTCTTACCTTAGAGTATCCGTTGTGTCGGGTATCAATGACCTTATCTAGGAGCTCAGCAAAGACTTCGTAAGATTCTTCATCTCCAGCAACACACCCAACGGTCATTATGAAGGGGTGGCCGGGATTGTCAACACCTGCAGCAAATGATCGAAAAGTAACAAAACAACCAGTTAAATTGATGGGGAAACATTGCAAACTGCCTGAAAATAGATTTATTAGTATACCATCGTTACCATACCTGTTTGAATGCACTCATCAAGTGTGAATCCAGAAGGTGTTTTCTTGTCTCGGAGATTGGCGTATATCTCTTTGGTGAGATGTTTGGCCATGTGGTTGTTGTGCTTGGAGAGATCAGGATAGTCCTGCTCAGGAGTAAACTTAGACGAGGAGGCCATGGCTGTCGTCTTTCTTCTTCTTCAAACTGGAAGAGTTCAAATCAAAAGAAGGGCCGAGAATGCAAATATCGGATAACAAATTGCGCGAGACAAGTGTTACCATAGCAACTCAATTAATATTCACGCAATGAATGAATAATAAGCACACTAGCATAACAATAATAATTAATAAAAATAATCTACATAATTTTAGCACCCTTATCAATACTTCACAGTTCGCAAATTCTGAGCCAACTTATGCAAAGAATTGTAGTTCGACTTTTCAAATTTATCCAGAAACAACTTCCTTTGGTCTTGAGGGAAATTCTGCAAAATAACAAACATTAATACAACAGTACCATAACAATATCCATCTTCTGAGTAGTGTAGTAGGCCCTTAATTTGATTTTAAATTCCTTTCGTGATCATATGAACATGAGACCCTCTTCAGTTTAAACTAATTATCAAACTCCCTCTTCTCCCAATTCACTCACTTCCTGATAGTAGAAGCTATAGGCAACAGTGCAAAGAGTATGCAACAGCCAATCCAGGTCAGTGGATGCCCACTGGAAAGCAACTGCATCAAAGAGTGCCCTTATGGTCGGACTAATCGAGGCTGCCATTAAAAGACAAGTAATAGACCACAAGGCATGAACTTCAGGTTCCCTAACATTACATAATGAATCATGAAATTACAGCATTATAAGTTCATTTGTTCATTTACTGTTGAATGAAGCTGTCAAGTGATAGCAAGACCCAATCAGATACAGTGGGAACTCTCTTATCAGGCAGAGCAGGATCCAGCTCTTTAGTCAATAGTAATTCAAAGGTCTACACAATGGATAAACAACATGAAGTATAGCTGATGCAGAAACACGTCTGACCTTTGACATTACAGTAGCAGCCAGCCATGGTCTTGACTGTTGCTGGCTTATAACTTCAGAGACAACCATGTTCATCCCGTCCATGCGTGGAAGGAAATCAACAATGAGGCCAGGCAATATGCTGACAAGAAACTCAACCTCAGTCTCATTCCCCTGCCTTAACCTAATGACACACAACATTAATTTTAGTGGATCATAATTATGTACACTGTATAGCTAACATACAATTGGCATACATGTATGCACATGTACCTCTCCAAAATGTTTGAAATGTGTTCTCTGGATTGATAGACGGAGTCACTCAATGCCATCATGTCATCTTGTGGTCTTGACAATCCACTCAACCTATCAGCCTCTTCCCCTATCATACATAATGGATAGGGAGTTGTTTACAGCATAGTATACAGCCAGACTGTAATTATACATCATCATCCCACACTTGACATGCATTCCTTAATACACACACACACACACACACACATACACACGCTAATGTACATGCATAATAGCAGGGCTGATACGTGAGATATGTATGTCTCAGAATACCTGTGTACATGCATGTTAGAAGTAGAGCCAGAGAGGAGAGTGATTTAAAGTGATCACTCTGCACAAACCTAATGTGAGAAAGGGACACATTAACAGAGCTTTAAGTTTCTTTGAGACAAACAAGACATGTTAATGAGGTCAAATAATTTCACATGTACATACAACTTGATATTTTACAATACTATAATCCACTTTACTACTTTGTACTATCATTACACATTACAGGAGTATAATGTACTCTTGCCAACAGTACATAAATAAACTAATTTGGCTAACAAGCAATGCTTTAGTACACAAAAAATACAGACAAGTCTGTGTACCTTGTAGCTGCCAAATTTCTTAGTAATGATTTCTCGGACGTTGTGAGAGAGAAAGAGAGCACGGCATACTCTAGACCAAGCGTAACAGCTTGATAGAAGTGACAAGAAACTTGAGAGTCTGAGAGAATAGGAACAACTAATTCCAAGAGATGATTAGTGAAAGAGGTGTCCTTTGTCAACTGCCCGTGAAGGACAATGTGAGTAGCTAGTGCCCACACTAATAGCAGATGGTGTTCGCTATAGCTATAAAAATAAACATTATTACCAGCAATCATCTATTTTAAAAGGAGGCATTTCCATTATGTTGCATGTACATTAAGTCTATGATGCCCACAATTGACGTGCAATATAAGATAAACTTATGATAGTATTGTACTATTGATTAACCATATATGAATAGAGGAAGCAAACAGAAGCTAATGAGGTGGAAAGAGTCACTAATCACTACTAATTGGTAACTACTATTAATCAGCAACTGTACTAGTAGTCTAGTACCTTTTATAAGAAGATAAGTGGGCCTCGATGTACTTGGAAACAACTGGGCCGACTAAACTAAATATTTTAGAATCATTGTCTTCGATGACATACAAAAGTCCTTCAAGAGCTGCATTCTACACAAATAGTAGTAATAACAGAAGATCATTAAATTGTATGGTATCAAATGTCTCATTAGAAGTACCTGTGTGATTATGAATGAATCCTGTCCCAGTGCTTGCTCAATAACCTTACCAACTCTCTCTGCTTCCGTCCCGTCCTACACAAAAACAAAAATAACGCAAAAAAATATTAAAAATACGTACAATTCTTAAGACAACTGCACTCTTAATGGCTCCAAAGGTAAGCAAAGACTCGGAGAGGACATCCTCTGCTGGGTGAGACTCTAAGAGCTTTAGAAACGTCTGGAGCATCCACTCGTATTGAGAGGACAAGACAAACATGTCAGAGAGCATAACAATGGAGGTGAGTATGTGATGGAGCAGGAGCATATCAATAGGCTGCGAGAGTAAGTGAGTGTATAAATCAACTAGTGACATTATGCAGGAGCGTGTATCAATCTCATTAACTGGAGTAGTGTCCTTTCCACTAGACACATCAGTCTTCAGTATGATAGGTGCTAGAGATGCATAGCTTAGCTGGCAAGGGGTCAGCGAGGAGTATCCAAGGGGTCTCTCGAGGTTTTGCGAGTAAACCGGTGGGAAACTGATAGCCTGAGTCTCGCTCATTAGTGGTAGTTGGTAGTGAGAGTGACGGTGAGACCTCAGGGCAGTTACTTGCAATATACGGGACTCAATGAGGGCACGCTGTGGGAGGAGCTTCTTTCCAGCTCTAAATATAAAATAATGATAAGAAAAAATAAATAAATATAATAATAATAATAATAATGATAAAATCAGCCCAGTTGTAATATCATGACAATATCAGGATATTAGTTTAACTATCCTAACTGTCCTTGCCCTGCTATAAAAGCAATGCTGACTCACTTAGCCAGACCTATAATATGGTGTAGTGGACTTTGAACTGGTTCATAGTTCAAACAATCAAAACTATAAACCTCTTGACTAGTAGGAACAAGAAATAAGTGTATTAAAATTAAAGTCCTTAGGCTACATTACCATTACTAAACAAAAGAGCAAAAACTAATCTTTACATGTAATTTTAATAATGCATGCCGTATATTATCTGGCCTGATTGGTAATGCATCCCAAACTGCATAAAGGAAAAGCTTAAATTTCATATTCATTTACTATTACTATAATGAAGAACTTACGGTGATGAGAGGAAATTGAAATCTTTATTCCTGTGAGTGTGCATAGGAACGGAGGCCAATGGACTCCCAGGGGAAGGACGCAGCATTGTACTGACTAGTAATGAGGTTGCTGATCTTACTCCACTGCACAAACTAATGTTATGTGCAGCCAGCTCCTCCATGGGCATCTCTATAAAACAATAACAATAATAATAATAATAATAATAATAATAATAATAATTCTTATTATTAATAATTACTGTTACCTACCGTCATCAGGTAGAGGAGCATTTAACACTCCAAGGAGCTGCATCCATAGCTCTTCAAACTGGTTACGGGTCCTCCAACCAATCAGATTGCTTCGCTGCATGTATTCCTGTAATATGTCACTATCGGCGAGACTCTGGTCCAATAATTGGACCGTGATTGTGTCACCTCCTCCCATTGAGGTAAGGATCGGAGGAAGAAATATGGCAGGAGAAAAGAAGGAATGTCTTGCAAGTGTAAAGGTGAGTGTTTTTATCGAGTGAGAGAGTTCAGTGGCTTTGTTGAATGAGGAGAGATAAGTTACTGCCCAGTTGAGCTGATGAGTAGCTGAAATAATAAATACAAAAAACATGTACAGACATTGTACAAAAATTAGCAAAAAAATTCAATTTTAGGATTATCTATGCATAGTGACACCCATAATAGCCACGAGTCCCATGACCAGTAAAATTAATAATTAGAAAATGGCGGCTCTTAAGCACATGTTGGTAAGCAGTGATACAGAGTCTACAGAGAGTGAAACTTTTTTGTTTGTCTCTTTGTGAAACAACTCCATTTTTTATACATTGATGTCCTTATGCTATGTAGAAATTTTGAGCTAATTTGGACAAATAATTTTTGAGTTGTGAGCATTTTTAAAAATGAGCCAATTTTCAGGAAAAACCATGGGCTAATAGTCCATGGTTTTTTCAGAAAAATGGCTCCAAAATCACCCCAAATTTTTATTACATTTTTTGATACATATTGATGTCCTTATGTTATGTAGAAAGTTTGAGCTGATTCTGACAGATAATTTTTGAGTTTTGAGCATTTTTTTTAAATGAGCCAATTTTCAGGAAAAACCATGGGCTATAGTCCATGGTTTTTTTTCAAAAAATGGCTCAAAAATCACCCCAAATTTTTATTACAGTTTCTGATGCATATTGATGTCCTTATGCTGTGTAGAAAGTTTAAGGTGATTCCGACTTCAATTTTTCAAGTTATGGCAATTTTAAGAAAACGCTAAAATTCTGAAAAATACCCAAGGGTATAGTCCATGGTTTTTTCGAAAAAATGGCTCCAAAATCACCCCAAATTTTTATTACATTTTCTGATACATATTGATGCCTTTATGCTATGTAGAAAGTTTGAGTTGATTACGACACATATTTTTCAAGTTATAAACATTTTTAAAAATGAGCCATTTTTTGAAAAATACCCAAGGCTATAGCCCATGGTTTTTTCTGAAAAATGGCTCTGAAATCATCCCCAATTTTTATTACATTTTTTGATACATATTGATGTTCTTATGCTGTGTAGAAAGTTTAAGTCAATTCCGCCTTCAACTTTTCAAGTTACGGCCATTTCAAGAAAATGCCAAAATTTTGAAAAATACCCAAGGCTATAGCCCATGGTTTTTTCCAAAAAATGGCTCCAAAATCATCCCAAATTTTTATTACATTTTTTGATACATATTGATGTCCTTATGCTATGTAGAAAGTTTGAGCTGATTCTGAAAAATAATTTTTGAGTTATGAGCATTTTTAAAAATGAGCCAATTTTCAGAAAAAACCATAGGCTATAATAGTCCATGGTTTTTTCGAAAAAATGGCTCCAAAATCACCCCAAATTTTTATTACATTTTCTGATACATATTGATGTATTTATGCTAGGTAAATAGTTTGAGCTGATTGCGACACATAATTTTTGATTTGTGAGCATTTTTTAAAATGAGCTAATTTTCAGAAAGAGCAAAGGCTATACTTTAGCCCAATTTTTAAGTAACTTTAAAAATTCATAAAAAATCTAAATTTGATCAGAATCAGCCCAAACTTGCTACACAACATAAGAACATGTACATATATATGCATCTTAAAAATTATAAAAATAGAGAATTCTCTTTTAGTCATTCTTGATAAAAAAAACAATATACACAGGTGTGCAACTTTCTGTACAATTACATGTACATGTATCATTAATGAACTGACCAGTTTGAGATTCATTGCCACTTGAAATCTCGAATTTTGCATCGTATTCTATACAAAATAATGAAAGTAATAAAATGACTAAAGATGCATTTACCATGCTCTATGACTCTAACCAATAAACCAGTTACTGACTGGATCCACTCATCAGTCAATACAGAGACAAGTTCATCAGTCTGCAACGCCTTTAATAAAAAAATATAGATTATAACATGCAAGTAAAAATATACATCTCACAAGATGGTATAGTTAGCTATTAGGAATGTAGTTTAGAAAAGGCATGTACATGTACATGTACATGTACATGTATGAGTCCATTATCTTATTTTGCCTTGCCTTACCATTGAGCAAAGGTCAAGTGAGCTCTCAATTGATATTGTGTGACAATATGGTAGCTCCTCGCACTGCATGGAAAGGACTTTAACAGCAAAATCCACAATACAAGTGGAGATTTCCTTTGTTAGCTTGAAATCAAAGGAGAGCTGAGACTGAGTGATGAGATACCAGACCAGCCCTCTTGTTAAATGAGGAACGCTGTCTTTAACACGATCACTAAGACTAGAAGCATCTTTCTCTTCAAGAATTACCTTTAAGTACTTCATTACACATTCTATACACACTACCAATAGTTCCTCTGATTGTACAGTAGGAGCAACTGATATGGAGCTGCTGCTATACTCTAGCATCTGATGGTAAGTATTCCTTTTTGTAAGTGTCTGGAATATCCCATGGACAATACATTCTTCCAGTATAGAAGGACTAAATTGAGGATGATTGACTAATTCTTCCATCATTGGCCTCTGTAAGACTATTAGCAACTTGGATATCGCAGAAGGAGAGAAACTTGATGAAGACAGACACTCTGTTATCAGCTTCATTTGCCAGTTCTGTATTAAATGATAATGGTCAATGAATTGATCTTGCTATTACTAATCCATACCTTGTCTATTGTTGATACCATATTTGGTACATTACCAGTAGTTAAAGGATCTACTGTAGCTTCCACAATCTCCTCTGGAGCATCATGACCAGACATAATCTCTAGCTGCTTCCATGTCTTTACTGACCTGCAATGGACATTAACAATCACCTCATAAAATATACTACATGCATTAACATTATGTATATATGTACATGTATATATTTACTTGTGCTTGATTGAAGGATAAGAGTCAATGATGCTGCTTGCTTCACTAGCAGTTAACTTTACATCAGCCAAAAATCCATCCAACACTTGTATTGATTTGTCTGAGATTATCTTCATCGGATGATCAATGAACTGGTCTCCTATCAACCTAATGGCATCCATACCTTTAAGCAACCCATTGCTGCTCTCAATAACTGACAGTACTCTCATCAGCTCACACATTGTGAGTGAGGATATAGGAGGAAGAAGAGACAGCAATGATGTGTCCAGCTCCCTGGAAGCTTTTCTAAAAAAAATTGTTAAAAAAAGTTTCATGCATATTCTTAAATAATTCTTATATTATAGTAAATGCTTACTTGATTAAGGTCATCCCTTCAGTGCTCTCCAGTAACTGGAGCAAGACAGTTGGGCTCAATGACTTGACCCAGTTACCACAGGAAGGCAAGAGGGAGAGAAGACAGTTGACAAGCATTTGGTGAGAAGGCATCAATGGATCTTGCAGCACATCAAAAAGACTGAAAAGAAAATAAATATAAGTTAAAAAATAAGCAGCAAGTAAAAAAAGATCAAAAAACATCATTTTTACTATCTCAGTGCAGCATTTTAAATGCATCATTAAATAGGCTAACCATTTGAGCCAGTCTCCTATTCCTTCATCACTGCCACAAGTAACCAACAATGATGTAAAGTGCAGAGCTAAAACCGGATAACAGTGAGAGACATTCGACAGAGCAACCAATAACTGGTGGGGTAGAGTTAGCTTAGCTAGTGACTGGCGTAAGGAGAAATAACCATCTGAAAATAAAAAGAAATAATAAATTTAATTGTCCAATTTATTTCTAAAAATTAGAGGAATGCATGGACTAATTATAGAATAAAGGCCTTTTCACACTGGCAAAAGTAATGCCCATTAATCATGTTCACACTAGAATGGCTTCAAATTAATGCGCATCACTCTCACTTCACCTCCAGAGGTGGACTGACTCATAGATTGACTGATGTGAAAGTGTGCTAGTGTGAAAAGGCCCTTAAACTAGCTGTACATTATATTTATTATAAAGTTTTACCTTTAGTAAGTATCTGCATCAATAGGAGTATGTCAGAGAGGATCATTGGTAAGAGCACATCAGTAGTACTGCTCTCCAATGGGGCACATATGAATCCACTTAAACAACACAGGCCTAATGTCAATGACTCAACAAGGAACCTAGCTAGTTTAGTAACAGTGTCACTTGACTCATCGCCCCATTCTACTTTACTTAACGTGCTACCAAACACACTAACAATAGGAGTGGTAAGTGGTATGGACTTTAGCTGCATTAGGAGCGTCTCCTCTGGAAATACAACAGACATAAGTCGGAGTATTGTGGAGAGTATGGCCAGCCAGCGCGTCACGCCGCGTAACGAAGTGATGGAGGTTTGCTTAGTAAGAGCTAACATTAATCCTTGAGCATTAATGGCTGACGGGGTCATGGTGGCCAGCAACTGGTGAAGAGAAGAGACGGAGCTAGGAGAGTCTAAGCGAGTCTGGAGTCTTCCTAAAGGAGCGAGGAGAGCAGCAAATACAAGAGATGAGACAGTAGACCACTCTTGGGCATTAGTCTGATAGCATTCCAATACGCCTATCAATAACTGTATGACACGAGGATACTCAACCAACCGTAGGAGCATGTTCAGTACTACCTACATTTGCACATAATGAATGAAAGATAGAACAAGAAAAAAGTGAGAGGTATGCCCATGTAGGAGTACAAAAAGTAGATATAATTATAAAACGGTGACATACTTCTCTGAGAGTAGGGAGATCAATAAGCTTGGATGTTGTTGGTCTCACGAAGAGATACAAGACTAGAGGCTGGAGGGCTGGAATAGCAAAAGAGATCATATTCTGACCAGAGGCCATGACAGAATCACATTTCTGCATCACCTGTTACAAAAGAGTAAATAAGAGGAAGAGGGTTCATGTGACATAGTCTTACTTCAGGTATAGTTATAAGTTTTGACTGGTCATGAGCTAACATGACAAGAAACTGAAAGAGATGAGGAACCAGCTGAGCCCCTCCCTTAACACTACCAGTTTCCATCAGACTCACGAGATGATTGACAGACTCAAAAAACGACTTGTTACAATCCAAAAGATCATATCTAACCTGAACAGAAAGAGAGAGAAAGAGGAAGATGCATCAGTAATTATACAGTACTGAAAAGTGATAGAGTGTTAGTAGTAGTACTGTGTTACCTTTAAGTGGAGGAGTTGTACCATCATGAACAGAACTCTCTCTTGTATCAGCAATGAAGAAGTGTACGTGAACAATTGCAATGAGGAGACGATTAGCGGCTCAAAATGAGTTAAATAATCTTTAATGGATGACTGAAATAAGAATAAAAATTATCACTATAATTAAACTAATATTTGTACCAATGAATTAAGTGGTTTTAAAACTAAATTCCTCTTTGCTCCAAAAAGCCACAACCTTTTTAAAATAATAAGATTGATTAAAAATTGATAGCATTTAACTAACTTCGGCCTCTTTTTAATTTCTTGGGGTTGCTCTTCGGCAGGTGTGAGAGGTGTGGTTGGGGGAGGAGCATGAAGACATATGTTCATCTGCTTCAAAGGAAATGTCACCAAACAATCAACAAGTGAACTAGAAAAAAATCATTTTAAAATTGTAATATTGAGTGATAATATATAAAAGAATATAATGTTAGGTTTACATGTGTATAATGATAAAAATTACTCGATTGTTTTACTTTGTGATTGGAGGATTGGGCAGTGCTTCAAGACTGTATGGTAAAGATGAGAGGAATGGAGAGTAAAGGTGAGTCTGCTGTGTGGCAACATTCATTCCAAACAGAGCATTCAGTTTCTGTAGAATAACAACATTAAATTATATGTACCAGAGAAATAGAGAATTCTCTCATAGTCATTTTTGACAAAATACCCATGACTACACAGAGATTTGCATTTAAACAAACCCCATGTACTACTAATAGTATTATGGGCTTATATGAGCATTGGCCCAATTTTTAAGCAACTTTAAAAATTCATAAAAAATACAATTTTGATCAGGATTGGCTCAAACTTTCTACACAATATGTAAACATGTATACATATCAGAAAAAAATTATAAAATGGGGAATTCTCTTCTAGCCATTTTTGGCAAAACCCCTGTGCTATAGTACATGAATGGTCTTTTTGGCTGAATTTGTAAGCAACCACAAACCACATGTACATGTATAAATAAATTTCTAATAAATACACTTTATCCAATAACTAAGTATTTTTATGCTATAATTGCATTCTTAGTGAACATACATGTATTAATATCTCAAATACTTAGAATGCACTAAATATATCAAGTATTTCATTACCTGTTGTAAGCACAATAAAGCTCCTGGTGAGTCAACCTTTATGGTAGCTGTTAGGTACATTATTATTTCTTCAACATGACGTCCAACCTCTTCAGCCAGTGCCACCTCAAAGACTCCAGCCAGACAATGATGGACTTGACAAAGAAACATGGTAAACTTGTCTTCATCAAGAGGATCAATAGAAACCTGTAATAATAAAGAATACATAAGCTTATTACTAATAAGATGTGCAAGTGTTCAATATGCACCATCACAGGTATAGCTATCATCCTGTGGTATACAATACATCACAGTTTATACAAGCACACAAACTGTTAACCACATACAGTCATGCAACCCACGATAGATTTTACAAATAACACTGTATATAAAGCTACAGCCTAACTCTGGATTCCACACTTCTTTTATAGATCGGTTTAACAATTTTTGAATGGGTTATAACAACCCTGAAATATGCATAATGACATGATCACATCACAGACAAGAGAGCTATCATCATTAAAATTATTAACATACCTTGTAATTGATGTATGCTGAATTGAGTGCATGATACAGTTTGAGATAGTGAGGGTTCGTATTGAAGGACCCAATGGCTTCTTTTATGGGGGGACTATAATTATGATCGCCGGGAGACTTTGCAAGGTTCTCTATCTTCTTCACAATCACTTTCTATTGTTTTTAATAAAAAATAAAGACATCAAAATTTTGTATTTTACTTTCTCTTTCTCTTCTGGGTCTTTGTTATCAATAACGTGTTGAAATATATTCAAGACTTTCATAACGTGAAGCAAAAGAGTTGTTGAATGTCTTACAACTCCAGCTCTCTCTAGCCCACTGTCCCAGACCTTCCCCTCACTGGCTGACTGATGTAAACTGTCCAGAGCACAAGCTAAGAACAACGAAGTGGACAACTGAAGCAACTGGTGGTGAGTAGCAACCTGCCATGAGAGCCAAGACCCTAAAGACAGGATAATAATAGTTATAGTGATAGAGCTATAATAGTGGAATGTAAGTTAGAAGTAAATGTATAAAAACAATGATGATGATGATGATGATGATGACACAGAGTATTTGGACATGTACTGTATATTAAAAATTGATGTCTTACCTCTTAGTAGCTGCAATACCATTTCTAACAGTCCACAGTCACTTCCATTCACTCCCCACATTCCTGGGAGTGTAGGAGGAGGGTATTCATCAGCCAGAACACAGAGTGCCTCCAGTGCTCCTCTCTGCCCCCAGTGATCAGAGGAAGAACCCAGCAATACGCTGCACCTCCAGACAATGTGTTCAAGACAGTACGGTATGATAGGACTCGTCTTTTCTTCCACCTTACCAATACCAGCCAGTGAGAGTTGAGAGCTGACGATACGCAAGTGATCATAGGAGAGGTGAGAGTGCTGACGGCCTAGCGAGAGCATACGACTGTGGGTGTGGTCAAGACTCTTTGCCAGTTGAACTAGCGTGGAGCTAACGGCCGTACGCACACGGTAATCGGCGTCGCTAAGCAACGGTATGACCACGCCCTCCAATATCTTGGGTAGTAGCAATGGTTTGACTATTGCAAGCTCAGCGTAATTAATGATGGCCAGAGTCTGTAATAGCTCCACTTTTAGTAGCCAGTAATTGACACCCACAAGTTTCATTAGTCTTTCTAACAGTTCAATGGCTTTATTAGGATGGGTGGAGCCTAACAGCGGAAGGAGACACACCCTCAGTGACTCACAAGCAGCTTTAAGGACAACCGGTGACTCTGATGATAATATCGCTGAGATCTTATCGCACGCCTGATTCACTATTGGCCGACATTGATCAAACCGACCACGGTTCTCTCTTATCTCAGCTGCAATGAGTTGTGCAAGGACTTGAGACATACGACTAACGAGTTTAGGGTCTTCGGACTCAAGGAAAGACTCAAGTTTCTCATTAAAACCAGTCAGAGAGGACGGATAGAGCATAACCACTGATGTCATTACAGACAAACCCACAGACTGAACACTGACCCTTGAATGAGTTAGTACAGTCGATGATATAAAATTCATGAGGTCCTCCACTGGTATATTGGAGCCTTCGCTTGATGTCAAGTACCCTCCATCAGATCCAGTGGATGATACAAACCAAGTGGTAAGACTAGTGTTGCTGGGAGAGACTCGGCCGTGAGAGAGAGGGGTAGAGGAGGAGAAGACGGGGAGAGAGGAAGGAGGGTTGTCACCAGGAGGGGGAGTACTGCTTCGATCACCTCCGTCTTCACTGTCTTCAAAATAATCAAAACAAGGAGCATCCAGCTGTGACTCATTGTCGCTCTTCTCTTCCATACTGAAACTATCGAATGTATCCGGCGACCATATGTTTTGAACTATAAGGGGCGTAGTTAGGGGTGTGGTCATAAATGCAAATAATTCTTGAGTGGAAGAACGGATGACATTTTCAACAACTTCCATGGCAACATTAGATGTGTTGTGATCGCCATATTTAGCAGCACTTAATGATAAGGAATATATCTAGAAATAATAATAATAATTGCAATTACAATTATTAAACATGTTAAGTATATAATGTGGATTATAGTATGCCTGTTGCTACCTGTTTCAATACACTAGTTGTTGGTTCGATGGTCTTTGATTCTTGTAAAAGGTTAAGCAAGGACAATAAAACACCTTGTATCATCTGCTGTGTTGCTGTTGGAGTAGAAGCCAATGCTATATAAGGAGAAAATAAACATATATGTCTGTTAAAATGACTATGCTTTTTTAAAAACAATTTTCAAAAGCCCACAAACTTTCTACTTAGTATAAGGACATCAATATGTATCAGGAGAATGGGATGTTTTTTTGGAAATAGGTTTTTTGGAAAAGAACGTGTAGCTCTATTGAAATCAGAAAGCCCTATTTTCCCTTCCTTACCAATAAGTTTACTGATTATCCAGTTAGCTCTATTCTGTGGTACTTTGCTGTGTATACACAAGAGGACTAGTGTTGAAGACATCATGCGCCTGAAGGAAGCCGATGAATCTTGCAAGTGTCCAAGCAACTCATTCATAAATGACTACAAAGAAAAACAAAAAATGAATACCAGCATTTGACATTGTCCATAGCATAAGGCATCGATAGTAAGACATAGCTATTTTTGGCAAAATTTTGACGAATCAATATATTACAGTAGTAGTAGTAATAGTAGTAGTACTATTATGATATCTATGCTATAGCTTGTATCAAACCTCTCAAAATTATCTCTAATTGACTATAACTGATAAACCATTACAACACTGCAGTGACTACATGTATATAAACTAAGTACATGTACATGTACATGTATTGTAGCTGCTTCCTCGATCTTGCCATATACCTGGGCTTGAACTGAGGTAAGGAAAGGTGTCATGGTGGGTAGTATCTTTCCCAATGACTCTATCAAATTCTCGTGTATTATTTCTTCAGGTCTTGCTATGATCCTCAACAGTACGGGCAGCAGCTGCTGGGATAGAGAGTGGACCTTTTGCGGCCGTGTCCTCGAGAACAACGAAGAGAAGCACTCCAATACAATGCAAATAGAGCGAGCTGATCCATTCTAAAAATGAAAAATGAAATAAATTTTAATGATGATGATAATAACAACAGCTTGTTGAAAGGAAAAATAAATGCTTGTTTGTGCATAATGGAGATTATACATGTAACTATAAATAAGTGGCTACCTTTTTTAATTCGTGATACAGTCCCAATTGAAGCCTGTACAACTGACTACCCATCAATGACTATAAATAAAAAAATTTTTTAAATTCTCAATTTTTACTGTATTTAGATGAGCCATGTACAGTACCTTTAGTAGTTTGTGGAGGTTATCCGAAGCAGCCAGTCTGATATTTTGATCCACATTAGCATAAGCATACACCAATAGTTCAATGGTACTCGGCAATAACTGAAAATTAGCCTGCGTCCTAATATAAAGAAACTACTTTAAAAGGTTCCTTAAAATGGGTGTGACCAATGGAAAAATAAAAGCAGCAGGAACATGCATTAAAAAGAGCCTCACCCTGTTAGCTTATTAATGACATTTGATGTAAGATCATTCAGTGACTGACAGACTTGTCTGCTACTACGAGTCTTGGAGCTACTATTAACAACAAAAGTACTAAACTGCTTGCCATTTCACATTAGTGCACTTACGAGGCGGGCTCACTGAGCTCTATCAGCTGCTTCTTAAGAGTATCTAACAGTTTGACGCCCCCAGACTCCTTCTTAATACCACCGTCTTTACCTTTAGCTCCATCTTTACCTTTACCCTTCTCCTTGGAGTCCATTGTGTACTCCAAAGGGTTAAAATATTAGAGCCACACCTTCATGATGAATACAGTAATCTCATTAATGTGTGCAGAGTTTTTTTTTATTAAATTTATTCAGCTGCAGCATTTTAACAATAATAATTATTAAAATTTCAGAGTTCTGTGCAAAATATCTTACAGCAGCTGTCACTTTACAAAAGTCAATTTGAAGACCTAATCCAAATATTAATAATTAATCATTGGGACCTAAAAGGAGAATTGAAGTCCATCAGAAGAACATTGAGCCAAAACTGCCCATCTCTTGCTGCTCTTTGGCAAAAGCCTCAAAGAACTGGTATATAATGGTGACAGCAAGCAGTATACCAGTACCCGACCCAATAGCACCTAAGGAATTAGCATTGGGGGAGCATTATAAAGTCATTTCCAGGAGTTTATGCTTTAGTTACCTAAGAAATCAGCAATGACAGAGAGAGCTCCGATACACAGGCCACCAAAAGCAGCTGCTGTTGGTATGTATCTGTTCAACTCATGAACCATTGATGAGTCGCGGTGGCCCCTCATTACCATATTCTGCTCCTTTAACTGCTTTGCAACCTACAGGGGTTAAAGAAAGTTGAGAAAATGAAAAGAATAAACTCGAGAAATGTTGGACACTTGATCAGAATCAATTCAAACTTTTTACACAGCATAAGGACATGTATACGTATCAAAAGATGTGACTTTGTGTGTGTGACTCACGTCTTTAGCTGAGCTCCCAGAAACGTTTATCCACGTTTTTGAGAAGAAGGCACAAGACCCGAGCATAAAGGCAATATAAATGACAGCATGTATTGGATCAACTCGAACATGGTCTAATGTTTCAGGAGGACTAATAGGAAAAAAAACAATAATCATTAACAATGAAGAAATACAATGTATAGTCAGTTCAAGTTGAGTTGCCACAGGAAGTAAATTAATGTTTGCATCACAAAACGTCATTCCTAGCCACACCCAAATGGTAGCAGAGTGCAAGCAAACTCCTTTGTTGAGCGTTTTTTCACCTCTAAGACCTTTTATTGTCTGTTTTATCCTTACTTTGGATACTACTACCTTTATTTATCACTGATTGGACCTTTTCTTTGTCATAAAGCTCTTAAGGACCCCAGATATGGAAGATAGCAATATAGATTGAGGATGATGAAGATTAGCAGCGATCAAGAAGGCTGCAGACAGACATAGCAATTGTTTCCTAGTAGTATAGACTGCTAGTTGACTAACTGCTTCTCAAGAGGAACCTATCTGTTTGCCTTTATTTTATAAAATAAAAAACATTGTTTTGTTTAAAATAATAATAAGATGCAAATTATATTCACGAGTGTGATGTAGCGTGAACGTAATGATTCATCATGGCGGCTCCTTTTGAACTAGAGCGGAAGAACCCATTCAAAACCTTCCAGAGTACCTAGAGACTCAAAAATTGCTACAGATTTTCGGAAGAACCAGTTATGCAACTATACCAATTTTCAGTTTGCTAGCATTAGCAATAAAAAAGTTATAAGGAGTGGTACTTGGGCAACTCAACTTGAACCGACTATACTTATAATGAGTGCATGAGTATCATAATACCAAAGTACAACACACTACTATTAGTAGCAATGACCATC